ATCACAGAAAAACCACTGGAGGGATTTTGATGAAATTTGGTATGGTGATAGCTGCTTATCCGGGTCAACATATAGGATACTTTTTACCGCGGGAAAATGTCTCATTTCTGAGAAAAAATAAAAACTGCAATGTAAGAGTCAGCCCTTTTTAACGTCCCACTGCTGGGCACCGGCCTCCCTTCAGTACGAGGGAAATCAGGCCATAGTCCACCACGCTGGCCAAGTGCGGGTTGGCGGACTTCACATGTCTTTCGAAAACTTGTTAGGTTCTCTCAGACATGCAGGTTTCCTCACGATGTTTTCCTTCACCGTAAGGTAAATGGTAATCATGTTAGAAATGATTCGCACATGAAAATATCAGAGGTGCGAGACCCGGGATTTGAACCCGCTTCACTCGGTTTCCCAAGCGAGCGCGTTACCACTGGGCTACCACTGCCTTGGTATGTAAGAGTATACTAGTATGTAAAACCTAAGAATTTGGTTTTTGGTCATCTGAACGCGGGCGGAGCCGCGGACAATGCTAGTATTAAATATTTTCAAATCAAACATGAAAATAGTTTTATTTAATTCTTGAACAATATTCATTCTTTCCTGAAATATCACGACCACATCAACTATATCATAAACGGCAAAAAGCTATTATTTCTTTTATACTTATGATAATCATGCAATACAGTTGGTATAATACCATTATATAAAATAAGGTAGTGCAGACTTGTGCAACGTATAAGTAGAAGACTCATAAAAGAAGTATGCTAAGAAGGAATTCTTAGATCCAGACTCGTACGGCATCGATTTCAATTTCTAATGCATTCAAATCCACATTTAATGCTCGTGGCATGCAAATTTTGAATGTCTCTTTGTTCAGACATTACCATAGCCATAAAAAATACCAACTTCACAAGGTGGCGTCGTCCATTCGCCTTATATCTCGAATCGCAACATAAATTAGTGCACTGGTCGCGTGACGTACCGACTTAGGCAACGTCTCCTTATCGCGCCGGAAACCACCCGGCCTTTTTGAAAGTGAAGCAAAAAAGCCTCTAATACTTACATCAAAAAGACTACATTTCTTTACCAGTACACGCATCAAACCCGCGGCGGTAGTCCGATTTCAACTCTATTTATAGCGAGAAACGATCTAAATTTAATATAAACATAAGCTATGAACGGCAAATAAGGTAACATTGCCAGTATGTCGGCATAAATAAAGCCGAGTGTCCTTTAACGAAGCAGACGTTGACGTTGCGATACTAATAATAATACTCTAAATAATTATAGACTCTGTGGTATAAGATTATGGTTGAATTTTGCTCGCTCTAGTCGAGGGTAGTAATGAAGGCTCGCATTTAGCGGTTGTAGTGATATGGGTGGACTTCCTTTGTCTAGTAATCTTATCATTGCGCCAAGCGACCGCTGCTTGACGTGATACATTGCTTCTAGTATAGATTTACATGCTTTTAATTGTGTATTTAAATTACTTAAATGTCCTGAAACTTTAAACTGCAATGCGACTTAGAGTTTATCAGATTTTAAAAAGCATGAAATTATTCTTTGTCCATGTTAGTAGATAAAATATACTCTAAAATAAGTCATTATAATTCAATAAGCATTTGTCACGCTCAACTTAGATCGCATTATTCAATAGGAATGAATTTAAACACAAGCTGATAAGGCGTAATATTTAACGAAACCAGGCCAACTGAAAGCCATCGATTTAATACATGCGTAATATCATTACGCCGGGGCGATTTTCCTCGTAACCGGAGATAAAATTTGACTTCCTTTAAAGAATTTTTCGTTGACTCCGTAAAATTGTTAATATCACGTCTGATATTATTTACAGAAAGACAGAATTCCTAAGATTTAATTGTGAATCACTATTTATTATAATACATGTTTTCCTCGCCTGCTTTTCTTGATCAAGTGACACCTTAATATATAAATTATAGTTAAAAGCAAATTATAAGTCGTAAAGTATTTTCATCATTCATAAGATAAAGCTTTTTCTTAAACTTTAAAGTTATAACAGTACCTATATTAAGAGAATCTCTTTAGATTTCAAGATATTCAACGAAGAAGTCTCATCGATTGAAATTTTCGAAGATAGATTGGGAGCATCGAGCCTCGTGTTCAAAGACGGTCCCAGCCGATCTCATCACAATCGCAAACTTTGAATACACCTCTTTCGACTATCGAAAAGTTCCCTATAATGGATTCGTTCGAGGACTCAATTGTTTCACGATGAATAGGTACTAATTAAAACGAAGTCAGCGACGCCGGACCAAGTTTCCAATTGTTCCAAACTATAAATCTCAGCGCTGTTCTCATATAAATATTGCACATTCTGATCAACTTTGGTGCTAAATTTGAATTCGGAATCAGATATTCGATTGTGAGGATGTTTAACATATAGTATGGTATTTGCACAAGACAAGAATATAATATGTTGAATAGAATTTGTATGGACCACAAATTTAGAAATACTAAGGTTTATAATTGCTTTTATCAAAGTAACTTTTAGTTATAAAAAATAACTTAACGAAGATACCTACGTAAACCTGTTAATAATAAAAATAATTATGAATAAATCTTACCAAATTTCAACCTTGTTAGACGGTTTAACTGAACTACTCTCTATTTACACATAATAAAACATAAATAAAACATTTTTGCTTATATTTAAAATTTAAAGAATGTGGAAAGCATCGATTAAAGAGGTAAATTCAAAATTGCCACTGAAGCCCGAAGTAACGAGCTTAAGATAGTCGGCACGTGTGCGACAGCATCTCTCGTCTGCTGAAATTGCCTAAATGTATCCAGTTACCATCCCTGTGTGACGCGAATCCAAACTGCACCTCCATACATCAACGTCCTAAGTTATGAAACGACTTGAAAGAGATATTTGTTTGACAGTTTGACTATAAGTGTGATAAATTTGACTTCCTTTCATCTGTATACTGTCAACGAAAACGGCCTAAATACTATAAATAGTTGACTATAAAGCAACATTAGTTATAAAATATATTACAGTTCCAGTGGAGCTTTAATTATTACCAACTAAAATCGATTACCTAAGCCAGTGCATTTTTTTGAGTCGAAACAAACAGTAATGGATTTAATCTTATTTGTCGATTTTGTAAGGCCGCTTCTATTATGAGCTTCGTCTGCTCCTTTTCTATTTCCAATAAGAAATCACGTTTGATCGGACCGAGCTCGGCCGCAAATGAGCCGAAACACGGCGCTTTTATCTTCCAATAAGTAACAGAGCTTTGGTTTTTCAGAAAGGTTTCACTGGAAACAGGGAGAGGCCACATGGCTCGAAAAATATAAAAACAAATGAACCGAAAAACTGATAGTGCTATCGTCTGATTGTTATTAACTTCTATGCATACGGGAGACGCGTCAAACAATATCTATAAAATCCGGGATCTGATGTAAAAATAGACTTTGTTGAACGCAAACTCCACGATAGGCAATTTTGTAAAAAAGTTCGACAAATCCCAGAGCGATATTCAAAATCGTGTTCCCTTTTAAAGTTGAGACGATTCGGTTAACGAGTGTCGAATTCTCAAACTCTAGGGCCCCTTCTGGAAGACAAAGTGTCCCAGGGAGGTGTCCTGGTAATTACCAACCATTACACACAAAGACACGACTCGTCCGATTACCATAATTCCTGCTCCCGGGACTCGATATAAATGGACCGCATTTTGTTTTTGAACGCAGAGTGACATGTGTATTAATGACTATACTTGTCCTCCTAAATTAGGTAAGGGAGGTCGAGATTTAGTTTTTCACTGCCAACTACGGTACATAACTTGCCGTATTAGTTTCAAAACAAATTGCCTCGTTTTATCCCCGCTTAGAGCTTGTTTAATATATGCTAATGAGAGTTTATGTAATAACAAACAAGCTTAAGTATGTTACAAAGCTCGTCTATTATTTTTTGTACTTCGTTATTTTAAGTATATTTTCATACATAATATTAAGGATTTTATATTGTTTTTCATAAAAAAGTCGTTCTGGGATAATTTGGTCAGCGCTACTGGAATTTTTGTTTCAGAAAACGCGGTGCTAAATTCATTTCTCTCTAATTACAAGAGAAACGTTCAAAAGGGGTCTGCTTCAAAGAGCCAAGTATTGTAGAGAACCCGCTTTCTTTCGCGGAATAGAGAGCGATCGCCAAAAAAAAAACAACACAAAAACCCTTTTAAAATTAATTGAGTTTTCTTGCGGCTACATCGCCCGCTACAATAAATTAATTAACGCTCGAAGGAATCCTTAAAATTTGTCGAGGATCAAAAGTTGGTCGGAAGATAGGGTGGTGGGGTAGATAATGCTTCGATTTTCCATTAACTTATATTAGCGATGGGAGAGGCCGCCGCGCCCCGCGGTTCCGCCGATAGCTCCCGATGTTATATATTTCCTTTATTAACTAACTGCCGAAACACGCGATCTTTGATCCATTTCCATAGGCTTTCTATTTGCTTACGAGCTATTACTACAATTTAGTTTTAATTGAATTCCAATAACCACTGCCTGCTTTCCAAAAATTAATGTTCTTGTATTATTCTTCTTCTAATGTATATGAAAATTATAAAACCAAGTATTTTGCTCATTTTGCCTACATGAATATATTTTAGAACGTCTATTAGATCGTGGTTTATGATTTAAGGGCTGTTAAATTATTCGTTAATATTTAGGTACTTCCTTTATTCATTAGCTTATTACTTAGGCGATCACGTCATCAATACATATTTTATAAATGCGACGGCAACACTTTTAAAAAATAAGATTCACCAAACCAAATAATATTTTAAACATAATATTTTTTGTCTATACTTTATTTTTCATGTCAAACGGGATGGTTTATATAATACATATATATTTAAATCTTGAATATCCGCTTTAGCATTCATATTGAATATGGATAGAAAACTGTATATTTTAGTTGCTCTACCAAAAACATGAAATGACATATTTCCCTTGGATTCTTCCAGGTTGTTTGCTCGAAGGTACTCGGCCCCCTCCAGATGTGCCACCTCGCAATCCGACTATGTCCCGTCTGAACGGACGCATCACCGGTAACCCGGCTGACTTAGCCGACTTTGAGCCATCGTGTCTCGTGCGTACTCCTTCTGGAAACTTCTACGTGCCTTCAGGTATGAATTCATGTACGTGACTTTTGATATTGGTCTAGATGTAAGTTTTCTGTATCTTATTTCTAAACTCAATATTTAAATACCACATATTTTTCTACTTCTTTTCGAGTATCATAAAAATAAATATCATTTAGTTCATCAAGTTTATTTAAAGTTCATTTGATTAATATTAGTAAAATTTCAGGGGACATACAAAAAAATCCGTCTATGGACTACAAATCAAACTCGTCGTGTAGTAGTCCAGGAAAACAAGAAAAAAGTACCTTGGACAGGATGGACCGAAGTGACAGGCATCCTGCCTTCGGAGCACCAGTGCCTGTCCTTCCTGTAAGGAATAACCTCAGGGCAACTCATTTTCCTCCAACGTCATCAAGGTTCCACTTCAGAAAAGGACTCTCGTCGAGGTGTTCTTGGAAATGCACAGCTATTGCATTTATAGTCTTATTCGTTCTTCTATTATCTATTGCCTCGTATATGTCAGGTACGTTTTGAGTTAAATAATCTATTTTTGAATCAATTAACGTAGTATATTTTAGTTATAACTTATACATCTTTCGAAATTAAATTTTATTAAATAATGCCATTATAAGCTAAAAAAATATAGATATAAAAGAATTTTCTCTTTTATTAAAGAAGAACTTATATAAACATAATATGTTTTTTTACAGCTTCCTATTTCACTGACAACTGGTCATATCAAAATGCAAAACCATGTTCAGTATTAGTCAGTGAAACGGATAAATTTTCAGCGTCGAAAACAACGACACCCGAATCTAGTAACAAATCATTATCCAAACCATCACAGAGTTCAACATCTTCTGCAGGTAAAAAAGAAAATCATTCACGCCCTCGTAGAAGTGTAGATGGGCATGCTTCTTTATCTGTTTCTTCTTTAAATTCTGTTTCTTCCACGGATTCTTCTAATATAGATATGCATGAAAACACTACACCTTTGACCACTGTTAGCTTAGTGCATGGTGTGTCAATAGAGCAATCTACCAAACAAACGGACGTTGAGCTCGCTTATAATGCTTCTGTATCTGTTAATGGTGAACCGGGTAACAATGGTGATCTAACAAAAAATAACACTACACTTGAAATAAAAACCTCATCCACAAGATTTGAGTCACCCACGACAACGAAGTTACAGGAGATCGTAAATACAAAAACTAACAAGGAATCTAAAACTAAACCCACAGAAATTAACATTGACCATCCTCATGAAGTTTCTTTCAATAAAAAAAGTGACGTTGCGTATGATCCTGAAGATATGCAAAGCGACTCATCTTCAATTTACTCATATGGCTTACAAAAACTACAATACCTAAAATTACTAACCAGATTAAATAAAGTAAGTGAGGAGTTACATATATATTCAAACGATCCAAATGAAAAGGTAAACAACAATTTGGCAAAATTTCATTATGAAAGTCAAAGTAGTACAATAACTAATACAGAAAGAAATATTAAAAAGATCACAAACACAGCTTTACCACCTATTTCGTCAGATGTGTTAACAAAAAAAGATTTAAGTGAGGGTACACCTATGTTTACTACTCATAATCCTTACATTAAAACTGAATATAAAGTTTTGGATGGGCCTGAATCATTGGAAGTGCTAACGAAGACATCTCACTTAACAAAATCACCTCCCACTGAAAGTTCAACTATTTTTACCACCCATAAACCTAATCCAATAAGTCAGCATGTGTTGTCAATAACTGAGCCCTCACCAAATGTGCCTATCTCTGCAGATGATATGAATATAAGTAGTCCACCGATACAGGTAAAAACTGAAAGTGAGTCTTATACTTCAAATGTTACTCCTGAATCAAAATCTTCAGACTCGATGTCAAATGCTAAACATGTGTTAATTAATTTAACAATTTCTGCTGACAATGCTAATAACGATTCATATAAACCTTTATATTCATTGACGGTAACTGTTCCTACAGTTGGTGAAGCCAATGAAATGCCAACTGTTAAAATAACCCCGATGAGCAGTGAACCTACAATGCCTACAAATTTTAATAAACCAGTGACAATTGATAGTGCAACAAAAGCAACAAAAACAGTCAATACTGAAAATTGGGGAGGAAGTTGCGAATGTTCATGCCCGTCATGCGAAAATACGAATACTTCTGAAGATTTTTATGAAGATTATATAGATAAAACTACAATCATTGATAAAAATATGTTAAACAGATCTACAAATTATAGCACAACAGGGCCAACATTATCAATTGAAAATGATATATCGTATACATCAACTGATTTAAATACAGATGTTACTACAGATGTTACTTCAGATATAAGTACGGATACTACTACAGATACAACTACAGATATAACTCAGAAATCGGAGTACTATGAATCAACTGAAAGTAATATATTTGCAACAGAAACCATAGCAACTTCTACAGAACAAGAAACTTTCACAACTGATATTCCAAAATGCGTATGCCCCAAAGTAATGCCTCCACCAATACTTATATTGGAAGGTGAGGTCTCAAAAATTTGCGTTCAGATAATTTACTAACGATCACCAAAACCATACACCGGGTTCGCAACACTGGATGACTAACTTTCTAACACGCATGCTCTACAAGTAGTAATATTTCATCATTTGTATATTAATTTGCATGGGCTTATTGTACAACATTTTCATATTATAACACTGTTTCAGCAATATATGGTATTTAAAATATACTTTTCTGAAGCACTACATTAAGTAAAAAAAAGGCATGAAAACCCGAACCCTCGATAGTTTTATATGTAACCCTATCTAAATTCCGATTATATTAGTCACCTCATTGCATGATTTGTAACAAGTAACATAAAGTTACACAAGTTACGTAAACTATAATTGTATTTACTCCGTAGGTGCGCGGACGTTCCCAAAACAATCATTCCCGCCTGACGGGACAACGTTCAAACAAATTACTTTAGGTGAAAAATTATCGAAAGAAATCCTTCCGTATAGTTACTGGAACATGCAGTTTTATCAATCCGAGGCTGCTTACGTCAAATTTGACTATATGATACCAAGAGGCGCGTCTATAGGTGTTTATGCGAGACGGAACGCTTTGCCGACGCATACTCAATATCACTTCTTAGAAGTCCTAAGCGGATTTAAAGCTCGAACCACAAGAGCTTCACATGTAAGTAAAAGTAGGAATCAATAGAACACAAAATATTTCTTATTTGTATTTGTGAGTTATTTTAACTTAACATACATATCATTTGCTATAAATTACGATCTTATTTTTACGTAAAAATATTAAGCTACTAGCATTGCCCGCGGCTCCGCCCGCGTTCAGATGATCAAAAACCAAATTCTTAGGTTTTACATATTAGTATACTCTTACATTACAGTTTATGTATTTTTTCTCAGAAATGAGATATTTTTCGTGGTAAAAAGTGTCCTAAATGTTAACTCGGATAACCACTATCACTATACCAAATTTCATCAAAATCCCTCCAGTGGTTTTTCTGTGATGCGGTAACAGACAGACAGACAAAAATTCTAAAAACTATAGATTCGGCTTCTAAAATATAAAAAAAATATATTTAATGTACAGATTCGGCTTAGTTAGAATTTTATTATATTTATAGATAATCTTATTCCAGCCGTCTGTAAAGAAAGAAGTAACACATTATATGGAACAAGGTCATTGGTTTTTGTCACTCTACAATGACGACGGGGACCCTCAGGAGATATCATTTATTGCAATGGTGGCTGATGATATGACCCATAACTGTCCAAATGGCTGCTCTGGGAAAGGAGAATGTTTGATGGGTCATTGTCAGTGTCAGCCGGGCTTCGGAGGTGACGATTGTAGTGAAAGTAAGTGCAGGTTTAACAAAACATTATTAGATATTATCTAAGCGTAACGAATTAATCACATCAATTACGAATACATAATAGAAATAAATGTTTATATACTTTATTCATCTGTTTTAGTGCGTGTCATTTTTACTTCATAAATTGGTATGGTGTTCAACATCAAACACCCACGCTTTCATTTGGCTTTTCAATTGATTAAAACTGTTATTTTTATCGCTTAATTTCTATTTTAGGCGTATGTCCAGTACTATGTAGTCAGCGAGGAGAATATATAAATGGGGAATGTCAATGTAATCCGGGCTGGAAGGGCAAAGAATGTTCGTTACGACATGACGAATGTGAAGTACCAGATTGTAACGGTCATGGGCATTGTGTTAACGGTAAATGTTCCTGCGTCAGAGGGTATAAAGGCAAATTTTGTGAAGAAATCGATTGTCCTCACCCCACCTGTTCAGGTCATGGCTTTTGCATTGAAGGCTCTTGTGTTTGTAAGAAAGGTTGGAAAGGTCTGGATTGTGGAACGATGGATAAAGATGCATTACAATGTTTGCCGGATTGCTCTGGTCATGGCACTTTCGATGTAGATACGCAAACTTGCACATGTCACGTTAGGTGGTCGGGAGATGACTGTTCCAAGGGTGAGTTGATAAAATATCTAAAGAAAAATGTTTTTCTGTCAATCTGTTCTATTTGTTATTACATTTTATTAATGTATGAAACATAAAATTATTTTTTCTTAATTGGCTAATTTTTTATAATACATCTAATTAACTGTTTCTTTAATATAATAAAATCATACTTATGTAATTGATATAATTTAATGAGCAACTATAAATACAAAATTTAAATTGCAGAAGTGTGTGACTTAGACTGTGGTCCACACGGTCGATGCGTTGGAGAGTCTTGCGTATGCGATCAAGGATGGACCGGCGAGTACTGCACATCGAAACTTTGCGATTCAAGATGCAGTGACCATGGACAATGCAAAAACGGGACTTGTCTGTGTGTCTCTGGTTGGAATGGTAGACATTGTACCCTAGAAGGGTGTCCACGAGGATGTGCAGGACACGGACAGTGTAGGGTTGCAAATGATGGACATTGGGAGTGCAAGTGCTTCGATGGTTGGGATGGTCCCGATTGCACAACTCTGAAGGAACAGATATGTGACGATTCCAAGGATAATGACAAAGGTAATTTAACAGGGAGTCTGATAATTTTTTTTAAGATTTAATCATAATTTATTTTAATACAAAATGCAAAAAGATATTACTATCCTCTATTGACACAACCAAAAAAAAAGTCTGTGTGAAAGAAGTAATAACTCAAGTTAAATGATATCACTTATTTATATATCTTCAGATGGTCTAGTCGACTGTGAGGATCCAGAATGCTGCCAAAGCGCCGCCTGCAAGGGAAGTCAACTCTGTGTTTCATCTCCGAAACCAACGGATATTCTTCTTAGAAAACAACCTCCAGCGATCACAGCATCTTTCTTCGAACGGATGAAATTCCTCATCGATGAGGGTAGTTTACAGAATTACGCTAAACAAGAAACCTTTAACGAGAGGTGAGATAAGTGTTCGATGTTAAATTAGATCTAAGTGTTGTCGGATCACTTGATTAAATCATCAAATGATCCATATAAATGAAATATATATAACATACGCAATGTTGTGCCCCAGTCGATCCTCTTTATTTACATGAAAGTGTATTTATTTTTTATTTCACCTTATAATTAAGATTTATTTTAAAACTAATTCCTAATTTAACGAATAAATGCTAAATTAGCACTTGCATGTTCTTTATGTTTACGAATATTTTAATCGTTATTTTAATCGTTATCTCTAACATGTTCAAACATTTCTTCCTGTAAACTAACAATGTATCCAATGATACTTACTGTATGTAATTTTTCGTCTTTTCGCTGCTCAGTATGTTTTGGAACCACTTCAATACGAGGTAAGATCTAGTAACGAATTTAGGTAGGATTTTGTGTGTCTTTTTATTATTTTTATATTTGTGCTGAATATAACTATCTGTTTCATTGGCAACCTTTGTATTTTGTGTCGGTTTGTTCGTGCATGATTCTGTATTGAACCTATATACGTGTCCTGTGAGTTTTGTGTTCGCTTCTTATAAGTATTCATATTTTATAATGACAATACATTATATAGTAGATTTAGGTTTCACGATTTTGAATTGTAGATATTATATAGAACATCAAATAGTAATTTAGACATTTGAATATTTTAATCCTTTTCATTGAATTGAACACTAATTAAATTATATAAAGTTAAAACTATTATAATCAGTACAACTGTAAATTCCCCACCATTTTCTATTTTATATATTTGTACATTTTTAACTTGAATAGTATTTTGTCTTTTAGAAACACCTGAATTCCTTTATAGTTAACTCCATTGTCCAAGCTACTATAATAGAATAATATTGTGACTGTCTTTAAATATTTACTTGTCAGAGTATTAATTGAAATATAAAATTTGCAGTCACCTGGTTAAGTTTTCCATTTAAAAACAAAGTTAATGTGCAAATGCTAATAGAAACACTGCTACTTTTAGCGTGCAAGCATTTTAATGAACGTTATAAACTTACTATTGCGTGTAGTTAGCAATAACAATTAAATTTTTCAAAGAACAAGTTTGATATCATAATGAGTAACATCAAAAAAAGATTTTAGAAAAAATCTAAATATACTGTCCCTGAGATATATAGTATGAAGGTTTATTAAAACTAGCAAATCATTTTCAAATTTTACTACGTTCCGAATCTATAGCAAAATTTGCCCGATTTTCAGTCGGTCCGCGGTAATTAGAGGTAGAGTGGTAACATTTCTCGGGTCTGGTCTGCTTGGCGTGAGGGTCTCTACATCGACGCCCTTGGAAGGGTTCACTTTGACGAGAGAGGACGGTTGGTTCGATCTCCTCGTTAACGGAGGCGGGGCGGTCACACTTCATTTTGGGAGAGCCCCCTTCAAGAGATCTACTCAAGTGGTATTCGTGCCTTGGAATGAGGTGAGTTAAATTTAATAAGTAAATTATCTTATAATACTAAGCCTAATGTTGTTTGTATGAACATAAGTTCATTCATTAGACATTAAGAACAATTCTAAAAACGGTGCAAAGCCCCTTTAACTACTCTAGTAATCTTTAATTGTGGATTTTACTTGTTCGAATTAAAATATAATATACATAATTTTATATTACTTAAAGAAACATATTACATACATATGTTACACCAATCTCGTTTCAACTAAAGTCATGAGAATCCATCTCAACATCATTAGTGTTTTCAAACAACATTCTGAATTTAAACTTAAAACGCTATGATTAAAATTCCTAAGCGTTGCTAACTCGACGGAGACATCAACTAGAACAACTTAAGCGACAAACTCTGCAAGTAATTATTTTTTGCGAGCTCGAAAACATGCGAAACGACAATCAAGCCAGCATTAGGTATTAAGACTTAATTTGAAACTTTTGGAGACTCTAAAATCCGTCTAACACGTATAAATCTCATAAACGTCTGCCGCGACTGAAAGGTATAACTTGGTCTTCTCGTTTTACTCTTAGATAAGTTATTAAGTTAGCGAGTATTTTGAGAATTTAAAAGCTATTAGATGATTTTCAAAGTTTTAATCTTAATTTGCAGGAATTAAGCTCGTTTTAATTTAATAAAGCTCTTAGTGTACGTCTTATATGAGTCATTTTTTTTGTTATTTTTAAATTAAACTGATATAAAAATGAAAATTTAACATAAAGTAGACAAAAGATCACGATTTTTTCATATATATGTATAAAAGATTCATAATATTTACTAAACTTTACTTAAACGCTTAACTATTTAAATGCTAATAATTAGCAATAATATATAATCAATAATCTAATTATTAGATAGCTTATAAGGGATTTCTTGGGTTAAAGAAATGTTAACATCTTTGAATCTCAGAGGCCGAAATACCTGAATAGTTCATTTATGTAATAAAACAACAATGTTATTACAGGTTGTGATAATCGATGAAGTAGTAATGACAACATCGGATGACAAGGGCGGCATGGGTCCGCCCCAGGCGTGCCTTGCCCACGACTACGACATGATGAAACCTGTAGTGCTCGCTACATGGAAACACGGCTTCCAAGGGGCTTGTCCAGATAAAAGCGCTATTTTGGCTGAATCACAGGTATATATTATATTTTAGTAGTAAATGTATTTCTAAAGGGAAGAATTGTTTAAAAGTTGGTTTGAACTATTTTTTATTTAATTTCAAACAAGTTATAAAAACAATACTCCCATCTACACTAATATTATAAAGAGGAAAGATTAGTATTTTTGTATGTTTGTAACGAATAAACCCAAAAACGACTTTGCTGATTTAAATGAAATTTGGTAAGAAGATAGTTTGAGACCCTGGGAAGGATATAGGATATTTTTTATTCCGGAAATCATCCTTTAGGGTGTGAAAATTGGGAGTAAAGTTTGTATGGGGAATCAATCTAGGAACGAATCCAAGCGAAGCGAGGGTGAGTCGCTAGTATAGTATATAAAAAGTACTATGTATAGGAAACGTTGATTGATTACTATTTAGGCTTTTAGTGAAATCCACTTACGTAAGATTTTGTCTTAAAACATACTACGTATTTTGTCTCTGTTTATATGACGTATTCCACAATTTGCAATATAAATTAATCTTAAACACATATCAATAATATGTTGTAGATAAGAATATTTTATATTCATTTTTTTCTTATGACGCAAAAAGAAAGTCATAAATCTAAGTCGTTCAAGTCTGTGACTTTTTGGCATATCACCAAGTGTTTGGATAGAAAAGATTTATAATGAGAGTATTTTAAAAGTTACTTACCATATTTGGCATAAGTTGACTCGGCAGTTTATATTCAAGTCAAAAGTTTAAGAAGTTTTTGTTTTGCAAATCGTATTTGTTAGCATTGACTTTTTTATAGATTTAGACATGCTTAGAAAATTATTAATACCAGTTATAAAAATGCACAATGTGTTTCAACTTTCAGGTTGTTCAAGAAAGCCTTCAAATACCAGGAACAGGATTAAACCTGGTCTATCACAGCTCTAGAGCCGCTGGATATCTCTCGACAATCCAATTGCAATTGACACCTGAGAAAGTCCCACCAACATTGGCTCTAATTCACTTAAGAATAACCATTGAAGGCATTCTCTTTGAAAAGACTTTTGAGGCCGATCCAGTTATTAAGTTCACATATCCTTGGAATAGATTAAATGTTTATAGGCAAAGAGTTTACGGCGTAACAACAGCGTTGGTAAAAGTCGGTTATCAATATACTGATTGTAAGGATATCATTTGGAACGTTCAGACGACCAAATTGAGTGGACACGATATGAGTATTTCTGATGTTGGTGGTTGGAACTTGGACATACACCATCGATATAACTTCCATGAAGGTAAGCTAATAAAAAGTTTTAAATTAATGCGTTAAAAAAATAATGTTTCTCTAAACATTTCCAAAAAGTTAAAACTTTTATATTATGGTAATTTAATTTCCCAATCGTTTCTAGGTATACTTCAAAAGGGTGATGGCACAAATATTTACTTGAAGCACAAACCTCGTCTTATTATCACGACTATGGGAGATGGAAGACAAAGAGCTTTAGAATGTACAGAATGTTCTGGAACAGCCATAAAGCAAAGGCTGCTAGCTCCAGTAGCCCTCGTGGCGGCTCCAGATGGTTCTTTATTTGTAGGAGACTTTAATTTAGTCAGAAAGATTAACACAGATGGGACAGTGAGAACCGTTGTTAAATTGAAGTGAGTTGATGAAGAATTATAATAATTATAATTTTTATTCTTATATTTAAATTAGTATAATTTTCTAATTTGTAATTTAATGTATAGATTTTAATGTTAATTAATATGAATAACATAGACTTTATTTTATTTTAATTTATGATATATTTTAAAGTACCTAATCTGAAGGTAAAATAAATCTGAAACTTGCCAACTCATAAATATTTAATAAAAAAAATTAATTCAATTTAATTATCTTACTAATTACTATAAACTTATCAGTTTCAATATTTAAAGACGTATTAACAAAAAAATTTTCTTTAACAGTTCTTTGAACGTACAAATTATTATTGGTTGTCTTTTTTTGAAGAATATTTATATATTTTTGTGTATTTTTTTTAGTAACAATATATTCACAATTGATTATCTTTCTTCCAGCGCCACGCGAGTTTCCTATCGCTATCACATGGCTTTATCCCCATTAGACGGAACTCTGTACATCTCAGATCCTGAGTCTCATCAAATCATAAAAGTTAGAAATACTGAAGATTTTAGTGATCCTGAGAGAAACTGGGAAACCGTTGTCGGCTCAGGAGAAAGATGTCTTCCAGGAGATGAAGCTCATTGTGGTGATGGAGCTTTAGCCAGAGATGCCAAATTAGCCTATCCAAAGGGAGTAGCAGTTTCCATAGACAACATTCTATACTTCGCAGATGGAACAAACATTCGAATGGTTGACAGAGATGGAATTATTACAACAGTTATTGGAAACCACATGCATAGAGCCCATTGGAAACCAATTCCTTGTGAAGGAACTTTAAGTGTTGAGGAAGTTCATTTAAGATGGCCCACAGAATTAGCTATTAACCCGCTAGATAACAGCTTACACATCATTGATGATCATATGATTTTGCAAATGGCACCCGATGGAAGAGTAAAAGTTATTGCAGGAAGACCCCTACATTGCCCTTCTCCGCTAACTGGATACGACATGGAATTAGCTACATATGCCACACTTGTTATGCCACAAAGTATAGGTTTTGGTGCAGCTGGAGATTTATATGTAGCTGAAAGTGATTCTCAAAGAATAAATAGAGTTAGACTTATTACTACCGATGGGAAGATTTCCTTGTATGCAGGAGCGGAATCGAAATGCAATTGCTTGGAACGAGGCTGCGATTGTTTTGAAGCTGACCATTTCTTAGCGTCCAACTCTAAGTTTAACACTATTTCAGCTGTTACCGTTAGCCCAGATGGAAACGTACATATTGCAGATCAAGCGAACTATAGAATACGGTCAGTCACAGCCAGTATCCCTGATGCAAGTGGCGCGAGAGAATATGAAATTTATGCACCGGATACTCAGGAAACATATATTTTCAACCGATTTGGACAACATGTAATGACCAAAAACATTCTTACGGGTGAAAACAATTATGTATTCACATATACAGTTAACACGAGTAATGGAAAACTTAGCACTGTAACCGACGCAGCAGGAAACAAAGTTTTTCTATTGCGTGACTACTCAAGCTTAGTTAACTCCATTGAAAATACAAAAGGTCAAAAGTGCAGACTAAAAATGTCAAGAATGAAAATGCTTCAGGAATTACGAACTCCTGATAATTTCAACCTGACTTTCGACTATCACGGCACTACTGGTTTACTAAAAGCCAAATATGATAGTACTGGAAGAAGTTACATTTACAAATACGATGAATTTGGAAGATTAACGTCAGCCGTAACTCCCACTGGTAGAATAATTAATCTGACATTTGATTTGAGCCTCAAAGGCGCAACCGTTCTTGTAAGTGAAAATAACAGAAAGCCAATTTCCATTTTAATAAAGGGTTCCTCAGTAAATACTAAAGTAGGAGAAGCGGAAAAGAAAACTATTATATCAACTGATGGAAGCATTTCGTCTAGTATGCCATGGGGTCATGTTATATCTACTGATACAGTTCCCTACACAATACTATCAGAAATCGATCCCATTTTGGGTGAGAGCTACCCTGTTCCGGCCAAACAAAGAACTGAAGTCGGTGGAGATTTAGCAAACCGATTCGAATGGAGATATTTCCTACGCAGGCTACAATCAAACAAAGGAAAAGGTAGCAAAGCTGTTGCACAAATCGGCCGCAAGCTACGTGTTAATGGGGAAAACCTGCTCACTCTAGAATATGATAGAGATACATCAACGGTTGCAGTTTTCATGGATGACAAAGTTGAGTTACTGAATGTGACGTACGATAGAATGGCAAGACCAGTGAAGTGGGGACCGAGGAGTGGAATATTTGCAGAAGTTGAACTCGATTATGACAGGTTTAACAGACTCACTAGTTGGAGGTGGGGCGACTTAAACGAAACTTACGGATATGACAGAGCAGGCAGATTGCATGAAATTCGATATGGCGACGGATCTTCACTTGCCTATTCATTTAGAGATATGTTCACAAGCTTACCTCTGAAAGTAACAACACCTAGAGGTAGCGACTATCTTTTGGATTACGATGATTCTGGCGCTCTACAAAACCTTACCACCCCGAGAGGTCATATTCATACATTTGCACTAATGACTTCACTGGGCTATTTCAAATATCAATACTTCTCACCTATGAATAGGCATCCATATGAAATCCTGTATAACGACGATGGTCATATCCTAGCAAAAATATACCCACATCAATCTGGCAAAATTCTTTACGTTTATGATAGCACTGGAAAATTGGAAACAATCATAGCAGGAGCATCGGCGATACGATATGTTTACCATGAGAATACTCATCTCGTCAAGAACGTAGAAATTACTGACCCCGATTACGAATTGAGACAAGATTATAAATATCACGCCGGTATCCTTAAAGACGAAAAGATGAAATTCAATTCTAAGAGTGGATTAAATAATGCCCATTTCAAATACCAATATGATGGCAATGCGAGACTTTCTACGATAGACATGAATATTAACAGCAAAGAAATGCCACAGTTACGTTTGAAATATAACCAAAATCTAGGCATTCTCGAAGGTGTGAGCGATTTACGAATCTACCGAAATACTTTCAATCGCTCCGTAATGCAAGATACGAGCAAACAATACTTTACGATTACCGACTATGATGATCACGGCAGAATAAAAACAGTTCTTATGAATATCAAATCCTTTGACGTGTTCCGACTTGAACTGGAATACGACGTAAGGAACCGAATTAAATCGAAAAAGATGATGATCGGCGATACGTCGTCAAACGAACGAGTCAGCTATAATTACGACGGTCACCTTATGGAAGTAGTTGGGTCTGAAGATGACTGGAAATACGTTTATGATGAAAATGGCAACATTATTGGTATTATCGAACATGGGGAAAAACGTTATCTTGGCTATGATATTGGAGATAGAGTGGTTCAATATGGCGATATTGAATTCAGCAGTTATGATGGTCGAGGTTTCGTTATTCGTCGAGGAGAACAAAAATACCGATACAACTCTAGAGGACAATTTGTACATGCTTTCGAACGGGATAAGTTCCAAATGTGGTACTACTATGACGACAGAAGCAGGTTAGTGGCTTGGAAGGATGACAAAGATAATATAACTCAGTTCTTCTACACAAATCCACAATCACCTAATCTAATAACCCACATGCATTATCCAAAGACTGAGAAGACACTCCGATTTTTGTATGATCAACGAGACTTCTTGACTTGTATCGAAACGGAAGATCAACGTTTTTATGTGGCCACTGACCATAATGGTTCACCACTTGTTGTGTTTGACGTGAATGGTGAAATAATTAAGGAAATAAAACGTAGTCCATTCGGCAAAATCGTCAAAGATACGAACCCAGGATTCTATGTGCCAGTAGACTTCCAAGGAGGTATACTCGACTATAACACTAACTTGCTTAATTTGGAAAATCGTCTTTACGACCCAGTAGTTGGACAATGGATGACACCGAGCTGGGAACATCTTGCAACTAAACTCAGTCTTCCAACAGACATATTTATTTATAGATTCAGAAATAACGATCCAATAAATCGCGATCAGAATGTTCCATATATGACCAATTTGGCAAGTTGGTTGCAATTGTATGGCTACGATCTGACTAAAATGATGGGAGCTAAATATATAACAGATATGATCTTCCAACCAAAAACGTCAGTGACCGCTCCTCAATTGGCGCCAGATTTCGGTGTTATGTCTGGATTACAATGTATCATCGAGAAGGTAAGCATAATATTTTATATTATACTTTAATAACATTCTTTTTCTTTGATAAATGGCATGGTACTTTTTAAAAACAATGATTGCTTCAAACTAACTTCATAGATATTTTATGAGATATTTAATTTCTTCTTTTTCAGGTGAACGATAAATTGTCAGACATTGAATTCGTTCCAACACCATTATTGAAGATGGAACCAATCACACGAAACTTGCTTCCACGTGTTTCGTACAAACGCGGAGTGTTCGGTGAAGGAGTATTAATATCAAGGGTAGATGGAAAAGCCTATATAAGTGTAGCCGATGGCGCTAATAGTGTAGTAGAAGACGTTATAACTACAGTTTTCAACAACTCTTACTTCTTGGACGTGCATTTCAGTATTCATGATCAAGATGTTTTCTATTTCGTTAAAGACAATTCATTGAAAATCAGGGACGATATGGAAGAGCTAAAGCGTATGTCCGGCAAGTTCAACGTATCGCAGGACGAGACTAACGACCAGGGACTAGAGGTACGATATGTCATTACAATTAATTGCCTTTTTTATTTTAAATTATTTTGTATGTGTCAAAACCTTTTAAAGATTTAAGAGCCATCATGGCAAAATTAAAAAATCAGTATGAAACAGGAGTAATTAACGAAAACTCTTTTCCTATTTCTAGGTTCGAGTTCATGCAGTAGGCAAGGGATCAGCTCAAGCGGTGATAGTCTTGCGATACGGGGTAGATCCTGCACAGGAACGAATTAAATTGTTGAAACACGCGCATAAACGCGCCGCAGCCAGGGCTTGGGAGAGGGAGAAAGCATTAGTTGCCGCGGGATGGGAAGGAAGAGGGTCGTGGACAGAAGAAGAGAAAGAAGAATTAATATCTCATGGCATAGTCGACGGCTGGGCGGCTCGAGACGTGCACTCAGTTTCGAAATACCCACAGTTAGCTGATGACCCAGCCAACATAGTGTTCGTCAGAGATGGACGGAGAAAACGAAGAAAGAGTGGACGCGCGCGGCATCGCTCGTGATTTCACTAATCGTGCCATTTGACATTGACATATACAAATAGACATGTCGTAGAATTGGTGTAGATTAAAGTCTCGTGTGTTAAGTATAGATAAAAGCAGCAAAAGACCAGAAGCTATCTTTATCTTTCACATTCTTTAATCAATAACGATATCTTAACGACACGTCTATTCGTAAATGTTTATGCCATTTCGTTTCCCGCCATTTTATATTTCTAACAATCGGATACTCTGTACGTATTATTTTTATAATGGCCTGTTTGAGTGAGGTGTCTATGGACTGACAGTTTTTCGAATTGTATTAGAGATGTTTGTATCGTTAGACGTTATTTTGCTTTTAGGCGGTATATTTTTTTTAATCATCCTCTTCATCGGTCTAAAATGAATCTCTTGAAATAACTTACGACAGGGTAACGAGTCATTAATTAACGCTTTTGGTATAAACTGAGCATAATATTTTAACGAAAATACTCAATCACCATCACACTCTAATCAATTTTGATATTATTTTACATTTTTTTAATCCTATATACGTACGTCGCTTAGATTAATGTACTTTTTCACAAAATCATGTATTCCTAACGTATTTTAGCCAAATATTTCTTTTAATCCCTACCTTTAGATATTTGTAAATAATATTTTATTCTTGTAGTTGTTCCTTTTGTATTGTTAGACCTAAGGTCCTTATTACTTCGCAATACTATACTATGTAAGCAATAATTTTATATTTTATCTAAGCATTTAAAATCTATTGACCCGAAGTTTTTATTTAATAGCATCACTACGGTTTTCCAATACTCTCAACGTAGTTGTAGTCTGTACTTTCACTATTCATCTTTCCTAATACTCTATATAAAAAGAAAATTTCATCTATACCGGTGAGCTTGTCGCACTTCCGCTTAATCACTTTAAATGTTTATTTTCCGACACTTTAACCAGTGTTAACAAAAACTGTTGTAATTTATGGCTCATTTCTTTATTTTTAAATAGACACGTTTAACGTCATACTAAAACATAAAATAAATAAAAAAATAGTGTATTCGATTTTGACTCCCCTTTTTCTTGTAGTTTTCAATAAAAGTGACAGCTCCATATATCCCTTAACAATAAGTCCTAATAATAAATAGATGAAATTTTAAACTAACGTGGATACGTGACACTGCGTGTGTTGTGCAATAATCAGTAGTTCTCATTAACCGTCTAGGGTCGAAACTTCTTGCTGACTTATCTTAGACTGACTGTTCTTACTCCTTTGCCTATTTATGTATGATCTGTGGTATCTTACAGCCACTGAACATTGCAAATTTATAGCTTCGATTTTAATCGATAAATATATACATATATAATAATACTAATTGGCGATTAAAGAATCGAATAAAATCGGAATCTGCAATCTACAGTAGCTTTTATTGTGCGCTCTGAATACCTGAATTATAGTATATGAGAGTAAATGTATGTGTATAATATTACTTAAAAAATACTCGATGTAATGTAGGAATGTCCCAGCGTACATATATATTATATTATATATATAAATAAATTCATTAAGTATTTCTTTTTATATTTTCATTATATTGGAGCTCGGTATCGAAATTTATCCAAGTGGAAGTTTAGTCGTAACTCGTAAGTCAGTAAGAAGAAAGTAAAATAATTGTAGATTAGGTATATTGTATGTCCATAAATGTGTCTCAGTTAAATTGTGGTGTCTATTCCGTGTTAGAGTATTACTTTAAATGCTAGGGACTGAGCGATTGGTGATAGGGCGTCGAAGATATTTTTTACGAAATGTTTATAAAATATAGAAAGTTGAAACGGAATTTAGAATGGAGTCTCCCCGAGCGCGGGCTGCAGGCGCAAGGTGATATTTTTGCAAAATGTGACTAAACGAAGCAATACATTGTAATTTAATACGTCTTACCTTTTATTTAGTTTAAGGTGTATTTTTAATTTACAATTAAATATAATAATACAATATATATTATCTATGTGAATGTAGTTATTCGTTTCGCGGTGATATATAATAGAGCGGTATAGTTATCTTTTTTATGATGTATAAAGATTCTAATTTGTAAATAGGTACTTAAATGATGTAACATGTAAAAATATTGTACATATCTTTACGCTTGAATTATTTATAGACGAGTTAAGGTTTCTAGAATACGTAATGTAAACTAACTTCTTCAGTGAGTCGAGCTGATCGAGGCTGTAGGATGAATAATACAATCTACTGAATTATCTGATGGGTTTATTTTTTATGATATTCACAAAAAAAACAAATATCGTTTATGGTATTTCTGATTTTTTTATTCCTGTTAATATTTAAGTGGTATTTGATGTTTATTTTTAAAAATTTTACGCGTTTTTTAATATATTTATAAATTATTTTTGAAATCAATTAATCTAGTATACCAACAACAGACATACCATAGACTAAGCTTCTAGACTTTTTAGAGAGCTTCACAAATGCGATCAAACGTGCATTTACGTAGACCTCCGCTGCATTTAATTTGTACTAGCCACTGAATATTGCAAATATTTGCCACCTGGATTTTTTAAATAAAATTGTTTGTTCAATGAAGTTTTACTCTTATTTTACTAGGCAATTTATATAAACAATAAACTTTTTATTCTATATCAATACAAAATGGCACTAAATTGATAAATATTTGCAATATACGTTGTCTCATTGTAGATACGGTGCGTAGACAGTACTGTGTATAGTTTGAGATAGCATGGACCAGACGATATTTTCAATAGATACAAGAGATAGCTCTCTATTATCATCTTAATTCACATTACAAGAGATAGCTATTAATAGTTAATTCACTCTTTCTCTCCGTTCTACTCTCCTCGTGTGGTCCATATTGTCTGTGGACGGTGTACGTGCTGGAACCGATGTAAGCATGTACAATAATAAATATAGAAAGTATTCTAATGGAATATGTAATAAAAAATAATAAAACACACTTTTGTTTTACTCAGCATTTCCACGATCTCCCTTGACATTACTTAAATTAAAAACTTGGCATACCATTTAAAAATTCCATAAGTCTTAGCCACTAGGATAGAAAAAATCAGTTATGTATATAGTTTTTGACCGAGATAATTAAGGAATACGAGGATCGCGTTTTTTTTTTATTTTATTAAGTGTAATTTCAGTAATTTTTTATTGGAAAATATTAAAGAATAACAAAAATATCAACGTGCCTTAAAAAAAATCCCCCTCTGGCCAGTGGCTATCCCATTAAGCTCGATGAATAGAACAAAATAGTAAAAGGCGAATATTATATACCTGATTAAGGACATTTTAAAAAATAAAAAAAAATCGTTTTAAAGGAAATAACTAAATTTATTAATGTTTATATACAATTAGTGATATGTTTAATTTTTAGGTAAAACATATTTTTAGCACTTAAAAAATCTTATAAAAAATAAGTCGAGTCTATCAAAAAATACAAATAATACTTTTACCATTAAAAATAGGCATTACATTGTGAATATTTCCTATGAAATAAAAAAGTAATACATTAATATTATCATTTCATTTGAAACCGGATAAATTCATGAAGTTGCCTTTTTATCATAATAAAAGAAACAAGTAATTAGTTTAATTAGGCTCAAAGAAAGAAAATGAAGATGAAAATTCATTAAGCGAAAAAAGCATCCACAACGTTTTATGACTTACTTGAGGTGTTTTGAACTTGTCATTTTGACTTGGGTAACAAAATAAGTTACCTATCTATACTAATATTATAGAGAGACAGGGTTTGTTTGTTTGATTGAACGCGCTAATCTCAGAAACTACTAATCTAATTTGAAAAATTCTTTTTGCATTAAATAGCCCGTTTATTAAGGCTATATGATATACCATGGGGGGCGGAGCAGTAATCATATATGTCCACAAATCGGGCAGACTTTCTACATTATTGTAAAACTATATATGTAGTATATACATTATATAAATACATAAAGACGAACTCGAGCAAAGCGTGGGTGAGTCGCTATATAACATAAAGCCAACGTTTTTTGTAGATTGAACGCAGGCGAAGCCGCGGGTTCTGCCAGTATATTATATAATTATAGTTATATACTATAAATATTTTGAACATAAATTGCTTCTACAATTTGCTAAAATTATTATTATTATTAAAACAACACGAAATTCCCATGGCTTTCATATTTTTACTACAACTTACAAATATGGCAAGAAATATCATAACGCGAGCTGAACATTAGCTATGAACGTTTTCAATCTTTGAGCTTAACATATATACCAACTTAGTTTAGTCTTAAGTCTTCGTCAGTGAATTTTATAAATTGTAAGACATTTTATAAAATTCAATGACCTAAAACTACCTATTTATATTTATAAATAAATTAAGTAATAAAAAATATATAGAAAAAGTATATGGAGCTGCTACAATCATTTAAAACAAAGTTTGTGTCAAAATATAATAACATCTGAAAAAAGCATTACTACAAAGACCTATGAAGTTATTAATGAAAATATCAGAGGTGCGAGGCCCTGGATTTGAACCCGCTTCACTCGGTTTCCCGAGCGAGCGCGTCACCACTGGACTACGGCTAAGGCCGTTTTGGCCGTAAGGCTTTTTTTTATATTTTATACTAATAAGTTAATTCAACTAAATAAACATAAACATTAGCCATTACTAAAAAAACTAATTTTAATCTAAAACTGAAATATTATAACTTTTTAATCCATACTATTCTACCGTAGTGTACTTTTATGTAAAAGATTGCAAAAGAAACCCCAAATAAAATAATTAAACACTTGTGATAAATAGAAATAAATAATAACAATAATTTTGTGATGTTAGAATTACAATTTTGAGTGTCGACTAGGAATATAATAAAAAAAAATACATGCTTCATATCTGAGTACAAATGTATGTATAAATAAAAACATAATAAAAAATATTACGATTATGGTAAAAATATAAAATTTCGAAAAAAAAAATATCGATATAAATTGAGTTTTATAACATTAAAATATAATTTAACTGTAAAAGTTTTAATTTTAACGTGCTGTTATTCAAATATAAAAATACACAATTTTTAAAATCTAACATCAATAGACAAACAACATTTACAATCTATGCTGTTATAATTATGATAATATATAAAATCTTGTATTAATTAATTATTATTCGTTAAATTAAAAAAACACTGTGCAAGTTATCTGTCAAATTATTTAAAAAATAGATATTGCAATTGGAAAATTTCTTTTTAATATATAATTTTTCAAGCGGCTTTATCTATACTTGTTCCTAATATAAATTAAAATAATCTAAAATAAATATAGTATTTCAAATAAGGTTTACATACAAAAAAAACATTTTTTTATACATTGATTTTGATAATGACTAAACGTATTATTTTCGCAAAACTGTCAACTTTAAAAAATAACAGAGCGATTAAACTAACAATGACTGTCTCTTTCTTTTGTATTTTTATTAGTAATTTATATCCAACGAACTTGAATATCTGGCAAATACAAATGTCATTAAAAATAAAAAAAAAATTACACATAGGTTTATCATAAAAATTACATATAGGTCATATTTAATATATAAAATTAAGCCTCTTTTTACTTTTTAAAGCAACTCTTTTTTTTTGGTTTATCGAATAAAGCAAAATATATATACACCAAATAATTAACACATTATTTTAAATGCAATAGCTTCATAAATCAATAATAACTGCATTGTTGGCAAATCACAGAGATCAATTAAATATACATAAATGAATAATTTAATAAATTTAAATATAAAAATAAATTGAGCAAAAAAATAGCAGCAAATTCCTAATAATTAAATTTAAAATTAATGACTCTTAATGATTTCCCGTTATCTATGGACAATTGCAAAGTAACATCGAGATCACAAAGCATTGTAAGACCACAGACAATCTACAAACATATAAGATCATAACTAAAGACCAGATGATATATGTGTGTATTTGCATATTAAACCTTTAATTATTAATTATTGTTAAAAAAAAACATTTTTTATGTGAAAATAGAAAATATTCATCAGGCTCTAGTTATAACGATACCATAAACAAATCCCATCTTATTATCTCTGGTTTTGGTACTAGCACAGTATAAAAATCTACACATCCATACTAACACAAAGTTTGTCAAAAAATACGAATATTCATGACCAACGATACAATAATTAGATAATTTTCAAGTTATGTCAAAACTGTATGGATCATTAAACTGTGGTAGCTGTTAGAAATACAATCATATGGCATAGACTCATGACTGTATCCCTTGCCCGGTCTAAACATTCATTAGACAACTGTATGAAATAACAGACTGTGAAGTATCACAGTAAGTAATTAGTAAGTAGTATAATATCTAAAGCATAGAGCCATGACTGTACATTTGCCCGGTCTAAACACCATCATAAGACTGTGGTATCTCTCTTTCTAAAGTATAAAGTCATGACTTGTATCCTTTGCCCGGTCTAGACACCTTCATAAAACTGTAGTATCTCTCTACTCTAAAGCATAGAGTAATGAATGTATACCTTGCCCGGTCTAGACCTTCATTAGCAGACTGTGATACTAGATATTGACAAAATGTAAAGAATATATTTAAGACTGTATCTTTTGCCCGGTCTAGACCTTCATTAGACTGTGGCATCATTACATCTGATTATTTTCCATAGGCTCAGTTATGTATACCTTGTCCGATCTAGACCTTCATTGGACTATGGTATCTACTCCTGGCTATAGTTGTGGTACCTACTCCTGGCTATCTTCCACGGGACCAGTGACCCTCTTGGCCAGGGAGTCCCACCTGGCCATCATGTCTGCGTCCACCTGGGTGACCGTCCAGCTCTGAGTGTCCGAGTCGGAGCAGGGCTTGATGTAGAGCTGGCGGGTGGAGGGATCCCAGTCCAGGCAGTTGTCGTTTGTGCCGTGTTTTAAACGTTTTGTGGTCTATGGTAATAGTTAATTAGTTAGATTTAATGTAACAAGAGCATAAATATATTTTAAATATTGAGATGTAGTGCTAATAGGTGAATATTGATTTTCATAAGAATGTAGGTAGGTATATTACAAAAATATTTAATTTTTATGCAATGGAGAAAAATGTGTAGGCACACACAAATATACACACAAACATCCTTTTTAATATTTTTACATTTTTGATTAAGACCTATTTATTAACCTTTTTATAATTTACATTTGTGACAGGTTTTAATAAAAAGAAAGTAGTGCCATTAAAAAAGATGAAAAATTATATGTGCGATTTTTATTTGTTTTAAATCAAAGATTTAAATTAATCCTTTACTGCTGCAATGGCCACAAATGTTTATGTAATTGAGGTTCTTGCAAAAGACTTCACTCACTGACTAAACACGAAAACTCAACTATGTGACCTATAAATATATATATTTGGTAAATAAGTATAATTTTGATTTTTAATGTACCTACTATGTATTAAAAAAAGAATAATGAAAATCGTCCTTCCTACTTATTTTCATCCCAGCAAAACCAAATTTTATTAATTCCACAATACATTAAATTAAAATAAGACAGTCAAGCAAACCCGGGGTAAATGATAATCTATACTAATATTATAAAGAGCTAGAGTTTGTTTGTTTGTTTGGTTGAACGCGCTAATCTCAGGAGCTTATAATCAGATTTGAAAAATTCTTTCTACTTAAGATAGCTGGTTTATTGAGGAAGGCTATAAGCTATATATCATCCCGGAAAAATGTCCGGTTCCCATGGGATAGATACAACACTCACCGGATAATACCTCCACAGCTGGTTGCCACCTCCGAGGTGGCAGCTGTACAGTAAGATGGGGGACTTAGGAGATGAGTCTGGCACGTCCCAACACATATTCCTGTTTTTAGATCTGAAAATGGATAATTGGTCAAGTTTGAGTCGGACTTGTGGAAAGTAAGGTCCCATATAATAGTACTAAAGTATTTCTAGATATATTCAAATGACCCAAATATGTCTATCACATACATACTTTATTTACATAACTTAAAATACCCAGGCCGGTGAATTCTTCGCTGGATATTCAGAAATGTTGTTGTAAAATAAAGCACTGAATTAACTTTAAACTGGTTTTTATTCTACAGATTTAACAATAATTATATAATGCACGTTGTAAAGCCAGAGACCACAGAGAAAGACAGAACCTAGTAAGTATTAGAAGGACATGCTCAGTCCGCCCGCACTTTACCAGCGTTGGTTATGCCCTGCCCCCACCTCCCCCTTGTATTGGAAGGGAGGCCCACGTCCAGCAGTGGGACGTTAAAAAGGGTGAATACATAAGTGATAAAAACTACAATCTCACCTGATATCCTTATGCCAGGAGAACACGAAGTCCTGTTCCCCGGCAGCCGAGCTGGTGCAGGGGTTCAGCAGCAGACGCTGCATCTGTGCGGCGTGGTGCGCGTCCACGCAGTACTGCGGGTGCGACGCCGGCTTTATCTGCACACAATACATATTAAATATTATAATTATATATATTATATATACTAATATTATAAAGAGGTAAAGTTTATGAGTTTGTAACGTTGTAGGGGGTAATCTCTGGATCTACTGAACCGATTTAGATGAAGTTTGGTATGGAGTTAGTTTGATACCCTTAGAAGGACATAGGATAATTTTATCCCGGAAATTTATCCCTTAAAAGTTTAACAAGAGGACTGAATGGATATTCGTGATGCGCCATCTCAAAACATTAATATATTAACACTTCCATTTTTACAGGCATGTTTCCTCACTTCCTTGTATCTATTTCATGGGAATATCAAAAAAAAAATAATTCCTTATTAATTTCTACCTATACCTTACTAATTGTCAAAACGTACATAGGGACGTAGCCGAGTGAAGCGAGGGTGAATCACTAATCAGTAATCGTCCATATTATCAATAGATCATTTAATTATTACATAATATATGCAGATAAAGAATGGGATTAGATGTGTAAGTGAAATAATTTTCGAGGTTTTCTTTAGCTTCTTGTTCCGACGTTTCTCGGTTACGGAAATAATAGACTTATATGAAAACAATGTATTACGGAATTATTTATCGAAATAACTCAGGAAAAACCAGCATCATGATTCAAAACTTATATATAATAGATTTAGTTACAATTCATTAGAAAATACTTTCAAATTTCAATTTCTTTCAAATAACAATTTCTTTTTCTCCACTTAGAAATCACGGATAGCTTCCACCCATGTTAACTCCCCGTCGACCAATCCCCTCTTTTGTTTATTTATTTTTTCTAATTTTAATTGTATTTTTATATTATTTTTTGGTATGACCATTCTCGTCATTTTTAACTGCCTGATTTATAAAGGTATCATAAATCATAATGTGTGCGTTCGCGTCGTCAGTGTGGCAAGTACATATAATCAATAAATAACTGTTCTATTATACATTAAAAGAACGAAACTTTATACTCTTAACAAGATATTAAACTGTAGCAACACCATACTAACGCACCCGAACAAATCAAGATAAGTCATTAGTTGTTAATAAAATAAAACTTACCTGCCCCTCTGCAAAGGGGTTTGGTTCTACCGGAGGATACTTCGCAGTCAGATCGAATGCTATCTGCGGAATTAAAATTGTGTCAAAAATATACATCTTCCATTATAAAATAAATTATTTCTCTCTAAACATACAAAGATGGCTCGATTTTAAAGTTACTTCAAAACCGAATATTTGGTAAAAAATATATCTAAATACAACACATAATGTGTCTCGATTGTCCAAACCTCTTGCAATGACCATATGAAGTTATTATAAACAAAAAGAATGAAGTTACACTTGCAATATCAGCTTTGAAGCTTTTGTGTGGTTTAAAATAATCATAATATACACTATGTTCTTTTTAGAAATTACTAAATGTTCTTAGCTTTGTAAATCTAAACTAATATTATAAATGCGAAAGTAACTCCTTATTTGTTTGTCTGTTACGTTTTCACGCCTCAGCAACTAAACCAATTTTGATGAAATTTTGTATAGAAATAAATGGGCCCTTGGAAGGATAATTTGATCGCGAAAAAGAAAACTTTAATGGTGTTGAAATATAGTTGAAATTTTGTATGGGGAATCAACTACCTAAAGTACACTCACAATAACTGCACCTACGGGACGCACCCGAGCGAAGCAAAGATAAGTCGCTAGTCTGTACTAATATTATAAAGAGGTAAAGTTTGTGAGTTTGTGACGTTGTAGAGTATCTTTGGATCTACTGAACCGATTTAGATGAAATTTGGTAAGAAGATAGTTTGAAACCCTGGGAAGGACATATGACGCTTTTTATCTCGGAAATCATCCCTTAAGGGGGTAAAAATGGGGATGACAGACTTATAAAATTATAACAGACTCACCTGAGTCATAAACCACCTAAATGGTTTACATTTGAGTTTCTTCCTCAACGCTTTCTGTTCAGATATATCTCCTGTATCTATTTGCAGGTAGTGCGGCCTCCGCCTGTATAGAAACTGTGCGTACTCGTCCATCCACACTTCTGCTACCCTTCTGTAGTTCTGAAATAATGGCCTTTTTATATTATATACTAGTTTTATTGCGCGGCTCCACTCGCGTGTTTAGTAATATACTAAATCTATAAAATTTGACGACAGGTTTGACTGTTTGTAGTGCTGTATATATGTACTTGCTGTGCCAGCCGTCGCGGGTTCTAGTCCCGCTGGGGGTATTCATTTGTGTGATGAGCACTAATGTGTACTCCAGTCGTGGGTGTTTATATTTATAATATGTATGTATTTAAAGTTAAACATATACGTGTAGTGTATCAACTATCGGGTATCCATAACACAAGCCTCGTAGCTTACTATGGAACTAGATGGTGCTGTGTGTTAATGTCCGAACATATTTTTTATTTATTTATTTAGAGAAAAAAAATAAACAAGATAAGCTTTGTTATAATAATAAATAAGAATTAATTAATCGTGATCGATTGATTAATTGGAGGTTTGATAACGCCTGATCTAGAAAATTGCGTTTCAAGAATTAATTAGTTGCCATATCAAATTATTACCAAAGATTAAAGCAAAATGTGACCGTGCGTTATAAATATTTCAACAATTATGTTCATTTTTAAACGACTGCGGCCAAACCTACGACTATAGTACAAGCATTCGTGTTCATCACACAAATGAATGCACCCAGCGGGACTCGAACCAGTGACCGCTGGCACAGCAAGCAGGGTCACTACAAACTGAGCGATACGTGTCGTCTAAATGTGTTCATACATATGTTGTTCTACATTCACATACTAGGTTATCTAAACCTATCTAAAAAAGAAAAGCAAAAGGTTTTGCTCTTCTCAGCAGAACTACCTTACTGATATTATATTAAAAAAAAAATGATTCAAAAGTGTCTTAAAAAGTCTATTTGAATAAAGTATATAATATTATTATAAGGACAAATTCACTTTTTTGATATTTGATAATAATCTGTGACTACATCAAGCTGTCAAGGGTCTTTATCGAGACGACTTTACTTTTTCTCAAGCTGGCGCGTAAAACGAATCGGTGCATCACTGGATAATTTTTGTAAAATTGTATTCATAAACCAGAAATTAATACATAGTGTTTAAAAATAAATAATTAAATGCTTAGATTTTTGTAATACAGATTCTAGTATTTGTTTCTTTGCGTTAGGTACGTTTTAATTTTTTTTGAACGGAACCCTAATTCTTTTTCTAAAATAAAAAGTAGCATATGTTACTGCCTATAACATCAGCTATGTTCCTGCGAAAGTCCTGTCAAAATCAGTCCAGCCGTTACAGAGATTATCCGGAACAAATAGACAGAAGACAAAAATTTTAAATTTTTTTAAAAGTACCGTATATTATTTCATATGCATTCAGTAAAACGCAGTTATTTTGACATTACAAACAGACACTTCAATTTTATTTATTTGTATAGATGTATAGATATATGCGTATATAGTGAGGCAGCGCACCCGCCCCACGAAGTCGCCGTGGCCGGGGTTGGGGAAGGGCGCGAACTTGCGGTAGATGTGTCCGACGCGCGCGCACGCCGCGTCCACCATGCGCCCGCCGCACTGCCAGATCTGCGACCGACGGACATACACTTTACTTTTATCACAATTCTTGATTCTCCATACAAAATTTCATCCCCATTTTCACCCCCTTAAGGGATCATTTCCGGGATAAAAACTATCATATGCCCTTCCCAGGGTCTCAAACTATCTTCTTACCAAATTTCATCTGAATCGGTTCAGTAGATCCAAAAATTACACCCCACAACCTCACGAAGTCACAAACTCTACCTCTTTATAATATTAGTATAGATATAGTATTGAATAAAAATAAAAAAAAAGAAGAAAACAAACCTTGAAACTCAACTCATACTGCTCCCCGCCCCAGATATCGAGCCCCGGGTCGTAGCCGCCCAACTCCCAGAAGAACACGCGCGATATGGCGAACAGCCCACCCGCCATCACCGGGCTCCTGGAAACATGTTATTTAGTTATTTTCATTCATATATTCAGGCCTTTTTAACGTCCCACTGCTGGGCACGGACCTACTTTTACGAGGGGGATCAGGCTATAGTCCAACATGCTGGCCAAGTGCGGACTGAACATGTCTTTCGAAAGCTTGCTAGGTACTCTCAGACATGCAGGTTTCCTCACGATGTTGTCCTTTACCGTAAGACAAGTGGTAATCATGTTGGAAATGATTCGCACATGAAAATATTAGTGGTGCGAGATTCGGGATTTGAACTCGCTTCACTCAGTTTCCCAGGCGAGCGCGTTACCACTGGGCCACCACTATTTGATAATCGATTACAAACGTAAAAAAATATTTCTTGTATTTTTATTTTTTTGTTTATTTGTATTATTTACTGTAATAGCGGCAACAGAAATACTTACTGTGTGAAAATTTTCACTCTCTACCTATAATGATTCATGAGATACAGCCATCTGGCAGACAGACGAAGGGACGCACAGCGGAGGCACGCACAGCGGAGGCATAGAAATAGGGTTCCGTTGGCACTTTACAGGTATGAAACTTTAAAATGAAATTAGATTAAGATATCTCACTCGAATGGTTCCGGCATGTTGTCCTGGTCCTTGGGTAGAATTGGCAGTCTTTTGTAGAAGAACTCCCAATCGAAAGCCCCTCTCGCGCCCTCGTCCTGCGCTCTGTATTCGAAAGTGTCGTAAGCTATCACATCTATGAAGGGACACACTACCGTCTTGTAGTTCAGTGCTATTGGCTCTGAAAAGGAAAGATATTTGATAAATTGTATAATATATCTACTAATATATAAATATCTCGTGTCAAAGTGTTTGTGGTCGCACTCCTCTGAAACGGCTCGACCGATTTGGGCGGCGGTGATCACTTTCCATCAGGTGAGCCTCCTGCCCGTTTGCCCCCTTAGTCCCATAAAAAAAAAACATGTACCATATATATTTTAAATATCGTTTTAATGAAGGAAGTACAACTAAATTTTAATTTCCATATGCCTGCTAAAACACCAATTTAATTATTATTTTCTTATGGATATGACTAATTTGGCCCTACACGAGACTCGAATCCAGGGCCTTCGGGTCTGCAGAGGTACATGCTAGCCACTAGACCACTAAAGTTAAATGTTTAAATGTCTCGGTAAAATAAATCTATACATAAAATAAAATTGTAACTAAGTCGAATTTGTACATTAAATATTTTTTGGAAAATCTATTTTAAATAGACATTATTATCGATACAGAGTACGAATTTATAGTTTTTAGAATTTTTATGTGTCTGTCTGTCTGTTACCGCATCACGAGAAAACCACTGGTCAGATTTTTATGAAATTTGGTATGATGATAGCTGGTTATCCGGGTCAACATATAGGATACTTTTTACTGCGGAAGAATATCTCATTTCTGAGAAAAAATACAAAAACTGCATTGTAAGAGTATACTAATATGTAACACCTAAGAATTTGGTTTTTGGTCATCTGAACGCGGGTGGAGCCGCGGGCAATGCTAGTGTTGTATAAATACATACCCAACAACGGTGGAAGCCAATTAACACTGGCCTCAGTATGTGAGTCGAGGAAGACCAGCACATCTGCTGTAGCCAGCTTGGCCCCCGCGAGACGAGCTGCTATGAGCCCACTGCGACTCTTCAATCTTAACACCTTAACTTTGGGAAGGTGCTTTGCTACATAGTCGTCTAATTTTTGTTTGAGGAAACCTTTAATTAAAAAGACATTGACTCTAATTAAAAAGATACTTTTTTATGATTATATTTCAAGCACAATTTTCGGAAATGCGATATACGAAAACGAAAAGAGATTTTTTTCTAAAATTGTTTGTAAAGCTATAGACTTATATTCAAAACAATAACATTTAAAATAAATATGGAAGACTCACTCTTCCTTCGCTTTGGGTTCGTCTCTAGACAAAAACAAATCTACCCCACGGAAACCGTACGTTTTTCCGGGATAAAAAGTAACCTTTGTGCTATTCTAGACTATAATCTATATCTGTGCCAAATTTTATCCAGATCCGTTCAGCCGTTCTGGCGTGAAAGAGTAACAAACATCCACCCATCCATGCTCACAAACTTTCGCATTTATAACATTAATAGGATAATATTCTAAGATACTGATGTGAATGATTGTCTTCATTAGATAATACATTTGTATACAAAAATATTTGTGTACACATAAGTTAAATCATATTTTATTCACCACACGTTTGGCTCAATTTGTAGCGACTCTACTTGCTCGGTCAGCGGTCGCAGGTTTGAGTCCCTCTGAGCGCATCCATTGGAACTATATGGTGCTATGTGTTAATGTCCCAACATATTTATTTATGTATTTATTTACAATACAATTTTAACGAGATAAACATTAGACAAATACTCACTTTTAGTACTGGCATCATCTACTAAAAAAACTTCCTTTATTAAAAACGTAGGTGACCTATTAAGTACACTGTAGGCTGTTCTCAACAAAGTGCTCCAATGCTCATTATGAAACGGCACAACAACACTGACTGTTGGTAATGACTCAATGTACAGTCTTTTTTGGCATCCAATATGACGAATGTCGGGGAGAGATCTATTAAGAGGAATTAAGTCACTTAGGGCTCCATTGAATCCGTTAACGGCGTATAAGTCTTTTTCTAGGGCGGAATCTTTCTCTGGTAAATGAGCTGGTTTACCATGTTCTCCAATACCTATAGCATACAAAGGTACCATTTAACTACATTTATAAAGTAATATTAATTATGTAGAAATGGCAGGTTAATTTAAATATTTTTTTTTATATTTTAATTTCAATTGAGTCAATAAATTTTATGAATTACTGGAGATGTACAATCTTGGGTACGTACCTAGGTCTTAACAGTAACCTGTGTTACTTCAGGTCATATCTAAGTACTAAGTTTCATCAATATCTCTCCAGCTTTTTTAGTTTAAAGGAGGTGAAAAAATATAAACTTTTACATTTTCTAATAGTAATATTTAAAAATATATGGAGATAAAAATAAGAAATTTGATCACAAATATTGTACTTCTGTCATGTCTTGGGTAAATTGAAAAATGCAAATAACTAATGATCAATATTAGAATGATAATTCAGTACTCACCTACTCTTTGTCTTTCATAGTCAATTTGTTGATAATTGTGCCAATCTATTTTCTGAGAAATAAATAGGTATATCAATTTATATTAGAATATCTAATTAAGTTAGCTTTCCAAGAATATTTCATTTGATAGCAAAGTTATCTTTAAATTTGATCCAGTTTGATAAGAAAAACATTTATTTCATTTCAAAGGTATTATCAACATAACATAATATTACAATGTTACACTAATTATGAAAATTATAACAATATTCTATGGCAAAATAATAATAATTCTTTCAAATAAGCATATCTAATAAGAGAAATTAAAAAAGTCAGTATCTATAGAACTTGTACAAAATTATTCACTGAATATCCAATAAGAATACTTCCAGTAAACTAGCGAAAAACCTCAGCAAATATAGATTCCAATATTAATACTAACTTTTAAGCTTGAAGGAACAAAATATTCTTCACTCTTTAAAATCCTTTGCAATGAATCTCTCACAGGCTTAGCGACATCTTCTAATGTCTTTACTTCTGATACAGTCTTGACTAAGTATAGTAATATTATTAATACAGTTACAGCTAAAAGGTTCCGCAACCTCAAGAGCCTTAAACAATTTCGCCTCATAACTAACATATTTTCTGAAAACGAAAATGTTACATATAATGTTTACGAAGCTTAAAATTACACATTATATCTTTAAATTTGTAATAAAATGTCATACAGACATAAAAACAGGCAGTAGTGAATTTTGATATATGTATTATCATAAATAGATAATATTTAACAAGTATAAAATTAAACGTTACTAATGTAACAGGAAGTGATAAGACCAAGTTAATTTTAGAAATGAAAAAGTTTTTGTTTTTTATGTACACAGAAAGTAATAAAATTTAATAATGTTTAGCTTTCGGCTTTTTGTTATACTATTAAATACATACAAACAACTTACTATTAGGAACAAAAGTAGTTTATGAAGTATTTAAAACTTAAAAGAAAAACAAAACATGTACTGGTACATTATGAACATTCAAGAAATAACAACTCGTTTGTTGAATGTATTCGTATTTCGTAAACACCGCAAATGAACTGCCTTCACCTCACCGCTTGGAATGACCTCAACTTGTCAAGGCAACTAACGTCAGTCATTAAGTCTCACAGATTAATAACTGATTAATGAAGTCTGAAAAGTTTAGTATTTACCATGGATGACAAATAAAAGTACTTACATCCATAATCTATACCTATATGACTTCTTAAGTTATTTCATAACGCTTTCATGATTTATCATACGTTTACCATTTTTGATATCAAAAATTAAATTAGAGTATATATGATAAAAAATTTCAAAACTTAATGCAGACTAAAACAAATAGTCAAATCGATGTCAATTAAATTAAAATTTTGGTAGCTTTGGTCTCGTGAATTTAACAACATAATAATTAAAAAATATAAAATAATATTACTGAATGTGACTGGATTTTCATACCATTTCAATATGTACCGTTTTAAATTACGAGCTATAGTATAATAGTAGCAATATTATAGTAAATTTCGTAGCATAAACGAAAATAATGTATCATATTCATAACATAGTATATTCATAACGAATAAAGTTCAATAATCAATTGAAATATCATTAACTTTGACAAAATGGAAAAAAATCTAATATTGCTTGCGGAATTTTATTCAAAATTACCCTAATATTTTTTTTTGTAATTATTCAGTTTATCTGTGAATAAAAATTATTATATACGAATGTCATTCGTCATCCTGACAGCCGCTGACAACTGTTTGTTTGCTATTGGTTGCTTTACAGAAAAACTCCAATCATATTGTACCACAGATACAAAATACACAAAAGCCGTCAAATCAAGTTAATTCATCAACTCAATGATCGAACACTATTGAAATTGAAGATCTCAATACTTTTGTTCCGGCTTTTCACTCTGAATTTTGAAGATTTGATCATTGTAAAGTTCTATTTCATTTCATGTGTGTGTATTAATGTATAAAGCATTGACATAGTCACTTAAAAGAAGGTATATGATTTTGAATAATATAACGAGATTAATTAATCTTCCTTTTTTATAAAGCTTCGGTGTACCACACCAGCCTCAGTTTTATTTATTTTATTGAGGATATCCGCTATCCGGTGTCCCTTACATATATATTTGCTGTAGACACGGTGAATAAATGTTTACAAGATAATTTAATTAAGGACTTTCGTGGCAAAAGTGTCAAGTGTTTATCATACTATACTACGACAATTTTTACTGAATATAATTTATTTCAGATGCTCTATTTTCGGCGACTATTTGTAAGTGCCTTATTGGTACTTTTAGTTACATCGGCTAACGCTGATACTGACGATTCTGATGATGAAGTTACTGTTGAGGTTAGTTAACAATGCTTGACCTATTTTCCACGGAAACGAATTTTATTCACTCGAAACGTTACATCTAATTTACTTTTTTAACTTTGCACCTTTAAACCTGCATTTTAACATTATTCGTTTTAAGACATACTTAATACTTGTTAACCTGGTGTTATTTATCTTTTATTAAAACTGCTAGTTTTTTATGATATTACCTTGTTAAATATATCCCAACTGTTGCTGGATTTTATTTATAATATCCTTGAAGTAAAAAAATCGTTTTCTTATCATGTAAAATAAGAAAAAAAAGAAACTTTCTTCTTTTGCTATATCTTGGTTTTGTTTAACACATGTGTGATCTTATTTAAATAATTAAATAAGATATCTAAACTATACAAACTGATAAGATTTGATAAAGAATTTTGTGAGTAAAACTTGTTATTTAAGTAAATAAATTGCATACTAAACATTTAAATAATTATATCTTGAACTATTTAAATATCATTGTGATATTAAAACTTAAAATGAAATTGTATATAAATAATTACACTCATCTGGTACCTAGTTACATTTTATTAAAGACAAAAATTGGTTTATTTAATAATATTTGTTTTAAATTTTAATTTGTTTTTTTTTTACATTTTTAATAAATTTCACTTGCATATACAAATATATAATATACAATTAAATGTAAGATATCTATTTTAGTCAATTTATATTCTATTAGTATTCTTATAGTTATATCTAGTTTAAACATAGTCTATCTGACTGAGCAGACCAGGTTATCATTAGGAGGAGGTAGATAGTACAACTATTCAATTCACAGTTCACACTTAAAAATTCATTTTAAAAAGGCCTACAACAGTTAGTAAAAGTGAAGTATTTTTATATTTTATTACTTTTTAAATCACAATAATTATGCCACTCAATCTTAAAGTAAAATAATAAAAGAAAGTTATAAAATTCTTCCATTATCAAAAAACACAACAAAAAAGTTCTTTTGATATTACAATAAAAAATGTTACAATGAGAAAAATATGCTTATTATATTTTTAATGTTTCTGTAGGCTGTGGAAGAAGAGCAATACCAAAGCCCAGAAATTGATCCCAAGAAATTTTATCTAGCAGAGCATTTTGATGATGAAGCCGCATTTAAAAAGAGATGGATTAAATCTGAAGCAAAGAAACAGGGTGTTGATGAAAATATTGCTAAATATGATGGCATATGGGAGGTAACATAATATTTTCTTTTACAGTCTTATGATATTTTAAATTATGAGATATATGTCTGTATTAGTTGCTCTGTGTAATAATATGAATATTTAACTTGTAATGCAGTAATATCCTATATTAAACATAAAAACCACTACAATTTATTGAAAAGCAAAATCTTAGTATTTTGCTTATTAAAATTATCTAATTATTTAAGTGCAAAATTAAAGATGTAATCTTTTCTGTATAAAGTTTATAAGATTGTAAGTGTAAAATATTACTAACCGAGTGAGTCTGCTTAAATTTGCTTTCCTCTGTCAGTTTGTTGGTACTCCTCCACTAGTCGTATTTTACAATCGATCTAGACGAAACTTGGTATACATTTTTACGACTTTAAAGATTTTTTGTCATCGGGGATTTTCGATTGGAGGGGTACTTCCTCCTAAAAGGGGCTACTAGATATACGCCTTATGAGATCCGATTTGGGTGGTTATTTTTTTTAGAAAGGTACTTTTTAAGTTGGTCTCATAAAAATTTGGTGAAAATCTGATGATCTTCAGCGTGATGAGCTGAATAGCTCCTCAAAATGCAGTTTGTGCTCGCGAGGTCTACTGTTCGCAGAACTAGAAGTTTTGTTTTTATTATATAGAAACATAGTAAGCAGTTCCTTACTGTTTTCAATCTATACTAATATTATGAATGTGAGAGTTTGTGAATATGAATGTATGGATGTTTGTTACTCTTTCACGCCAGAACGGATCTGGGTGAAATTTGGCAGAGAGATATGTAATAGTCTGGAATAACACATAGGCTATTTTTTATCCCAGATAAATTTATGGTTTCTGAGGAATAGGTTTGTTTTTGTTTACCTAGAGGCGAACCCGAGCGAAGCGAAGGTGAGCCGCTATTAATGAATTATAATGAATAGATTGTGTGATAATTAAAATAAAAAGTGGTTTAAAAACATTCTTTTTGCAGATCCAAGCACCATCAAGACGCATTATGAAGAATGATTTGGGCCTTGTCCTCACAACAGAAGCGAAGCATGCGGCAATATCTGCTCTGTTGGACAGACCCTTTGAGTTCAAGGACAAACCACTTGTTGTCCAATATGAAGTTACAATGCAAGTGAGTTGTCTTTTATTTATTTAAAATTAGGTTTGTAACTAAAATTTATTATTTTTCTTTACAGAGTTTCAAATAAAACTTTTTTCTATTTTTTTTCTGATGTAACAAATTCTTTATGTCAAACATGGTCAGGGTGAGAAATGTTTTATTTGACAGATTAACTGTCCGCATTATAGACACTATAGTTAAACAAACGAAATGTTCATATATGACTCATGGGACAGGGAAACGGTTAAGATCGATTAATTCTAAGGGATTTTATAGGTTTGTCAATGTGACCACTTTATTAAATTTGTTTCTAAAGACAATATCAAATAGTGCAACAACACAGTCGTGTTTGTTTCATAAAAATAAATGTTGTTACATTTAAAAAATATATACATCTATAAATGCAGAGTGTTAAATTTATTTGGGGAACAGTAACTGAAGAACTAACCTTTTTTTTTTTTTTTAACGTTGGGAAATGCATTTACGCACGACGTGTGGGACTCACCGGCGTAATACAGCCAGTACTACCCACTAAAACCCAACAAAACCTTCCCCCGTCTTAATGGGGCGTCGCAGGATCGCTTACGCATTCAACTACGACGCCCCGACGGCAGGTCTGCCAAAGCAGACCACCACAACCATGGGGTTGCTCCAAGGTCCACTCAGCTATCAGAGAAGTACCAGGAGCAACCCGCAAGGTACACCGCCCCCCGAAGAGGGCCACCTCCCACCGCCCACCGAAGTGGGCAACCTCCCTGTGCGTTTCTTAGCTTCGCTACTACTACTGAGCCCCCCACCACGACAAGGTGAACGCACGTTGGGGGGGAACTGAAGAACTAACCTGTGTCAAGGAAAGTCTAAAAACTATATCTCAATTCTATTAAATCCTTTGTTATAATTACTGAATAATCTGAACTGTTTATAAAAGCATATACAAAAGTATCAACAGCGCATAAATAACCGACTGATTTTAGTTCCAAAAACAGCCACGGATCGATTAATTGATGACGACGCGTTTGGCTCAGCTTGTACTGACCCTACTTGTTGTGCCAACGGTCGCGGGTTCGAGTCCCGCTGGGGGCATTCATTTGTGTGATGAGCACGAATGTTTGTACTCCAGTCATGGGTGTTTATATTTATAATATGTATGTATGTATTTAAAATTATATATGTGTAGTGTATCAACTATGTGGTATTCATAGCTCAAGCCTCATAGCTTACCACGAAACTACATGGTGCTGTTTATTAATGTCCTGACATATTTATTTATATGATTTCGCCTTTCAAATAAATTCACGCTATACGTAATATACAACTTTGACCTCACTACAAATGTAATAATATAATATTAATAGGTATGTGAATTTTCTTTTTCTTTTAGTTTATGAAACGGTCAGATGCAATATCCATGTAAACTTTAGACATGTTACTCCAAACTAAGTCGCCTGTAAAGCCGATAAGCCAATTAGCCATGCGTTAGTTAGTGCTGTCGACATATGTACATATATGTATGTATGTATATAAGCTTGGCCGACATTGTATGTAGATATCTTATTATATTAAACGAGCAATTCTTATATTATATACTGGCGACTCACCCTCGCTTCGCTCAGGTTCGAGCCTAGCTTGCTTCCCAATACAAACTGTCATCCCCATTTTCACCACCTTAAGGGATGACTTCCGGGATAAAAAGTATCGTATGTCCTTCTCAGGGTCTCAAACTATGTTCTTACCACATTTCATCTAAATCGGTTCAGTAGATCCAGAGATTAGCCACAAACTCACAAACTTTACCTCTTTATAATATTAGTTTAGAGATACATACATACGTTTTGACGAATAGTACAGAAAAGGCAGACTAATTATATACATATAGGCAGTAGCGGATTTAGCTTAGGCCCGTGAGGCCCGCATGACAAATTTTGAAGGGGGTCAACATTTTTAAGAAATAGATAAATTTTATATAAATAGAATTTCTTTATTAAAATGACGAACTACGAAAGAAAAAGGGCGCCATATCGACATGGGCCTAGGGCGCCATCGAACCTAAACCTACTGCATATAGGTATGATGAGTTTTATATCCTTTACTTGAGAAATGATTGATTCCCCATACAAACTTCCATCCCCCCCTTTTCGCTCAATTTTTATCTAAATCGGTTGAACAGTTTAGTCGTGAAAAGGTAACAAACCAACGAAGTTACTTTCGCATTTATAACATGTATTATGATAAAATTTCGTGTATCTCGCAAACGGTTAACGATTTGGATCAAATTTTGTTTTTAGATAAGGTTCTGCTTTTTAAGTTTATGTATACCTATTTGGTGTCTTTTCTAGAAAAACGCCTTGTTTGAATTTGGCAGTTATATTTTTATACCGATTTAATATGTCTTTAAAGATTTCAACTGATACAATTAAAAAAATACATATCTAAACTGCAAAAAAAAATATGTTACCGATATGTAATGTTTGTTTCGAAAAAGACCTTGACGATATCGATCTATATATTTAGGATATGATATAAAATGACACGATGAGGGTAAAAAATTAAAATTAATGGTTCAAAAACACAAGTAATAAATACATAAGTATAATGGTTACGAAACAGTTTTAAACTAATGTAGTTTTTATCGTATTGTATAATTTTATATTGTAAACGTAAAAATGTTGCAATAAATATGTTTATTATTTTATTACTATCTTCTGTCTTATTATATAAATTTAAATTTATACATATAATAAAATTCTGAGTCGAATCTATACATAAATATTGTTTGCCAAAATTACAGAGGCCGAATCTATAGTTTTTAGACTTTTTTAGAATTTTTGTCAGTCTGTGACTGCATCAAGGAAAAACTACTAGAAGAATTTTAATGAAATTTGGTATAATAATTAGTTATTCGGGTATAGGATACTTTTTACTGCGGGCAAATATCTCATCTCTGAAAAATCCATACATATATCCTATATAGTGATTCGCTAGTTATATAAATGAAACTGAATGTTCGTATGTTTGTCCTCTATGCGTTCCTAAACCATTGACCGATTGTAACGAAACTCTGGTGGGTTATTCTGTCTAAGCCAGCGTAGGCTCCTGGCGCAAAAAAAAAGCTTTTATTTTCTTTGGACGTTTGCTTTTTATGCCTTCCTAAATCATTCAAGCTTACGAAGTTGCTAGTTAGTATTAAAATAGCATTAAATACGTTCTCAATAACATCTGTGATGAGTTAAACAAGTTCTAGTACGTAAACGATAAACATTTAGCGAAAATATCACAAAGAAATTGTAAACTATAAACAGACGCTGGCGACGTTCCAGCTCGCTTTTGGAGAGATTTGTGTGGCTTTATGTATTCTACGTATAGTAATTAACTTTCCTGCGTATTATCTACTTATTTACCAAATATGTAATAAGATTATTGTGTTCCAAAGTAGGTAATTAACGCTTTTTGTCTCACAAAGTTTAGGCATAGATGTTTTGTGTCGAATCTGGAATATAAAATGATTTTGAAGGCATACATTGATATTTTACAATAAAAAATATATTTTATAACTTAATTATTATATAAGTTTAAATATATACATATATGTATTATAAATATAATCCATACATCCATGACTGAAGTACAAACATTCGTGCTCATCACACAAGTAAATGCTCCCAGCGGGATTCGAACCCGCGACTGCTGGCATAGTAAGTAGAGTAACTACAAACTGAGACAAACGTGTCGTCAAATTATACTAGTATAATTATTTTTAACTATTTTTGTTTTCGTAATTAAATATCTCTTGCTACGATCGGCGTTCCTAACCTTCAATGGTTTAAGAACGCATAAAAGACAAAAGTTTAAAGAAAACCAGTAATTTTGAGACAAGTATCTTCGCAGTCGTATACAGAATAACCCACCAGAGTTTGATCACAATCGGATCAATGGTTTGACAACGCGTAAAGGACAAACATAAAACATTCATTTCTACTTATATAGATAATAGTCATATATTCAAAAAATAACCGATGAAACAATTAAATAACAGGAAGGTCAAAACTGTGGTGGGGCGTACCTCAAACTTCTTTCCCGCGGGATGAACACCAAGGCCGATCTCCGTCAGTTTCACGACCAAACGCCGTACACCATCATGTTCGGGCCCGACAAGTGTGGGAATGACAACAAACTGCATTTCATCTTCAGACATAAGAACCCCCTAAATGGCACCATCGAAGAGAAACACAGCAAGAAACCTACGTAAATATAAATTAATTGTTTGTAAAACAGAAATTGGCTGAAAAGATTTGGATCAGGTTTTAATTTATTTTTCCATTCATTTTATGCATATTACATAAAAAAACTATATAATTATGTACATAATAAACTTAGAAAGTTATTAATGATAACTTTAACATGTAATCTGACTTTTTAACAATTTTCAATTATTGTGATTATCATATAAAAAAAAATGTGTAATTATGTATGTATTACTGTTGTAAATATCAAAATACCTAATAATAAAATAAAATCTAAATTCCTGCTGTTTGCTTCTGAAGTAGAATCTATATGTGGCTACAGTTTTTACTTATTACTAGGCAGAATATATTAACCATTTACCTGATTTGTGTCTTAAAAAAAAACAAAAATATAGATTTTTAATATAAACATACATATACATATATTTGACACACAGGCAACGTCTCGATGACATTTACAAAGACAAAGAACCACATCTCTACACTCTGATTGTCCGTCCGGACAACACATTCACCATATTAGTAGATAACAAGGAGGTCAACTCCGGCTCGCTGTTGGAGGACTTCACCCCTCCAGTCAATCCCCCGGAAGAGATTGAGGACCCTAATGACAGGAAACCTGAGGACTGGGATGAGAGGGAGAAGGTGAGTTGATGGTTCATTGTTAGTATGTAATATGGCTCGTGTTACTTTTTTGTGGGTTAATATTGATTTTTGATTTCCTTTAAGATTTAAGGTTTTATATAAAATATCAAATATTTGTGTAAATATAAGAATATATTCAGGACTTGACTTAATTGTTTGTTTAGTAAAAAGTACTAGTATTCTGCTTATTATAAAGTACTAAAAAATATTACATATGCATCATATAGAAAGTCTTATATAGTCCACATAACCCACTGGTCCATGTGGTCCACAGAGGCACCTTATATCCATCAATTTTATAGTCCACATGGTCGACTTGGTCCATGTTGTTCACTTGGTCCACCATATAGTCCTCACGGCCAATTGCTTGCAGATAGTGGACCCCACCGCCACGAAGCCCGCGGACTGGGACGAGAGCGCGCCGGCGCAAATCGTGGACCCCAACGCGGTGAAGCCCGACGGCTGGCTTGACGACGAGCCGGAGACAATACCAGGTCAGCCTTTTTTCTTTTTTTTTAATATCAAATATAAATAGAAATCAAAAGACGACACGTTTGGCTCAGTTTTTAGTGCCAGGGGTCGCAGGTTCGAGTCCCACTGGGGGCATTGATTTGTGTGATGGGCACGAATGTTTGTACTCCAGTCATGGCTGCTTATAATTTTATAGTATGTATCTGAAGTTATATATGTGTAGTGTATCATAACACAAGCCTCGTAGCTTACCATGGAACTAGATGGTACTGTGTGTTAATGTCCCGACATATTTATTTATGTTACCGTCCCCCAGAGCCGGGTGCGACGAAGCCGTCGGACTGGGACGAGGACATGGACGGCGAGTGGGAGGCGCCGCACGTGGACAACCCGCGCTGCGAGGCCGCGCCCGGCTGCGGGCCCTGGTCGCCGCCCAACATACCCAACCCCAACTATAAGGTAGGCTTGTTGAAAAAATATTGATATTTTTGATCCGATTTATCGACAATACAAATTAAGTATCAACTAGAGAAACCAAACTCAAAACCATTCAAGTTCATATTTGGATTACACATTTTAAATTACTTTTTGTATACTAGATGACGTTAAATGTGTTCTGAATCACGCTAAGGTTTGGTTCGCTCTTCAAAGACTAAAGAAATTGTAAATATATATATTCAAATATTGTCAAAGGCCCTGCCCTTCTGGCGAAGTTTAATAAAAGCCATCTTACTAGCACTACATTTGTTTTGGTATTTATTTTTATCATCAGAAGAAAGTTCACCCTAGTGCAAGGCTACTGAATAAACTGATTCAACACAAACAATAAGTGTATTTCGGATAAACCAATATTGAATTAAAAAAAATGAATTTAAGCCGGTTAATGTTTTTGTCCCGGTGTTTCAGGTGTATGTATGTATATGTTTCTTAAATACTAATATTGAATAAATAATATAGAACCTAATGTCTGTTTCTCCCCCGGCAGGGCGTGTGGCGCGCGCCGCTCATCCCCAACCCCAACTACAAGGGCAAGTGGACGCCGCGCCGCATCCCCAACCCTCACTACTTCAACGACCAGCACCCCTTCCGCATGACGCCTATCGTGAGTCCTTGTTTGCTCACTTTAGTTATAGTACATATAGTAGCGGTCGAATGTCTGTACATAGAAAAAAAAATGCTAAAAACCGAGTCAGGGGGGTGTAAGAAGAGAAATAGAACAAATCCAGGTTTTTTTTTAAATTTTTTGTTTCTCTGTCTGTTTGTCTGTTTGTACGGGCTAATCTCCGAAATTGTTGAACCGATTTAAATTAAATTTAGCTTTGTGTTACTTTATATCCCTGGTCAACATTTAAGATACTTTTCATTCCGGAAAATTATAGAGTTCCCATGGGATAGTTAAAAAACTATAGTAACTTCTTAGTACACAACAGTATAACATAATTTAGTAAAATTTGGCATGCTGATACCTTATATTTCCGGTCAAACAAAAGGTTACTTTTTATCCCGGAAAAAGGAACGGTACCGTAGGTAACGTTATGACCGTTTTTGCTTTAATAAAAATAAAATGACATTTTTTTTCTAGTGTGTCTTATTATATTTAAATAGATTTTTACATGCACTTTTGAATGGTCACTTTTTACATTTATTTGTACGTGTGTGTGTGTGTTTGCGTGCAGCACGCGGTGGGCTTCGAGCTGTGGTCGATGTCGCCGCAGCTGCTGTTCGACAACGTGGTGGTGAGCGACGACGAGGCGGCGGCGGCGGCCTGGGCGCGCGCCACCTTCCTGCTCAAGCGCGCCCGCCTCGCGCGCGACTCGGTATGCCGCCGCACGCGACCACTATACACGACCACTACACACGATCACCACTAACATCACACAGGACACACGACCACTATACTACCACCAAACACGACAACCCAATACTCTTGCGTCACTTTAAACATAATTTGTTATTAGTGACCTTTAACTTTTAACATTATATTTTGGTTTTGAAAAGTAAATATTATTAGACAATGTGTGGTTTTTACATATATTTTAATAGTTCTATAAAGGAGGTTTTGTTTGGTGTTACGACAATTAACATATAGTTTTTATGTTAATCTAACAAGTCTGTTGAAAAAATCTAATATGGACCGAATCTTTAATTCGGCCGGGGTTTGATTCGCGACCTAGGCACGTGCATTTTGCCAACTTCCCAACTTTGGGCTGTTACTGCGAATATAATAGAAAAACTCAGTCATCAAATTTGGCTCGAACCCAGGACCTCAGCATACAGCCGCACATGCAAGCTACTAGACCACGGAGTTAGTTCAGGCAGTAGCTACGACAACTGAACATGTGTCTATATTCATTTAACGAGTATTTAAACAATCCAATATACCGAATTGACTCGACCTGGATTCGAACCCGCGTGTGGTGGGCGTGGGCGCAGCAAAGCTGGTGGGGCTGGGTGCAGCGCGCCACGCGGCGGCGGCCGGGCGCGTGGGCGCTGTACCTGCTGTACGGCGCCGTGCTGGTGGCGCTCTACCTCGCCTACCTGCTGCGGCGCGCCACCGAGGTGCCGACGGTGGCGGTGTCGTAGGCTACAGTATATAGCAGTTTAGAACGGGGTCGTATCGGACGCGTCGCGCCACAGAGTTGACCGCAATACCTCACACCCAATACTTGGCATTTATTTGTGTGTTGTTGTATGCTAGGCTATATCTCAAAAAACTCAATCAACAAATTGATGCAGTTCTGCTGTGTCATAAGAAAGAAGGCCGTAACTAACAATTTGGTCAAAAACGACTTATATGCAGATTCGGAATCAGCAAAAAATATTCCACGTGATACATATAGTCCACTCATAAAGCTCTACCTCCTATCTAGTGTCTTATGAATCCGGAAATACCATAACCATTTTAATCGTAACTACGTCAAAACTAGTAGTCATTTTGACGTAGAAGTAAAACAAACCTTCAAATATCTCGAAATCAACTTTGACGAAGTTACGGCCTTCTTTCTGTGTGTGTATATTAACGCTAAATATGCTCAAGTAGTGATTAGTAGGCTATATCGTAGGAATCCGCGGTGGAGCGCCTTTTGAAGTTCGCGGGCGCCAACCCGTGGGTGTACGCCGTCGTCATCGTGGTGTCCTTCGTGCTGGTCGGCCTCGTCGCCTACATGTGTTGCGGGCCTAAGACTGTGAGTGTTACATCTATTTATTTTTTTATTCATTTGTCCATTTATTTATTCATTTGTCCATTTATTTATTCATTTGTCCATTTATTTATTCATATGTCCATTTATTTATCCATTTGTTTGTTCATTTGTCCATTTGTTTCTTCATTGATCCATTTAGGTATTCATTTATTTATTCGTTTATTCATTTATTAATTTATTTTGTTATAATTCTTTTTTATTTATTCAACACTTAATTGCATAAAATTGATAATAAAGGCTGCAAAAGAGGTCTCAACGGTAATAGAACATTTTTTAACAACTAGATTTAAAATGTAGTTATGAATGTGGGTTAGTGTTTGTAGTTATAAATGTTGTTTGTTTCTTGTTATGTAAAGGTTTTTTTTATTTACAGTATTTATGAAATCTGAGTTTTGAGATTTTTTTATTTTTAGTGTATAGATATACAATTTATAACTTTTTTTAATGTATAATTACATGAAAAATAATAATAAATGGAACAATCTCAAAACGAAGTAAGTGATTTTTCTAGGATAAGGATACATTTATTTAGTAAAAACTGTTAATATTAGTAAAAACGTAAATTGTTATTGTTTTTTTTTTTAATTTACAGTTTTAAAACTAACTTTTATTATTATTTTAAATTTAACTTATTATTTATAGTTCTACATCCAACATCCTGTTACAACAAATTCTGTACAAATTTTTGTTACTTTCTCTTATATTTTACAATAATGATTATTATTTCATTTATTTATATTTCATTTTATTAATTAATCGTTTATTTCAATATAAAGCCATAATGCCAAAATTATGGTAATTTTTAAATAACAACAACAATTATATTGTAGTAAAATATACTAAAATGTATACCTATGACACTACAGCAAGACCCAGAGGCCGATCCAAAGAAAACGGATGCAGTGGTAGAAGATGACCCGCACCAGTCTGAGGAAGATGGAGAAGGTGATGAGAAGAACGAAGAAGAAGAGAAGCCGAGCAAAACTGACTTGGAGGGGCCGGAGAAGGAGAAAGAGGTAAGTTAAAGACTCAAATTGTTTTTTTGTTTTATGATGGGAGAATGGTTTAAAATATTTTAAATACTCGTGTCATGTAAATTAAGTAACAATAACTATTTTTTTTGTTATTGTAATTAATGCGAGTAAAGCTGAGTTTTATGGGTAATATTTACATGGGGAAATAATAAAATTTTAAAGTCTTTGTATATTTTAATAAAATAACCTACCATAAAAAACCTACATTTTTAATGTTAATTATAATTTGATTTATTTTAAAAACTACTTTTTTGTAACTGTAATAAAATATTGAATGAAAAATATTTCAGAAAGCTCCACAAGTGGACACAGAGGGTGCCGGCGACGCCCAGAGGAAAAGGAAAGCCCGCAAGGAGTGAGTGAGACGGGGATACATAACACTTAGCGTTAGAGCGAGACGGCACGAGAGATCTCTTTCACTCTCACCTCAAAGTTTTCGGTTATTAGTTAAATTTGTACCATTGTGTATATTCCCGGGTATGTATACATTTGTACTTATAAATATTTATTTGCAAAAAATATTAATACGTCTCCGTTATTCGCATCGTAATTGCGTGTTTTTGTGTGAAATTATTAGCTTTAATTAAGTGGCTGACATTCGCCATTTCCATTAGACTCGAATGTGCATATACCCTCCATTTTTTATGATATTTTTTTTACATTTTAACATTCACAACTCACTTTCTCAGTCACCAAACACACACTTTCTCAGTCACCAAAGAATTGATTTCGCTCGTTTTGAACAAAACGTTTATCAATTTAGTAATTTTGTTTTTTATTTTTTAAGATCTATGAATTAAATATTATTTATTTTAACAAAGAGGTTGTAAGTTTCGCAATTCCTGATGCATTTGTATGTAACTTTGTATGAGTGGATAGCAATATGTAATTAGTACTGCTTGTGAATAAATTGTCTAAAACGCTGCAGCTGTTTTAAAATGTATTTTTATTTAACCTAACAGAACTCCTACTATTTTATTTTGACATAACATAGAAATATATATAATAACACTAATATAATAGAAGAAATTTGGAATTTGAAATATAATTTAAAAATTCAATTTATTCACATGCAGTGTAATTTTATAATGTAGGTATTTTGAGTGTTCATTGAATAATATATGGAAATATAGTAATATTTCTTTTCCATAGAAGGCTTACCCCTTCTAATATATTATGTATTATTATAATTTAAAATATAGTCCAAGTGATATCGATGCTTAAATAAAATTCTAATCCCATATTTTATTGTTTGTTTCATTGTTTTACTTCTGACATAGTATTATTATAATATATTATAACTTAATGTATAATGTCCGTACATTGTAGAACATGAAAAATAATTGAATATAATAATATAACATTGAATTATTTATTTAGTTTTAAGTTATGTTTTGTTGTTGCAATTCAAGTACTGAAGTGTACTTCGTAAAATAATATTTTTATTTAATATTTGATTAGTCTACAATGTGCGGTTAATTTAACTCTTGGATAATAATATATACTTTAAATCATAATATAATAAATATCCAATTTTAGTTAATAAATAAAAACATTTTCTATGTTTTTGTAATAGTCGTTTTAAATAAAAGATGGCGCTGGTCGATGACGTTAGCTGTCATCTATTATGTACAAATCAGATTTTGTTTCAAAATTACCAATTTTGTCACTCGTTATTAATTTTTTATGCATTTCAGTATTATATTGATGTCATTTTATTTTCTTAGGTCTCGAAATGACCGAAAATTATTGTTAATTGTTTTTTTTTTTCATATATTTTGTATTATTATTTAAGTTGTAATAGCTGACGTCTCGGGACCGCCATTAAGTTGTTTGATGGGTACAAGTAATGGACTGTAATTTACATGGTAATAAATAAATATTTCTATCATTTGGTTTTATTTATCCTTATTCAATATGAAGATATATACATTTTACTTTGGCTTATTTTCAAAAACCCTAAAACTGATAATCTGATTTCTATTACATAATTTTTGTCATACGAAAATTGCCTATAAATTATGTGCGTTTTTTTTTTTGTAAAATATGTAAAGCCGCTAGCTAGTAAATTAATAAGATAGAAAACACGCCTACGGCCTATCCCTAAAGTTGCTTTAACTCGACAAGTATAAAACCAGTGCGGTAACCAGAATACTTACTGGTCACTGCAAACTCAATAAACATATGTTTACCGTCGGCCTCAGTCAGGCCGCAATGTGCAGACTATGCCATGAGACAGGAAACTGCTATGCACATCCTCTGCTCGTGCGGTCTACTCATGCACCGCAGAAGTAGGGCAGCATATTTTGCAACCGGAAGAGATACAGATGCTCCCCGCTCAGAAAATCTGGAATATCCTGGAGTCAACAGGACTAACCGGAGAACTTTAAATTCATTCTAAAGGAAGCTACAATGGACCAAAACTGGTCGACGTAGCTAGCGCCGTCCTCGGCACCACACCCAACATAATAATAATAATCCCTTAAAACGGACTCTGTCATTTTTGGATATAATAGTCCTCGGCACGGCACATCGGCGATACATAAACTGCCATATTATTAACAAATATCTGGACTATTTTTTTTTCTTCATGGTCCCCATCCATGGTCATACTGAAAAATTGGCGTTCAAAAAGTTTTTTGTCAACCTTTCAAACTTATTTTATGATGATGGTTAAAAGTAAAACTTACCCTTCTTAGCACTATTTACCCGGATGCGGCAAAGCCCAAAGATAGGATATGTGATTGACCCGTATGTATATATGTCCGATCCTGTTTCCTTGTAATTACTGAACGGTTTAACCGGTTATTTTAATATATATTTTTGTTTAAATAATTAATCACACGTCATTAGATTCTTTTCGATACCGCGAGTGTCACATATATCTAGATATTATTAAAAAACAAAATGGAGAATTTTAGACCACAATTTATATAGGTACCTATTTTTATACAAAAATCCTTCCAAATCGGTCAAGTTGTGGGTATCAAAATGAAGATTTTAAAAATAACTTGGGATAAGAAATTATGAAATAAAACTCTAAATGTTTAATTTCTGACCAAAACTAAAAGCTGTATAGCAAGACTCTTTTTTTAACGTTGGGAAATGCATCTACGCACGAGGTGTGGGACTCACCGGCAAAGCCAGTACTACCCACTAAACCCCAACAAAGCCTTCCCCCGTCTTAATGGGGCGTCGCAGGATCGCTTACGCATTCAACTACGACGCCCCGACGGCAGGTCTGCCGAAGCAGACCACAACAACCACGGGGTTGCTCCAAGGTCCACTCTGCTATCAGAGAAGTACCAGGAGCAACCCGCATGGTACACCGCCCTCCGAAGAGGGCCACCTCCCACCGCCCACCGAAGTGGGTCACCTCCCTGTGCGTTTCTTGGCTTCGCGCCCGGCTGGGTTGCCGGGCACTACTGAGCCCCCCCACCACGACAAGGTGAACGCACGTTGGGGGGGTATAGCAAGACTCGCAGCAAGTATAATGCAGTCGAAAAAATGTATGATGCAGTCGAAAATATACATGTATGTATGTTTTCGACTGCATAATACTATGTTCCTTCGTCAATATTTTTATCTTTTCAGTCTTATCTGTTAAAGAGTTTTTTTGACAATTATTAACCGAATACATTAGGTATAAACATGTATTTTTTACCAGACCAAACTGCTAAACTGATAATTTATAAAAAAATTACCTTTAATTTAAAAAAAAAAACAGATTTCTTTTATACCTACTCAAAAAAAAAAGATAAAAGAATTTTAAATAAAACTATCTTTTCGGATTTTGTCGCGGATTTATTTGGATTTTTGTTTCCCGACGTTTCGAATGCTTTACAGCATCCATGGTCACGGGAGAGACTGGTCTCTCCCGTGACCATGGATGGACCATTTAAAATGTCAAATATTCGCGTAAATCTAAGAAAGTATTAGATAAAAGAATATCAAAGAGAGAGAAATCACAGAGAATATAATGAAAAAATTCAAGAGTTCAAACTTCCGATCCCTACCAAACTTTACAGGATCACCCGCTGGTCTAATCTGAAGATCGCCTGGAAATTTCATCAGAATCGCTCCAGCCGTTTTAGAGTCCATAGGGAATACACGTACACACATCCATTCTCATATACATACTATATATACGGCTAGGGCACGGTAATGTTACGTAATATTACCGTGGCTAGGGTTAGTTTAGTTAAAAATCATGTAAAAACTAAAATAATGCCCGCCTAGATATAGCTCTGCTGCTCCCACTTTCAAATTTTATTTATAAAATCAAATATAACTTTTTTCTTTTTGATTCGTGAGGAAACATCTTGACGGGTGCCCGAGCGCGGGGGGGCGTGCGGGGTATATAGGACTCCTGTCCAGAAAATATAACATAGCCTATAGCAATTTTGGAATCGTAAGGAATATTTAAAAAAAAGTTTTGTTGAAATTTGTTAGATAGATTTTTTGTAAAATCTGTTCAAACATACATACTTACAAAGAATTTTATATAATTAGTATATTTTAGTAAATACATACTTACTCGTAACTAATGTAGGTAGCAGTAGTCTGAATCGCACTTGATCGATTTGATTTATCTATTTCATTAAATGAAATGCGATAACAGATTTATATCCATACTTTCATACTAATATTATAAAATATATGAAAGTGTGTTTGTTTGTTTATCCTTCTTTCACGTCGAAACAGAGTGACAGATTGGCGTGATTTTTTGTGTGGAGATAGTTGGAGGGCTGGAGAGTGACATAGGATATTATTTACCACGGGAGATTATCTAATTCCCATGGCAACACACACTATAAATTAATACAATCCAAAAAACTATTTATGATTAGAATTCCTTGAAACTTGGTATTAATGCTCTTCAATACAATTAAATAAAAACGTGTTTAAGCATTTTTCGAAATTCGTACCATAAGAGGGTAAAATAGGAGATGAAAGTTCGTATGAAACCAACTTTTTTAGAGATTTTTTGTAGTTTTAGCGCGAGCGAAGTCACGGGTTCGGCTAGTAAAAGATAAATACAAGTAACAGTATTGACAATCTCATAGTATCGCAGCTATCGATTATTTGATAGCAAAATTTGCAAATTACGTCAACGACTCCGTGGCGCAACGGTAGCGCGTCTGACTCCAGATCAGAAGGTTGCGTGTTCAAATCACGTCGGGGTCAAACTATTTTTTACTAATTGATTGATAGTCACAGTCCGTGATCACCAATCTATTATTTTAATATAATAATATTATGTTACAGTGTTCCGTCTCATTTTTACTCAAGTGGATTTAATAAGTCACATTTAGCAAAGTAAAAAAATAAAGTAATAAAGTTTTATGGTGAGCAATGGATTCCAGAAATTTGGCAAAGTATGGAAGGATCTATATGGGCCAAAATCGGAGATACCGAATAATAAAGTAATAATTTTTAATTCGCAGGTTATAGACACATAATATCATCAGAATTATTGTAATTTTAATATATATTTTTGTTTAAATAATTTGTCCATTGGATATCTACAATATCGAGAGTTTTTAAAACGTTTGAGAAGAAAACGGTATACTCTATGTTTAAGAATATTTTATGGGAGCACCTCCTACAATACTGTTTAAAGTAGCAAAATCCGTCAAGCCGCTCCAAAAAATCGGTGAACCTACATAAAAAAAAACACAGACGAACTTCTAACCTCCTCCTTTTTGGACGTCGGTTAAAAATACAAAGCGGACTGTGCGGTATCCTCATTTTTCACGTAATAAATATTTATTAAAATAAGAACAATCCATGAGATATTTTAATTTAAATGTCCCGCTCTGTTTATAATATGAATAATACTAATTAATTACATCTTTCTCTTATTCGCATTATACGAATTGTAAGTTAAATTAATTCGTAGGTACCTTGTGATTTACACACTTGTTGCAATAAAAAGTTTAGCGGCAAACTACTTAATTGGTAGTACCGCACGTGAGGTATCCATCGAAGAAATTTTGAAGGCTAAATGCCAATCCCATTAATATTTATATTTTATGAAGATATATAAAGTTTGGATGGATGTATGTTTGTTACTCAATCACGTAGAACAACTGAACGGATCTGAATGAAATTTGACGCAGAGATAGATTATAGTATAAATTAGCACATAAACTACTGTTTATCCCCGAAAAGTGTGCAGTTCCCGTGGGATAGATTTGTATTTGTTTTTCACAAGAGCAGAAGATCGACTATCTATTCCATATGAACCGTTAAAATGCACCTAGGGACGAACCGAGGAGAACAAAGCGAGGGTAACTCGCTAGTTTATTATAAGTTTAAGGGAGGTCAGATCAAAACAAGAAACGAACCTTCACGAGCGTGTATAAGTGTATGGTATCATTTAATAGAATAAGGAGAAAGAGATTCTTTGTAAGAGATGTAAGCGCGTGAGGGCGAACAATGAAACCTATAGGTGATGAGGATTTATGATACATACATATTATGTCTGCTGGTAAATTTTATGTGTCACTTTCTAATTTCTATAAAAGGAAATGAAAGAGATCCTGTTAAATACTTACATCACATATTTACCTGGCATTAATATCAAAAACATAATGTAAAGAACATAATATAATTTGTAAAATTTCTCGAAAATTACCTATAAATACCCAGCCCAACCAAGCCCGCTTTTTATGGCTAAGTTCTGTGACCTTTGAAACTTATCAATGCGGTCAACACTCAACAGCTAATAGAGATATGCAGTTAACAATCACGTTATCTGGACATTTGTACCGTGCAGTTAATAAATGTAACAATAGTTACAAAACGCATGTTGTTATCGTTTAAAAAATTCATAAGCAAATTTTTTTTTATTCTTATAAGTATAAAGCAAATTCACTGGCAAGTGATAATATTAAAATGAACTGAGTATATTTTTCTATACATTAATAAACAAAAAATAGAGTAATGTACGAGGTATAAATGGATTAAAACTATGTAACAAAACATTATTTTAACAGGCGAAACAAATTTAAAGATAACGGAAAAAAAACTAAAACAATTAGGTACAAGGTTTCTAAGTGTAATATGACATTGGCGGCGTAGCTCAACTAGCACACTTAATTTAAAAAAAAACTATTAAAAAGTAAATAACATGTAAAAATATGCCTATAATGTGTTAAAAATACTAAAATAATCACAATTAGTTCTTGGAATTGGCAGAAGCTTGCTGTAAAATCGGGTGGATTGCCTTATCTAAAAAAAAGCATTTGTATAATCTGTGGCCATCAGTCATGCTCCATGAATTCAATAACTTGAAAATGGTTTAAAAACACAATATGTCAAAAATCCTAGCCTAGCATTTTTTTTTGAAGTCGGTAAATCGGAAAATAGCGGGTTATTTTACATGCAACTGGCAACACTCCGTTATCATTAAATAACCACGGTTGAAGTGAATAGTCAATGCAGACTGCGTCTGTCCGTCCGCGCGTTCGTATCATATTCTGAACTACAATGTTTTTTCCGTTTTTATTATTTACAATTGTGTTTACTGTGTGTGAATGTGATAAACCCCATATTATTTTAATTGTTGCTGATGATTTAGTAAGTATCCTATTTATTAGTTGGAATTTTAATATTTGACACTAATTACCGCTTCTTTTTTAGTGCAAAACAAAATCTATGTTATGTATGCGACTTAATAATTGTCCGATTTTACATGGCATCTGGAGATTAACAATAAATATTTAACGGTAAACTAAGTTAGACATTCAAACCGTTAAAGATATTCGGCATGTTATGAACGGTACATTACGATGCCCTCATAAGTAAAAACAGAAATAGCAGCTCACCCTCGCTTCGTTTGGGTTCGCCTCTAGAAAAACAAAAACAAATCTATCTCACATATCTATATCACGATAATAAAATGTGCTATTCCAGACTATAATCTATCACTGTGCCAAATTTCATCCAGATCCGTTCAGCCGTTCTGGCGTGATTGAGTTATAAACATCCAAAACACAAAAATGCAAAGTTTAGAACTTTCACATTTATAATATTAGTAAGATTAGAGAGATTTTAGTGACGAGTTCATATTATCATAAATATAAAAAATAACAATCTTTACTACTATATTTGCCGGTGAAAAGATTTTTTATGGACTTTCATAAAATTAAATGTATGTCTTAAAAGCTTTAATAATAAGTACTTACTTAATATCATGTTTCTCCTTTTATTTCTATTTAACCACACAACGAATTTTGATACGGTTTTCACTAATAGAAAGAGGGCATGCACGAATCTAATTCGTTCATGAAAGAGGGATAAACGAGGACGGTTTTTTTTGCACCATCTAGTTCCATGGTAAGCTACGAGGCTTGTGTTATGGATACCAGATAGTTGATACACTACACATATATAAACTTTAAATACATACATACATATTATAAATATAAACAGTGTTTATTAAACACCCATGACTGGAGTACAAACATTCGTGCTCATCACACAATGAATGCCCCCAGCGGGACTCGAACCCGCGACCGCTGGCAAAGCAAGGAGGGTCACTACACACTGAGCCAAACGTGTCGTTGGTTTGTGTATATAATTTCTAGATTGTATACAAAATGATTGAGCCTACACGGTGTTTTGTCAAAAAAACTGTTTCCGTAAGCAGACATGGCTAAACCTTAGATACATCAAAAAAACAATGTCCTAGAAAATTGTAGGTTTCAAAATACCTACATACCAAAAAGGCAGGTATTGTATATGTCTATATCCTAAAGTACACTCAATGACTATTTTTATTTTCTAAAACGTTCATAAATCGCTTGTATTATAATAAGTAATATTAAATTCAAATAATAATCTAATATAATCTAAAAATCCATAATACAACTATATAAACAATAAAACCATGAAAATATATGTAGATACGTTGTATTTAAACAGCGAGTCTGATAAACATAAACGTGCTCGCTATATACCTATTGACGAATATCGGTGTAGTGCTGGCACCACACTAAGTTAGGCCTACCCGATTGTAACCGCAATAAAGTGAGCAGATACCTACTAATTTACATATAAACGTTATTTTAAATTATTACACCTGCGCTATCACTCGTATCGATTATTTAATAAAAGAAATGTACTTCTATACACTTTGCAAAATTCAGTATGCAGCCTGGCAGCCATGCGTTAGGCGATTTTAATTTTAAAGCGCATATTTTACGTAAAGTGTCAAAAAAGAAATAAAAATAAAATTGTAACCAAGCCGAATCTGTACATTAAATATTTTTTGGAAAATCTTATTGAAATAGACATTATTATCGATACAGAAGCCAAATCTATAGTTTTTAGAACTTTTGTCTGTCTGTCTGTTACCGCATCACAAAAAAACCACTGAAAGGATTTTGATGAAATTTGGTATGGTGGTAGCTGGTTATCCGGGTCAACATATAGGATACTTTTTACCGCGGGAAAATATCTCATTTCTGAGAAAAAAATACAAAAACTGCAATGTAAGAGTATACTAATATGTAAAACCTAAGAATTTGGTTTTTGGTTATCTGAACGCGGGCGGAGCCGCGGGCTATGCTAGTTCAAAATACATTAAGAGGTAGATTACATCCTTAGACGTGTACTCTATCATATAAATCATAGAAATAGCACATTAAGACAGTGTTTTATCTTACGTGATTATTAACAGAATTAAGTACTAGTGTGGATTCAGCCTAATAATGAATAATATCACCAAAGTTTTGTTTAAAACTTTATCATCTACAATACATATATTATGGACAAACAACCACAGACCAGGAACAACAAGACAAACAACTAACATATATACCACAGAAAAATTTTACGGAAATATACTAATTTCCTCGTTTTTATAATGATGTGGATTTGTTTAAATACTTATTTATAAAGCATGCTTATTTAAATGAATCATAATATTTGCGATTGTTAAGTAAAATAACAAAAAAGTTTGTATGGGGAATCAATCATTTCTCAAGTAAGGGATATAAAACTCATCATACCTATATACAATGAACATATATCTTGAAGCTGATTTGTTAATGGAGCCAGGGAGTGTTTAGTAGAACTCTTCAGATTCGTTTTGACGAATCCCAATTTCCATATATTTCTATTCGCCAAAAGCATGTTTATTGAAGAGAGGCCCGTGCCCAACAATGGGACGTAAAAAAGGGCTGAATACATATTTTTTAGTTTTTTCAACTGTAATTATTTTAAATTAAAGGTGTTACTGATAAGTAAGTAACTTACACTGTGGACGGCTGCCGTTAGTTCCGAAAAGAGCCACTAAGGAAATCTAATTACCGCAAATAGCGGAAGTTTTCTCTTAAACTCCTAAAAATAGACTTAAACTATAGTGCTCACAAACATACCTTAACCTATTCTTAAACTAAAACATTTATCTCCGATTTCACCAACATCACTTAAGCTACCACCTACGTATGGGATCCCTAGCTTAAAAGTACTCCTAAACTAGCCCCTAAATTAAATTCTGTTTTACCATCGTCAGAGCCCGTATTTCTAGTACCTATATTTAGGTGGCATTTTAATTTTTATATTTAGGTGACCCCTAACTGTCGGTGAAACAGAAACTGTTCCCTAACAGCCCCCTAACCATGCTTAGGGGATCCCTTAAACTTAGGTGACGTTGGTTAAATCAGCGATTAATCACGTATTTGATCTTAAAAGTCTCCAAGAGTAATATTTTTTACAATAGGTACTAAATACTAATTAATTTAATTAGGTGCATTTTATTATTTCATATTTTATCAAAAACTTCACTATGCCTACCCAAATACTTGTATTCAGCCCTTTTTAACGTCCCACTGCTGGGCACGGGCCTCCCTTCAGTACGAAGGGAATCAGGCCATAGTCCACCACGCTGGCCGAGTGCGGGTTGGCGGACTTCACATGTCTTTAGAAAACTTGCTAGGTTCTTCCAGACATGCAGGTTTCCTCGCGATGTTTTCCTTCACCGTTAAGGCAAGTGGTAATCATGTTGGAAATGATTCGCACATGAAAATATCAGAGGTGCGAGACCTGGGATTTGAACTCGCTTCACTCGGTTTCCCAAGCGAGCTCGTTACCACTGGGCTACCACTGCCTTTTAAATACTATCTTACTTATATTATAAATAAGAAAGTTTAGATGTTTGGATGTTTATTACTCAATCACACGAGAACGGCTGAACGGATCTGGATGAAATTTGGCATAGTGGTTGGCTATAGTCTGGAATAGCGCATATGTTACTTTTTATCCCGGAAAAATGTATAGATTTGTTTTTGTTTTTCTAGAGACGAACCCGAGCGAAGCAAGAGTGTGCTAGTATATAATATTAAATATGTATGTATTATATTGGTGGACACGCTACTTCTCTATTATAAATGAATACGAAAGTGTATTTGTTGGTTTATTGAACCCGGTAACCGGCCGACGTAATTTTTTTGCATAAAATATTTATAGCACATTATGACGTGGACGTGAAATATACTAGGGTGAATCAAAAAGTTCTTAGAATCGCATAAAATACATATATAAAACCTTTTTGGGGATAGTTCGACGTTCTATTTAAAGAGTGTTAATAATAAACAATATGTATGCTAAGTGTCACTTGTTTTTATCAGTTCATTCGCATTCGCATTAAATATTTTGTACAATGAATTGGTAAAAACGCAAAATTATGGAGAAAGGTGGATTACGTGCAAGGATAAACTATCTGTGTCTAAAAAAAATGTCCACGAAGGATTTTTTCGGGCATTCAGAAGACATTAGGGGATGATGCTGTACCCTACTCTAAGGATGCGTATTAGCCATTAGGTGGCTGAATTTAAAAGCGGTAAATTAAGCTGTAAAAATGGCCCATGTTCTGGCCGCCATTCAACCTCAGTTACGGAAGAAAACATCAAAAACATTAAGAATCTGGTTTTGGAAGACAGAAGAATAACCATAAAACATTTAGCTGAGATCCTAAAGATATCATTTGGTAGCATTTAATCAATTTTAATGGATTCATTGGGGTTCAGAAAAGTGTCTGCAAGATGGGTGCCACGAATATAATCTACGAAACAAAAAGCGACGTTTGGAAATTTCTAAGCGTAATCTCGAAATGGTCCAGCATGATCCGGTTAAATTTTTTTATTGTCTTGTCATCATGGATGAAACGTGGTTCTTTCATTTCCATCCTGAAAGTAAGAGACAAAGCTTGTCTTGGAAACGACCATCCTCTCCATCGTTAAAGAAATTCCGAGTTGCTCCTACCTCTGGCAAAGTTATGGCTTCACTGTTCTGAAATAGTGAACATGTGAGCATCGTTTCTATTGATTACATGCCAAAAGACCAGACTAACATTGGACTCTATTATACAAATCAAATGTAATCAAATGTAAAAAGTGCATGAAGCAATTAAAGAAAAACGTCGTGGAAAACTATCGTAGGGCGTGTTGATTCTTCACGATAACGCTCTTGCTCATCAATCGGAAGTTGCGCTCAATGCAATCCGCTGTGGTGGCCTTATTCTCCTTGACCTTCCACCATATTCTTCGGATTTTTACTTATTCGCAAAATTAAAAAAAAACTATATTCGTGGAACTGACTTTCATGATAACGACGCGATTATGGCTGCCATGGACGAGTTTTTCGAGAGTCAAGAAAAATATTTTTTTCGCAATGAATAAGAAAGAAACACGTTATTCTAAATGTATTGCATTAGAGGTGATTATGTAGAAAAATAAAATATTTTTGTTTCATTTTTTTATATTGATTCCAAGAACTTTTTGATGTAACTATTTATCTTGATATATATCGAGTGAATTCTTTGACATAGAAATTATAGCTGTAACTGGTTGTCAAATCAATCATCGTTAGTATTCATGAACTAAACTGTCTACCAAACCAGCGTTTATCCAGAATATACCACTATGCGACTAAAATAATAGGTATTAGTTTCTCTTTGGAAACTAAGAATTGATACTGTTACCGTATAAAAATTGAGATTTTTTCTGTAAGGAACGTATGGTATAGTTGTTCAGATTTTTTACGTTCCGTAGATTACCTATGGAAATTTGAGGAAATGTACATATTTAATGATAACTTTTCCTTTAAACAACATGGCTTCAATCAATCAGCCTATCGCCGTCCACTGCTGAACAAAGGCCTCCCCCAAAGAGCGCCAACCATCCCGGTCTTGGGCAGCCTGCATCCATCCACTGCCAGCCACCTTTCTTAGATCATCTGTCCATCGTGCTGCAGGGCGTCCTACACTACGCTGGCCTAAACGTGGTCTCCACTCTAGCACGCTTCGGCTCCATCGGCCATCCGTACGTCTGGAGACATGACCAGCCCACTTCCACTTCAGCGTGCTTATTCTGTGCGCGATGTCGGTTACTTTAGTTCTCTGGCGAATGACTTCATTTCGAATTCTGTCTGCCAGAGAAACTCCAAGCATCGCGCGTTCCATTGCTCGCTGAGCGACTTTGAATTTGTGAACCAGCCCTACGGTGAGTGTCCACGTTTCGGCTCCGTATGTCATTACGGGTAGGACGCACTGGTTAAATACCCTGGTCTTAAGGGATTGTGGGATAGATGACTCTAGAATATGACGAAGCTTCCCAAAAGCCGCCCAGCCCAAGCGTATTCTTCTGTTGGCCTCCTTCTCAAAGTTGTGCCGGCCGAGTTGTATAGTTTGGCCAAGATATATGTATTCCTGCACAACTTCAAGGACAGCGCCATTCACGATTACTGGTCTCGGGGATACATGACAATTCGACATGATCTTGGTCTTGTCGAGAACATGAGAACATGAGAACATGGCTTATTTAGTTCATATGATAAATTCGTATTAGGTGAAATACAGAATATTTTTTTTTTGTTTTTATCAAGGGCTGGAACGACGTCGGCTTCCATGGCATGAATCAAATACCCACACCGAATATAGACGCGCTCGCGTGGTCCGGCGTCATGTTGCATAATTACTACGTGACACCGATATGCACGCCGTCAAGGGCCGCACTTATGACCGGAAAATATCCTATACATACTGGTTTGTTTAAGATTAACATTTAGATTGTCATGTGTATACTAGATATTAACGTATAGGGAGTTATTCTGTCACTCTATGGCTATCGGACTCAGCTTTATGTGACTTAAAACACTTTTTTAGTACAGTTTCCAAAAAATTTGATGAATTTCTGTAAATTTTATATGCTTTTATTATTTCCTATTTTTAGTTTATTCTCGAACTTTGATTTAATTAATTTTTTTTTTCTTTTCCTAGTTTCCCTATCTATAGCAAAGAAATCATATAAATATTAATTATAATTTTCAAGGTATGCAACATACTGTCATATTCGGTTCAGAACCACGAGGCCTACCATTATCTGAAAAAATACTACCTCAATATTTGAAGGATCTTCAATATAAGACACACTTAGTGGGCAAATGGCACCTCGGCTCATACAAGAAGGAATATTTGCCTTTGAATAGAGGGTATGTACAAGTTAAATAGTATAAAGAACAACTGGTTTATGGTCAGTTGCTTTCGGGTCCTACTTTAGTTTCTGACGTATCATGCTACATTTTATTATGTTGCAATAAGAAATAAAATTTTAACTTCTAAAATAAAAAAAGGCGCCAAGTTGTCATAGGACTTAATACAAAACATTTTAACCCAAACTCAAACTCTTGTTTTTTCTAAATACCTATAACTTGTCATGAGAAGTCTAAAACATAAATAATTTTATACTAATTTTTAACATTTTGTCAGATGTGCACTTTTTAGTTATGGCAGCAGAAAAGTCATACCCCCTTATCCTTTTAATTTACTAATTCCTCAGAGCATGCAGCATGCATGTCTTGGAGTAATCTAAAAATGTGCGATTCTGTATGTAAAACTGTATAAACACATTTTTTTTTCTTATATTCCAGATTTGATAGTCATTTAGGATTTTGGTCCGGGAAGATTGATATGTACGATCATATTAATGAAGAAAAAGGCTATTGGGGATTTGACTTTAGAAGAAGTGAGTCGGTACAGTACGTTGTACGAAATTATTTAATATATTATACTGTTGCATTCAGCCCTTTTTAAGGTCCCGCTGCTGGGCATGGGCTTCCCTTCACTACGAGTGGGATCGGGCAATAGTCCACCACGCTGGCCAAGTGCGGGTGGACTGAGCATGTCTTTCGAAAACTTATGATCTCTCAGACTTACATGTTTCCTCACGATGTTTCCCTTCACCCTAATACAAGTGATAATTGTCTTGGAAATGATTTAATAAAATAAGAGGTGCAAGACTTGGGATTTGTACCTGCTACACTCGGTTTCCCAAGCGTGTGTGTTAGTGGACTACCACTGGCTTAATATATTTGTTAATTAAATTTATTTTTTTAATTATACTAGCCTAAAATTTTCATAAAATATATTTAATAAAACATTCTTCTTATTTTTAGATATGTCAGTGGCATACGATTTATTTGGACAATACGCAACAGATGTGTACACGCAAGAAGCTATCAGGGTATTTATAACCCATGGTTCAATATTTACTTCGAAAATAATATTTCATTAATTAATATTTTTACTTTAGATATAATTCTATTTTAGATAATAAATGATCATAAAAAAGCAGAGCCGTTATTTCTCATGATCGCACATTCCGCCGTACACACTGGAAACCCTTGCGAGCCTATCCGGGCGCCTGATGATGTCATAGCAAATTTTTCATACATCAAAGATTATCAACGTCAAAAATTCGCAGGTAATTACTTCATTTATTCATACTCTATTTTATTCCACCTTGAAAAGATCTTTAATAAACGATCCTATCCGTTAAGGATTTTTGAAGTACATTCGATATTATATCTATTCGGCACTTAAAATGAAAATACTTAATAATATAATAGGGCAGTATTGTTATTTGCAACTAGCGACTCACCCTCGTTTCTATTCGCTTCGGGCTCGTCCCCTAGACAAAAACTAATCTATTCTTCGGGAACCGTACATTTTTCCGGGATGATATAGCCTATAGTCTTCCTCAATAAATGGGCTATCTAATGCAGAATTATTTTTTCTAATTGGATTATTAGTTGCTGAGATTAGCGCGTTCAAATAAACAAACAAACAAACTCTGCCTCTTTATAATATTAGTATACATAATACTAGGTAGTTACGAGTACATAAACAACGATATGTACCATGTTCAGAGAATGAGAATATATGAATACCTATTTGTCAAGAACAATGCACATCTATACATATGTATGTAGGTGATATATGTATAAAATATATGTATGTTTGTAATTGTATACAACTAGCGACTCACCCTCGCTTCGCTCGGGTTCGTCCCTAAGTTGATTACCCATACAAACCTTTATCCCCATTTTCACGCCCTTAAGGGTTGATTTCCGGGATAAAAATCCTATATCCTTCCCAAGGTCTCAAACTATCTTCTTACCAAATTTCATCTAAATCGGCTCAGTAGATCCAGAGATTACCCCATACAACGTCACAAACTCACAAACTTTACCTCTATAATATTAGTATAGATATACTACTTAAATATTTTGATTTTTGTGAAAGAAATCATTCACCATAAACACACCATAATCATTATTTCCAAAACTAAATAAGTAAATTGGATCAACATGAAATCGGTTATCAATCTAATGTACATATTTGTAGCATCGTAGTATCATCAAAAATTGAACTGTTCTTCAGATTGACAGTAGATATATCTAAGCACCTACTATATGTAAATGTATGTAGGTAACCATAAGAATTATGTATTTTTAACCCCTTGGTGGTATAGCAACTAAGTATATTCGTAGTTTGGGGCGTGCACTAACCATCGTTCCTGGCTATCGATTGATTGTAACGTGTCGAACGCTTATCCTGCTCGCACAATTTGCGACCGACGGTTATATAATAATATACTACCTTTTACCTGCGACTCCTTTCGCATAGTGAGCGTAACAGGGACAAAAATTAAAGCCTATGTCTATTCCAATAATACAATCTACATCTTAGTCAAATTTCATCGAAATCTGTTTATCAATTTAAATGTGAAAAGCTAACAAACAGACAGACAGGGTTACTTGCACATTTATAAAAGTCGCATAATACATAGATGCATAATTCTCACAAACATAAACAAAAAAATAGAGGTGGCCAATAATTAATTTCGAATAACAAGGAAATATTATAAAATTATTTGATATTATTAAAGGGCTGTTTATTTGAAGTAGGTAAGAACATTTACTAGATAAGAAGCAAAAGGAAAAATATGATTCTTGGAAAATTCTCTTCAGCTAAGATAATAATACCAGTACTGAAGGGAGGCCCGTGCCCAGCAGTGGGACGTTAAAAAGGGCTGAACACAAGATAATCATAGATAGAACGTTTCAAAGTGCCTAAGGTGTTTTTTGAAAAAATATAAAATTCTAGTTTTTTAAAAAAGACAGCTATATAAATAAACATAAAAAGCAAAACCTTATCTAAATACAAATATTAATAAAAAAATTAAATTAAAGATAAATTGGTAACAAAATTGTAGCTTTAAAATGACAGAGAAAAATCATAAGTGGATAATAAATAATATTGACATTATAGTAACGCAACTAAAGCTAATGTTTATTTGATAGCAAAATTTGCTAATAGTGTCCATGACTCCGTGGCGCAACGGTAGCGCGTCTGACTCCAGATCAGAAGGTTGCGTGTTTAAATCACGTCGGGGTCAATGTTGCTCTGAACCAAATCGTTTTGCTTTAAAATTTATCATATTTTGCATTTTTTTAATTATTTAACTTATTTATGCAGTAATATCTACACTGTTTTAAGGTTATCTATACCACATAATCTCTAGCTATTTACTATGTGGGATTATGTAGACGTCTAAAATGCTGGTAGAATAATTAGAGGCTGGTATACTGTTTATACTAATATTATAAAGAGATAGTTTGTTTTGTTTGTTTGAACGTAATAATCTCAGAAACTACTATACCGATTTGAAAAATTCGTTTTTGCATTATATATAATAGGCCAGCAAAAAATAGAATTCAACCAATGTCTTTTATAAGTTTAAGTATCACTTACTGAGTATAAAATCACAAAATGCTGACAGATTCCGTAAGAGCTTCAGGCACCAACTTGAAAAAACGTTTTTGGCCGATATCTCGGACTATGCACTTTAGGGGAAAAGTCATTGAGACCATTTTTGTAGAGAATGAAATTTCGTATCTTTTGTTTCCGGTATTTTTTTTTTGTTTAACTCACCGTTTACGATTTATGGCCCATTTAATAAACCGGTTTTTCTATCTCCGCTGATAACTCTAAAATATTGGTTTAATCTTTAAAATGCATCTATCCATTTTTACAGATCCATTTATTTTCTACAAGTTTTGTTTAAAACTTTTTTTTCTAATGTGCATACTTTTTAAGCTATAGGACGTTCAATGTAGTATTTATGTATTTACTATCAGAACCCGCGGCTTCGCTCGCTCTAAAACTACGAAAAAAATCTCTAAAAAGGTAGTTTCATACAAACTTTCATTCCCTATTTTACCCTCTTATAGGATGAATTTTGAAAAATGCTAAGACACGTATTTATTATATTTATTGAAAAGTATATATACAATATACATATACAAAGTTTCAAGTAATTCTGATAATAAATATTTATTTGGATTAAATTAATAAATAAATATGTTGGAACATTAACACACAGCGCCATCTAGTTCCATGGTAAGCTACGAGGCTTGTGTTATGGATACCAGATAGTTGATACACTATACATATATAACTTTAAATACATACATATTATAAATATAAGCACCAATGACTGGAGTACAAACATTCGTCATCACTCATCACATAAATGAATGCCCCCAGTGGGACTCGAACCCGCGACCGCTGGCACAGCAAATAGGGTCACTACAAACTGAGCCAAACGTGTCGTCAATTATTGTATAATAACGTGTTTTAAAAAGTAGCCTATGTTACTCTCCAGCCCTCAAACTATCTCCACACAAAAAATCACGTCAATCCGTTACTCCGTTTCGACGGGAAAAGAAGGACAGACAAACAAACAAACAAAAAAACAAACACACACTTTCACATTTATAATATTAAAAGTATGGATAACTTTCAGGTGTACTAACCAAGTTAGACGAATCAGTCGGCGACGTTGTAGCAGCGTTACAGTCGAACCAAATGTTAAAGAATAGCATCATAATATTCACCACCGACAATGGCGGGCCGGCCGAAGGGTTCAACGAAAACAGGGCTTCGAACTATCCTTTAAGAGGTGTAAGTTTTACTGTTTTAGAACTATCGTTTTATCCGACTGCGGCGAAGCGCAAAGGACGGTTATGTTATTGAAATGTATGTATGTATGTATATCCGATCATATGTTCTCTTATAATTACTAAACGGCTTAAACCTTTTAATGATCTTTAAGTCGATGGATTTGTCTTGATAACGCAAGTGTTGTAGAGTATATGGATATCTAGACTAGCAGCAAGAACAAAACATGTACCTATGTCTCTCTGCATAATACTATTTTCTTTCGCAAACTTGTTACTTTAATTACTTTAAATCACACACTAATATAGTACATAGAAAAGTAAAATATAAATTACTTTTTAAGGTCAAAAACACTTTATGGGAGGGAGGTGTGAGAGGCGCCGGCCTCATCTGGAGTCCTTTGATTGAAAAAAAATCTCGAATAGCAAAGCAAAGATTACATTTAGTCGATTGGATGCCGACGCTACTTAGCGCCGCCGGTATGAATATCAGGTATTATTAACATTCAGTATAATTTTATTTATCTATCCCTACTATTAATATAAAGAAGTAAAGTCTGTATGTTTGTATGTTTTTTTACGAAATTACTGAGCCGATTTTGAAAATTCTTTTACTTGTAGAAAGCTACATTACCGCAAAGTACTGTAGGCTATTTTTATTTGTCGACACGTGTGGCTCAGTTTGTAATGATCCTACTTGCTGTGCCAGCGGTCGCGGGTTCGAGTACCACTGGGGGCATTCATTTGTGTGATGAGCACAAATATTTGTACTCCCGTCATGGGTGTCAATATTTACAATAAATATGTTTTTCAATTTATATATTTGTAGTATATCAACTAACCATAACACAGGCCTCGTAGCTTACCATGTAACTAGATGGTGCTATGTGTTAATGTCCCAACATATTTATTTTATTTAACATATTTATTGTGACTAAAACGTGTTTATTAGAAATTTTGTCTTTCTATTGAATATTGTTAGATATACTAACTTTAATTGAAGTCAAGATAACGAAGAACAAGAGAACGATAGAAGCGAGAGCCGAGAGTAAGTGGCTTATAAGGTATATTACATGTTTAATTTGATTACATGCAATGAATACAAGAAAAACCTTTAGACTAAGGACTTAAGACATTCGAGGCATATATTTCTTTTTTTTTTTTGCAGTACATTAAAAGACTTGGACGGAATAGACCAATGGAATGCACTTTCAAAAGATCTTAAGTCCGAAAGAAACACTATTCTACACAACATTGATGATGAATACGGAAATGCTGCAATTACAATTGGCAAGTGGAAGTTACATAAAGGTATTCTTATCTATATTCTATATACTATAATAAAGCAGTAGAGGTTGAATGTCTGTACATAGCATAAAAATGCTAAAAACCGAGTCAGGGGGATGTAAGAAGACAAATAGAACAAATCCAGATTTTTTTCTTTTTTTTTGTTTCTCTGTCAGTTTGTCTGTACGAGCTAATCTCCGAATCTATTGGACCGATTTAAATGAAATTTTTCATGATGGTACCTTATATCGCCGGGCAACATCTTAGATACTTTTTACCCCGGAAAATTAAACAGTTTCCGTGGGATAGTTAAAAAACCATAATAACTTATACAGCTTAGTACACAACTTATGCACCTAATTTAGTAAACTTTAACATTCTGATACCTTATATTGTCGGTTAAACAACAGGTTACTTTTCATCTCGGAAAAACGAACGTTTCCCGTGGGAACTAATAAATAGATCTCTATTAGCCTTTTAATAATTATTATAAAACTTTATAAAATAACGAACTAATATGAAAAAAATAATCCATTTTACTGTAAATACAAGTTGTGAAAAATAAATGAAAATGAATAATTCTCATCTAAACTAGCAAAAATCTAGAATTATTTTTAAATTTAAAAGTGCTTATGGAGTTCATCCAGGCTATACTTATTCCTACTAGGCTGTATTACCATTGATCATATTATAAACTAGCGACTCACCCTCGCTTCGCTCGGGTTCGTCCGTGGCTTGCTTCCCCGTACGAACTTTCATCCCCATTTTCACCCCCCTTTAGGAATGATTTCCGGGATAAAGTGTCCTCTGTCTTTCCCAGGGTCTCAACTATCTTCTTACCAAGTTTCATCTAAATCGGTTCATTAGATCCAGAGATTACCCCTTACAACGTCACAAACTCACAAACTTTACCTCTTTATAATACTAGTATAGATATATGACATCATACCATATATTCGAAAATTTCTATCACATTTGATATGACGTTAGACTTCCCAGTCAACGTTTGCTGTAAAATATTCGTAATGTTGTTGGGAGCAAAAAACCAAAATAAAACTGAGATAAACTCAAAGATGTTATTTTAAAAAGTTACTATTCTAGAAAATTTTAGAAAGTACAGTTATATAAATATAGTTCATGCGGTTTTTTCAATAGATAGAGTGTTTCAAGAGGAAAGTTTTTATGTAACTACTATGTCAAATACATGCATATTATAGTACAGAAAAGCCGAGAAATTTAAGGATTTGTATTTCATACGAACTCTTAAAACGTACCTAGGGATGAACCCGAGCGAAGCGAAGGTGAGTCGCTAGTATTCGCGTAAATCTAAGAATGTGTTGCCCGTATTATGTAAAGTTTTATCCATAAAAGTAAAATTGCTATGACAGGAACTAGTTACGAGGGAGCTTGGGACGGTTGGTACGGGCCGGGCGGCCGCGCCGGCCGCTACGACGCGGGCGCCGTGTGCGCGGCCGCGAGCGGGCGCGCCTTGCAGCAGCTGGGCCTGATGCCCACAAATGACAAGATATTTGAACTTAGGTGACAGAAACTAGTAAAAAAATCTATTTTACATTAAAGAAAATGCATTTATTAACGTATTTCAAAAAGAGAGGGTTTCCAGTTCGACTTTTATTTGATAACCGACTCCCAAAAAGGAGAAGAATCTCAATTCGTTGGAATCTTTTTTTTATGTATGTTCACAGATTACTCGAAGACGCCTGAACCGATTTCAATTTTTTTTTGTTTCCAAGAGTACACTTCCCAGGGCTGACAATATTTTAAAAATATGAATATCTAATAAGAAAATATGATAAGGTATGAATAGTTAAAATATTATACATCAATTTTTGATGTATTTTACGTATAACGTATCGACATATAAGTATATATTAGATTTGCTTTGCATCGGCCTGCACCGACTTCGAAAATTTTGATTAGGTATCTATTCTAAATGAAAACCCCCGTTTAGTTATTTTTTACATTTTAGTGCCTGGAAGTCGGTTTTTTTTAAGTTTTTTTTATTATCAAGTCAATGTACACAAGAACAGAAAGTCTACATCATAAATAACGATGTAGTAACATGGATTTTTCTTCTTAAATATTCTACAAATCTTTGCTACTTTTGCGTTTCATTATTCATCTGTAATTTGATACGTCTTAAATTTTATTTAAGAAATTAACAGATATTTTAAATGAATTCCAGAAAAAAGGCCACAATAGAATGCGACAGATTCAGCAGGACCGCTTGCCACCCGTTACTGGCGCCGTGTTTGTTCGATATAGAGGACGACCCTTGCGAAACCAACAATCTAGCCGATAGGTGAGAGATTGTTGTTATTATCGGATTACTGTATAAATACGAATGTTTGATAAACACGTATTGTGTTTGGTGTGTACTAGGGTGGAGCGAAAAAAAAATATTTTTTTAGCTTGGGGGTAGAATTCGTACTTATCTTATAAAAAACACAAACTTTTTGAAAAAAATATTATCGACATTTTGAGGCGGCCCACTGATTTTTAAAATATATAATTAATTCAAATTTTTGGTTTGATTGAAAAATATTTTTTTATAAGCTACCAAATTCTTTATACTCCCAAGCTAAGAAAAAATAAAAATTTTCTCGCTCGTGTACGTGTTTGTTACTCCTTCACGCTGAAATATAAGCTATTTTTTACAGACGCACGCAGAGGTTTGTTGTTGCTAGCAGTTAATATAAAATACTACCCACGCGAAAATATCGAGCGAAGGCCCAAAAGGGAAAATATCATATATTTTTATAAGCGAGAGAAAATTTTTTCAAACAAACTTTAGAGTAAAATATTGTAGAAACAAAAGTAGTCAAAAAAATTGTTTATTAAAAGCATGTATTATTTAATTTTAATATTTATTCATTTCTATATTTTTGCAGAGAACCAGAGAAATTGAGGTATATGCTTCAGGAATTGGATAAAGTGAACAAAACAGCGATAAAACCTAACAATAAACCCCTCGACCCTCGCGGGGACCCCAAGTATTGGGGGCATGTGATCACTAATTTTGGTGATTACGAGAATACAAATATACAAACTTGCTAGATCGATTTCTTTAAAGTTTAAAATCTAGATAGATAGACTATAAAGATTTAGTCAAGTGCGAGTCGGAATTACGAACTAGACTTTCTTACCACTACTCAGACTACAGTTGTGAAGTATGACATACTCGTACAGTTGTTTATTGTTGTTTCGTTTTACATAAAAGTTCTTACTTCTTACAGAATAGCCTTGCAGTAGTGCTATTCTGTTAGAAAACTCGACAGCTGAAACCGCGGACATATACTTCATAGAACGTACTTGAAGTATGTTCGCGGATTCAGCTTGTAGAGTTCCTTAAAAATTCTTACAGAATTCCATAACGGTGATGAGTAATGGACATATAGGTGTTTCAACATCCTTTTTTTAAAAAGGAGGTTCTAAATTATGTAATTATTACGTAAAGTGTCTATATCAGAAGTTTTTTGTTTCACACATTCTGAATTTATATATTTCTATGATTAAATTTTAATCTTCAGGTCTCATTCAAATTAGAAAACAGTGGAATATTCATATTTTTTAAGTTGTTGTTTTATATTAAAGTGAAACTTCTTAAGGCCATGAGAGGTAAAAAAAGAATTGTCGTTACGATATTTGTAACGGAAACGGTAACGTAGCGCTGTTACGTTATTGATGGAATCATATCAAATGAATATTGTTAAAATATATTTATTTGAAATACATATTTTTTTATACATTATATATTTTTTTCATAAAAAAAATTGAAACCCTGTATTATTATTAATTTTGGCGGCCGTTTAGAATTGGGGACTTGGCCCCTAGCGGAGTGGGTGGTATTTCTGGATAAGGGACGTGATAGGGAGTCGAAATGTTAAATAAAAATTGTCCGCGAACATTATTTTGTTCCATACATTATTTTGACATTATTACCATTTAGACACTTGGAGTCAAAACGTCACTTTCAATTGTCAAAATGATCTCCAGATGATTGTCTTTATTTGTACTTTGCGTGAAATTCGAATTTTCTAGTTTTCTAGTCATTTATGGCACTCGCCGGCCGCTACCGCGGCACGCTCGCTTCGCTCGCTCGGCTCGTGCGTTGTGGCAACTGTTCTAACCTAACCTAACCAAGATATGAGGAATAATAAATAAATAATCTTAAATGTTCTAACCTAACCTAACCCAGATATGAGGAATAATAAATAAATAAATAATCTTAAATGTTCTAACCTAACCTAACCCAGATATGAGGAATAATAAATAAATTATCTTAAATGTTCTAACCTAACCTAACCCAGATATGAGGAATAATAAATAAATAATCTTAAATGTTCTAACCTAACCTAACCAAGATATGACGAATAATAAATAAATAACCTATGTCTTAAACTAACCACGATGTCGCAAAATAAAAACCAAAAGTAAATAATACATTTAGATTTTAAAAATAGTCTACTCACGTTTATAAATTGTTTACACTAACACTATGAACACTTAAAACTATAAAAATAATATTAAAACAAAAACAAGAAACGAAAGTATATAAAAATTAACAAAAACTAATAACTAATGGAAAATACACAGAGTACAGAGTCACAAATTATGAAACTTCGCGGTATTTTAAGAACACCCGCCAATAATACTGAAAAATATTCACAGATAAAAAAATGTTTTTTTTTTACTAAATGTACAATTGTAAAACAATATATTTTACATAAATCAGATAAAAAATCATAAATGTATTTATGAAATGAAAATAATATTTTTCTTTTTATTTATTTATTTATTAATATTAATATTTTACCAACAGAAAAAGCAAAAATAATCAAATATAATCTGTTGTCATTTAAGCGGTAATATAAAACAAAGTGTCAGTTTTGCTTTTGTCAAAATGTAAGATCATTTTGTTTGTGTTGTGAAATTATTAAAATATTAAATACAATAAAGCATTAATTGTTGTGAAAATGTGTAATGTACATAAAAAAAGGATGCGTACTATTCGTTAAAGGTATGTTTATCTGTTGTAATCACTTATTTAGGTAAAGAAATGTATGGAAATGTGTTAGATATGTTATAACTTTAAGTCTCAATAACTTTTTACTCGTACGTTTCCTCCAAATATTTTTAATATATTTTGACTCTCTGTCACCTCCCCTATCTAAAAATACCACCCACTCCGAATGGTGGTAAAGAAATATATGAAAATGTATGGAAATGTTGTAACTTTAAGTCTCAATAACTTTTTACTCATACGTTCGCGGACAATTTTTATTTAACATTTCGACTCCCTATCACGTCCCTTATCCAGAAATACCACCCACTCCGCTAGGGGCCAAGTCCCCAATTCTGAATTTGTGCCTTAATTTTATTGGAGTAAGTATATAATTTATTGAATCATTACAACATTTGATTTAAAATTAAATTTCATCTTAACACCAACTGTAATATCTGAATAATAAAATATTGTTTTCCTTTTTAAATTGATATAAAAATATTTTTTTAATATCTTTTCTAACCTATTATTTAAAACATAAATAGAATTTTATAAAAAAGTACCGATAATCTACAGAAGTTTCACTTCTTGCACGTATGGAACACGCACATTGGTACACGCACTCTTTAATTTTTTTATGCTCTGTAAGTTATATGTTAAGTAAATAAAAAGTCATTATTAAATTATGTTTTTAACTTAAGTTATTAAATTTATTTAAAATGTACTTTATAAGAACATTAATGTAGGCAGTAATTATATCTCTAATTTTAAAATGAATAGCATTTATAAAAAAATTGTTTTCAATATATTATAATAAATAGGCACCTACATATAATAAAAAAAACAATACGAAAAAATCAACTTTTATTTGTAATTTTAGCTTATACATTTATGTAAGTACTCTAAGTAGTATTAAAAAACCTTTCAGTTATATTTTTAACAAAACAAAATTAAACTTAACATTAATAAATAATAACTAATCAAGCAAAAAAATACAATTCTAATAAAAATTAACTAAACTCAAAAATGAAATCTGTCAAACTAAAAAAAAAGAAAAAAAAACAAACAAATTATTAAGGCAAAGCCCTCGTACGTTTCGTCCTAACACCAGTTCTTAAAACAGGTTTATCATTATTTATTTTTCTTTTGACAGATCTCTTAACTGTCTGTGCTATGTTTGTCTCTGGTTCCTCTATATTGTCTGTTGGTAACGCATCGCGATATTCTTTTAATGTAGGATCATCGAAATATACATTTTTTTCCTGTGGTACATTAATACTCACCTTTTCTAAAGGGCTCAGTACATCTGTTAGTGGGTCAGATACACTTTCTTGAGAAAACGTTTCAGCTAGAAGACGATCTATTATATTTTCTTCTTTTGTATTAAAGTATTTAGATTTTGTTAATTTCAATTGATCACCCATTATTGTTTGGGGCGAAGCGCTGAAATAAAATAATTATAAGTTAATTCATTCATCTTTTTCTTTTCAACAATCGGTGTAAAGGGCAGTGGTAGCCCAGTGATAACGCGCTAGCATTGGAAACCGAGTGAAGCGGGTTCATGTCCTGGGTTTCGCACCTCTGATATTTTCGTCTATCACTTGGTCCATTACCACTTGTCTTACGGTGAAGGAAAACATCGTGAAGTTACCTGCATGTCTGGGAGAACTTAGCAAGTATATAATATGTATAAAAACGGCAAAAATCGTGTCTGTTGTATGGGAGCCCCCTTAAATATTTATTTAATTGTGTTTTTAGTTTTTGTTGTTATACCGGCAACAGGAATACATCATCGGTGAAAATTTTAACTGTCTAATCATCACGGTTCATGAGGTACAGCATGGTGACAGACGGACAGCGGAGTCTTACAAATAGGATCCCGCTTTACCCTTTGGGTACGGAACCCTAAAAACGTTTCAATATCGGCGACGATATCACTTAACATACAAACAATAAACCAGTCTCTAATTAAGCATTTTTTTTAATATATTCAATCAAATCCAAAGCCCAATACTCACTCAAGATCCGGGTCCTTAGCAACAATCTGGTGCGAGTACAGGAGTTTCATCAGTTTGAGCGCGTTCGCGTCCGACACGCGGAAGCGCTGCGCCAGCGCGCCGGCGCTGACCCGCGCCGCGCGCGCGCAGTGCGCCAGCGTGCGCCGGAATATTGATAGACTCTGGGGAATGCATTTTGTTTGTGCTAAGGCATACGTAATTTATACTAATATTATATTTATTTATTTACGGTAACCAATAGAAGACACATTTAAATCGTTCAAAAAGCAAATGTCTAAATTTTACAATCAGTAAAGGTCGTTCTACTTAAAGGCTATCACGACGTCGACAAGGAAAACATAAAGAGAGGCAACCGAAACGATTGTTTCATACATAAATCTATACTAATATTATAAAGAGGTAAAGTGTGTGAGTCTGTGAGGTCGTAGGGGGTAATCTTTGGATCTACTGAACCGATTTAGATGAAATTTGGTAAGAAGATAGTTTGAGACCCCGGGAAGGACATAGGATACTTTTTATCCTGGAAATCATCCCTCGAGGGTGTAAAAATAGGGATGGAAGTTCGTATTGCAAAACATAAGCGCACACCTCTCGCTTGCGGCCGACGAGCGCGGCGAGGTGCGCGTCGGCGGGCGCGCGCGCCGCGTCGGCGTCGGAGCACGCCACGCAGCAGTGGCGCGCCGCGTCGCGAGCCCGCACGCCGTAGCACGCGGCGTGCTGGGACGTGTTGCAGTATCTGTGGGATTTGTATTACTTATTTATAGATTAAGGTCTCAATTTTTTTTAAAGAGATAATCAATTCTCGTCTATCGTTTATATTGTTCTACACAGATAAAAAAAGTCAAGTGTCTATTTGTAATGTCAAAATAAGAACTTTTTACTTAATGCATAAGAAATTATATACCTACGGTACTTAATAAGAAAAACACAATTTATAAAATTTTTAGTCAGTCTATCTGTTTGTTTCGGCTAATATCCGAAATGGCTGTACTGATTTTGACGGGACCTCCGCCAGTAGATAGCTGAAGTTATAAGGGATAATTTAGGCTACATTTATTTTAAAAAAATAATGTTCTATTCAAAAAAAACGTACCAAAGGAAGTGAGGGTAAGTCGCTAGAAATTAATACAATTTCTAAACCTAAAGAAAATATACGCAAATCGAATTCAACTAGAAATACAAAAATCTGAAAAGGCACACAAACAGCATTAACATACAAATACAATACCATTTCGGGCGTCAATATAATACATAATAGTCACCCGACTATTGAATCAGTTTAAATCTCATTTCATAAGTAAAATATTTGTTTTACTTATAAAATATAATAAACATATACTGATGTTACTATTAAATAATAAATAATCTCACTGGCAAGTAAGCATGTCTCCTTCCTCTACATCGGTCTTGTTGCAGGAGCACACCACTTGCATCTCATTCTCCGACAACGAACGAATGCCCGAACCTAAATGTTTAATATACATTTTTTTTTTATGTTGGGACATTAACACACAACACCATCTAGTTCTATGGTAAACTACGAGGCCTGTGTTGTGGATACTAGATAGTTGATACACTACACATGTATAACTTTAAATACATACATATTATAAATATAAACACCCATGACTGAAGTATGTACAAACATTCGTGCTCATCACACATATGAATGCCACCAGCGGGACTGGAACCCGCGACCGCTGGCACAGCAATTAGGGTCACTACAAACTGAGCCAAACGTGTCGTCACGGTATTTTAAATAATATTTAAGAAAAAAACTTGATTATAATTGTTATAAGAGCTATTTATTTAAAACAAAGTCGGGTTTGTTACACCACTTATAATTCGAGAACGGCTGGACCGATTTTTATGATCTTTGTTTTGTTGGATTTGTCTCCGCCCCTAATAGTAGAATAAATATTAAGACATTGGAAAAATTCACTAATTTTTTTTCAAAATTTACATGGCTAAAGCTGGCTAATAACTATTTATATCAATTTCAAATGTACCTAGGGACGAACCCGAGCGAAGCAAGGGGGCGTCGCTAGTTATATATAATGTTACTCTTTCAAAGCAGAATGGCTGAATGGATCTGGATGAAATTTAGCACAGAAATAGATTATAGTCGGGAATAACACTTTTTATCCCGGAAAAATATTCGGTACCTGTGGGATAGGTTTGTTTTTGTTTTGCTAGAGGCGAACCCGAACGAAACAAGGGTGAACCGCTAGTATTAAATATTTCCATTTTAAGTTTTACACAAATCTATAGAGCCACTTCGGCGTAAATAAAAACATTATGTACAGATTTCTTTGTTTTTATTTTATTACTAGCAACTCACCCTCGCTTCGCTCGCGTTCGTCCCTAGGTTGCTTCTCTATACAAACTTTCATCCCCAGTTTCACCCCCTTAAAAGATGATTTCCACGATAAAAATTCCTGTCCTTCCCAGGGCCTCAAACTATTTTCTTACCAAATTTCATCACAATCGGTTCAGTAGATCCAGAGCTTACCCCCTACAACGTCACAAGCTCACAAACTTCACCTCTTTATAATATTAGTATAGATAATATTACTTACCAGACAAGTCCATATCGTTGGAAATCATGGGTGGGTTTTGAGATGGCTGAAACAGAAAAATAAAAGTACTTGTATCAATCTTTTTATAGGGAGCTTGAAAATTATTAAAAATTAATACACTGAGTGACACCTAATAGAAGTTTTAAATGAATTAAGGTCACTTATATCTCCCTTAGTCTATAGAACTTTCATTCTCATAATTATGTACTTTGATAGGACGACAAAAGTGAAAGATCAAGCATCAATCAAGCACGGATCGACGACTTTACGTTAGTTTAACGATTAATATGGAATAGATAGACTATATATACATAGCTAACATGACTTTTATATGTCTTACTTAAGAAATGATTGAGTCCCCATATAAACTTCCACCCCTATTTTCAATCCCATAAAGGATGATTTCCGGGATGAAAAATGTCCTATGCCCTTTCTAGGGTCTCAAACCTATATTCATACCAAATTTCATCTAAATTTCAGCGAATTTTTAGTTTATCGAATTGTTTTCTCTGTATGATATTGTATGTATTAGCATAAATATCAAAAATAAAAAAACAACGCCAACTTTCCAACTTTTATTTACTTTCTTATACTACTTACTATACTTTACTGAGAATTTCTCGACAGAAAACCTCAATTACTAAACTAGTCCCAACCCGACCTCGAACCCAGAACTTCCGGATCTGCTGCCGTATATGTTGACTTAACCACCAAATTACACACAATTACATATACAAATACTTACAATAAAAGTAGTGGTAGCCCAGTGGTAAGCGCTCGCTTAGGAAACTGAGTAAAGCGGGTTCAAATCCCGGGTCTCGCACCTCTGATATTTTTGTGTGCAAATCATTTTCTACGTCAATAGCACTTGCCTTATGGTGAGTAAAAATATCTTAAAGAAACCTGCATGACTCAGAGAACCTAGGAAATTACGAAAGACATGTAAATTCCGCCCGCACTTGGCCAGCGTGGTGGATTATAAGTCCCACCCCCAGCAGTGGGACGTTAAAGCGGCAAATAAAATACTCACAATAGCTTCATGGCTGGCCCTAAGATGGTCCCGTATATAGGACTTCGCCTGAAGGCGATGGAAACGCGTCTCCACATAACCAAGATTCATGGTGTCACCAACAGAGAGATGGTCTTCTGTAGAGTTCAGGTAACCTGGGGCTTGGTAGTCTACCGGAGCATCTGTTCAGTTCGATAGAAATACCACTTTTCCATTAATATACAAAAACTCAAGATATACAAAGAGCGTCTCAAAACTGTCCACAATTCGAAATTGAATTGCGCCTTTTTTATCTCTTTTGTATATTCCTTCTTGGATTATAAAATTAAAATGCATGTTATTTCGTTTAAAATAATTAATTTGTGGGGTGTATGTAAGTTCGAATTTGTGTTTAGACAGAACTTTCGGTTTTTTAATTTTATTCTTTGGTTTGATGTCGATGCCACTTTTTGAAGTGATATTTGTTAGGAAATGTATATCTATGTTTTTATATATCAATGGACTTGTCACATATCTATTTATAAGTAATGACCCTTCTATAACACGTTTGATCGATTTTAAAAAAAGGAATAAGTAGTTGAGCCGGATAACCAGCTATCATCATACCAAATTTCATCAAAATCTGTCCAGTGGTTTTCTCGTGATGCGTTCCCAGACAGATAGACAAAAATTCTAAAAACTATATATTCAGCCTTTGTATCGATATTCGATACAAATAGATCGATTTAATATACGGATTCGACTCAGTTAGAATTTTATTATATGTATAGATAGATAAATAACATTGTATCGATATACCTTCATTGTAGTAAAGTCGAATACTGATGTCGTAAGACGAAGGCAACTCATTTTGACAGGTTTGCATAATGACCACACAAGCCCGTATTAGGTGGATAGTCCGCTCCCTCAAATTTTCAAAAGAATATTTCATAGTATGTTTGACATTGTCCCGATTTTTGGAGTGAACATTCATCGTCACCCCATCGTCTTTATACGAATACTCAAAAATGTGGTACTCGATTAAATTTTCAAGCTTACATTCGTCTTCATAAAAACAAAGAGCTAATTTATGTAACTAAAATGATACAATAAAGAATAAAATCATATGCGATGCAATAACACATTTTTTAAATGTAACAATATTTAGATAACTTTATAGTCTTCTCCTAATTACTATATGCCCGTATATTATTAAAAAATATATGTTTATTTCCCATAAAAATATTATTATAAGATAGCTATAACGCGCAGAAGATAGTCATAGTAGCTTGAAATGGTGATATAATTTTGTCAATTTCTGTAAAGAATTAATGTAAACTATCACTCACCCTACTATCATCGCAATGTTTAGAGACGAGAGAGTACGTGCAATTACAAGAAAAACAAACTAATTATATCGTGTTGCGTAGTATAAGAAATAAATTATAATAAAATAAATAAAAGGGTTTATTTCTTGTAAAATAAGCATATCCATAATTCATTCTTAGACTAAGACGTACGTTTTAAAGAGATAAATTACTCGTGTACTACTTACATATTTCTTATCAAATGCTTCAAAAGCTTGTGTCAGAGCCGTACTTAAAAATTGGGCAACTTCATCACGACATTTTTTCTTAAGAATCCTTAATTTAACACCTCCAAAAGATTCTGCCGTGTAACTATCTTCGGGGAATGCATTTTTTAAATACGTTAAAGTACTTACAGCCACAACCGTCAACTGTTTCATGAAAGTTACAGAGCTTGTGTAATTTTCTGTAGCTTGTCGAGGAAATATTTTAACCCATTCTGATACTGCCTAAATCAATATAAATAGGTATACATTTATACATTATAATATATTTTCTAAAACCATGCATAGTAATTATTACATACTTGATTCGTCGGTGTAGCTGTGGCTGTCATTTTAAATTTTAATAACGAACTTAAAAGAGTAGGTAATCACAAAATCACAACCTCTATGTCAAAATTGCCGCCACAAAGCCCATAAATATTCGCGCCCTTTCGGCTTTCCCAGAAGTCTGTCACGTGTCAGATGTCATATCTTTTACGATTTATTTTATGATAAACATAATATTATGAAGATTGGAACACAAGTTGAAAAAGTATCCACCTGTAAGCTGCAAATAACAGTTCAAAAATCCATCAGAGTGGCGCTAGCATAGCAAGAGAATATTATATGAATTTAGCAGTTGTAAATTGAGTAAAATGTGCTGAGTTAAAAAATTTAATGTTTTGGGTGACTTGAGTAGTTATTAATTTATTTATGTAGTTCAAAATAAATTAATAAATATAACCAAAAAAAAATGTGGTGATAAAACGTCAAGAGTGATTAATTTTTTGTAAACTTTTAACAATACTTTTGGCGCTTTCTTCAAATTGTACCCACATGCTACCGTGGCGCCAGCCTAATTACGCTTTTAGATGGACTCTTTTTCATGACAGAGATAGTTCTCCTTACCTCTACCCTCCATACTACTACGGCAGGACCTAATAACAAAAAACACAGATAATGATCACACGATCTAAAAACAAAAAGCAGAAACAATAATTTGTGCAAAAACAAAAAAAAACAGATAATGGTACAACAGCAGTAGTAGTATAATCTTATAGTGTCATACTGTTACATTAATAATTATTTGCTTAAATTTTTCAGTTCTAGCTCTAATACTCATTTTAATAATAATAACAAAACATCGTATTATAAAAAATATAAGTATTTAGTATAAAACCTCTTTATAAATTTTAAAAAAATAAGAATACTTTTCCTTTTTTAATTTTGACTTTATAACAAATGACGCATTGATGTGCGTCAATGAATAATAATATAAAATAATTTGGAAACGTTTATAGTTAAAGTTCGTTAGTATTTAAAGTAACATGTTATGTCCTGAAGGAGCTCAGGTGCAAATTGACAACGGAGTAAAAGATGAAAACAATGTTGGTAAGAAAAATAAAGCAACAATAGAAGGCACTGGCAGCACGGAACTGAATTCGTATAAAAATCCTAAAACCTGGAAAAAATCTATCACGAATTTTTTTCGTAATCAGCTTCGATCAACTAAATCTAATGATGTAAGAAAAAAATTGTTATAGTTTTATAATACAATAAAATTAAATTAAAATATACAAATAAATATTTTAATTATTTTAGGGAGAGCGACCATCCGGTAGCAAAGATAATTTTGAAGAAAAAGAAATAACACCAGAACAAAAATGGCAATCGTTAGGAAAAGTATTTCGACGCCAAAGTTTTGCCGAACATTGGCAAAAATCATCTAATCAACAAGGCGAGACTTCATCTCAAAATAAACGTCATGGTGTTCGAAAAGTCATTTCGAGCTACTTTGGGAAATCTACAAAGAATTCGTCTGAGCTTAAAAATGATGAAAACTAGCAATATTTCTTGTCATTAATTTCTTATCGATAATAGCTTTTAAATGTATTAATACATTCCTATTATATAAAATATACTAATTGATCAATTAAATTATATGAAACCTTCCTTTTATTCGTTACCTTTAACAAAAACCTATAATTTTATTGTTTTTTTAAAAAGCTATTAAAGTTTTCTTTGAGATCTTTATTCCAACTTAATAATCTATACTAATATTATAAATGTGAAAGTTGTGAGTATGGATGTATGTTTATTACTCTTTCACGCAAAAACTACTGAATGGATTTTGATGAAACTTTACAATAATAAATCTCAACATCACAATAACACAGACTACTTTTTATCCCGAAAAAATGTATGGTTCCCGTGGGATAGATTTGTTTTTCTAGAGGCGAACCTGAGCGAAGCGAGGGTGAGCCGCTAGTAATATTATATTACACTAATTTTAAGATGTAATTTCATGATCCCATAGTCGGAATATTGGCAACAAAAGGCTTGGCTGTCAACTCGACCATTGACAGTTTGACATAGGACAAAAAACGTCAGAAAAAAGTTGTGTGACATTTCCGCAGGCTATCAAAGGATGAAATTATTTTTTGGCTTTTTGTTTATACGAGATTTATGTTTATACATTTATTTTAGTATTATTTAAGAAATGGTGCAAAAGATTTCAGTTTGCTTTCAATGTACACATCTTGATTCATGTGCACTAGTTTGCTAGTGAATACGCCCTTGAAAACAGTGATACAAAAAGTCTAAAGTCAGCATAGCAACAACACTTTAGTCCGTTTAATTCCGTTTTTGAGAAAGATTGCGGATTATAAATCCTAGTGGTGCCTTTTTGAGGTATGTTAAAAATATTATAATGTCAAAAATTGTAGATATGCATGTTTAAATTGTTGATTTCCTTGTTCAACCATACCTTTGTTGTATCTCAATATATATAAATGTGTATAGCCAATGTCGCGAATATTATGTGCAGTCGTACGATCCTTTTATTTTAAAATATAATAGGAACTTTTATAGTTCTAATTGATATGAAATTGAATCTATTTTAAATTAGATATGGTATTTCCTTTTATCAGATGTTATTATACATGTAATAATATTTATAATCCGTATATAATAAAATACATTTAATAAATTATAAAAAAATCAATATTTTAAAATTAATTAATCTTATAATGCATTGAAATAAGATAAAAATATCAAGAATTGTCTTAAGTAACATTAAATATTGTAATTAATCCTCATTAAACTTTATTTTTATTGATTATAAAAAAATGTTAGCTATTAATAAATCATTATCTTACTACATTTAATAAAGTGATTAACTACAGTTGTTACGATAGAGTAATAAATTTACAAAAACCAATTAAGAATTCTAGAGAAATCTGCCCCATTGTTCTAAAATAAAAACAAGTGTTAACTGTATAAGACTTTATATGTTACTTCTAATGCTTATATGTTCAGTTGGTAAGGTTAAGGTTGTTTGATTGTGGAGATTCATATAGTTACATAGGTATATCATAAAGTTATATCTTATAGTTTTCATAAATTATATATGTGTATAAAAGTTATATATGTGTAGTGTATCAAGTATCAACTATCTGGTACCATAACACAAGCCTTGTAGCTTACCATGGAACTAGATGGTGCTGTGTTAAAGTCCCAACATATTTATTTATTTCATAAATAACTCAAGTTATAGTAAACATTGATTGAAACACAACTTATTTGAATTAATTTGTGTAAATGTGTTAAAAAAATATATTTTTTGGGATATTTTAAACATTTTATCTTAAGTGTCAACTTTATTTCTTCATCAATATCTATTTGCTACTTTTTTTTAAGCTGAAGTGAAACTTATTAAATAGTCCTATAAATTAGGTGTTATTAATATAATTATATTTAGTTAGGAGCTCACTATTGCAACAAGAAATGTACTACAACTCCATATAATGAAACTGAATAAAATTTTAGAATCAAGAAATAACTTTATCCATATTACTTTCCTTTTCAAAAACATGCATAATGTTTACATAATGACTTAGAGTATTTGTTATTATATGTATATTGTTGCTTTAGTTTGACTCGTATTTAACTAAATCTCTTGTGATCATACTTCCTAGAACCCTCGTTTCTGTTTTCAATTAAATATTGGTAATATTTTTGATTAAACTTTTAAGAGAAGCCTTAGGACCGTAATAATTATAATTATCATTGTTTCTATTATTTCAGATGAGTACTGAAGATGTACGGAGATTAGAGCTAGTTCAAGAAGTTATAATCTTAATCTGATAACTAGATTTAGTATTGGTGTGGTGCTTTGTTAGAATAAGATGATAACCCGAAGGTGGTTCCATCCATCACTGAATGGAATGGATGCCGAAAAACTGCTTTTAGAGAAAGGTCGAGACGGGTACTTCCTGGCTCGGCCCAGCATGAGTAATAAAGGAGATTTTACACTATCAGTTCGAAGGGGGTTAGAAGTCACACATATAAAGATTCAAAATAATGGTGAGTTTCTTGATCTATATGGTGGTGAAAAATTTGCCACTCTATCAGAGCTAGTACAGTTCTATATGGACAATCAGGGTCAACTACGTGAGAAGAATGGTAACGTTATTCGATTAAAAACTCCGTTAAATTGTGCCGATCCGACGACGGAGAGATGGTATCATGGGCAACTCACAGCAAAAGAAGCAGAAAGAATGATGTTAGAAAACGGTAAAAACGGATCTTTTCTCGTTCGTGAATCCCAGAGACAACCAGGGGATTTCGTTTTATCAGTGCGCACGAGGGATAGGGTAACTCATGTAATAATACGGAGGCAGGATAATAAATACGACGTGGGAGGCGGCCAACAGTTCGAAGACCTCGTCAGTCTCATAGAACACTATCGTAGTTTTCCCATGGTTGAAACTAACGGTGAAGTGCTAAGGCTCATTCAACCGTTCAACGCGACGCGTATCCAAGTGCAACACTTTCACACGCGAGTCAAACAACTGCAAAAAGAAAATGAAGGCCCAATCGAAAGTATGGCGTACAAACAAGGTTTCTGGGAGGAGTTCGAAACGTTACAGATGATGGAAAATTTACAATTGTTCGATAGAATGGAGGGGTCTAAGCCAGAGAATATAAGAAAAAATAGATACAAAAATATTATTCCGTTTGACCATACTCGTGTCATTTTGCGAGATATTCCAACAGACCCCCCTCCGGGCTCTGATTATATAAATGCCAACTACATTCGGTGCGACTTCATCGATACTAATTCCGACTCACAGGACTTAAACGGAAGTAATGAAAACAACTCTCCTCATGCGAAAGATGGTGCTTCTAAAATCAAAGACAAACTTTCTCCTACACACACTGGTGTTATAATTACAGAAGAAAAACCGAGGGAAATTCTAAAAGGTTACGGCAATGGCACCCATAAACCAACAACGACATTTGAGCCCAATGTCCTTCGGACAAACCCTAATTACGTCAACACAACGATACCTAAATCAACTGCAGTCATAGAGAATGGGGACTCTGATAAAGTTTACAATAAAATTTATATCGCTACACAAGGCTGTCTTTCAACGACTATTTACCAATTCTGGTCAATGATATGGCAAGAGGACGTTCGTATAATAATAATGACCACAAAGGAGATAGAGCGTGGTAAAGTAAAGTGCGAGCGTTACTGGCCAGAACTTAATAAATCTGAAGTGATAAAGAAATATTCTATTTACAACGAGTCTGAGTCATCCACTCAAGACTACACGTTGAGGAGATTTGTAGTAACGAAAAAGGACGAGCCGAATATAAAGCGGACCATATATCATTTCCATTTCACCGCGTGGCCTGACCACGGCGTGCCTTCGGAGCCGGGTCGAGTGTTGAACATCTTACTCGACGTCAACTACAGACTCCAACAAATAATGACTGGGCCTAATCCCCCGAGTCAAGCGGTAGTGTGCGTCCATTGCTCCGCCGGCATCGGCAGGACGGGAACGTTTATAGTCATAGATATGATTCTGGACCAAATAAGAAAAGAAGGATTCGACTGCGAGATAGATATCCACCGTACGGTGCAAATGGTCAGAGATCAAAGATCTGGGATGGTGCAAAACGAAGCCCAATACAAGTTTATTTACATGGCTTTGCTAGAGTACATCGAAACTGAAAAGCAAAGACTTTTGATGCCGCTCTCGCAGGACTCCCTGCGCATATGATCCGAAGCGAACAAATCTAAGTTTCGGGAAAGAAAGAAAAGCCTTCTGAAATGTTTCACAAATCGCAAACACAAGGGGCGTTCTGACTTCCAATGTCTCCCAAAACGGTAGTGACTTTAGGTGTAACTTTCGGATCTATGCGGTTTATTAATTTGAATATAGATTTATCGTAATGCAATATTTTATAAAGAAAAAATATTTTTCACTAAATGTTATCAACTAAGTAAATTTTAACATTTAAGTAAAATTTTCAAAAGACGCAATTTAAACTCGTATTACTGTAACGTGTAGGTACATTACCTATAATTTAATACTTTCTTAGATTTACGCGAATGTTTGACATTTTTAAATAAAACTATCTTTTCGCATTATTTCGCGGATTAATTTCGATTTTTGGAACCAAAAATCAAAATAAATCCGCGAAATAATCCGAAAAGATAGTTTTATTTAAAAATACCTATAATTTGCTATAAATAATGCGACGAGTGACGACCATTGTGACTTTACGTACATCATTTTTCCTGTAAGATTACTTTACTGTATTATTATCGAAGTAATTAATTAATAGTAGCAATACAACGGAGCATTATAATATGGGAATATGTTTTTAAGTCATTATTTTTATTTATCGTTCGAGCTGTTTTCTAGAGAACACGCTTAAATAACACTTAAGGAAATTGAAATATAACCTATAGTAGAGATGTACTCGTACCTCTGTATGTAAAGATCGACTGTAGTACCTAGTTGCCGGTGATAAAAGTAATACTAATAATATCTACGAAACTGAGACCTGATAATCTTTCAAATTATTGCTTTAAAATTGTACTATATGAAGCCGATAAGGTGGGCTTCAAAGTGATCTCGAATCGATTTTGAATTAGACGGAGTATATTTTTATTTCGCTTACGACGTAATAAGTTGATGAGGCCGTTTTGAAACAATGTAATCGGATACATCGATGTATTTTTGCCTCATCTCGAAACGTTAGGTATTAGGTGTAAATGTATAGTCGCATAAATATTTTTCTAATAAAAACCGTACATATTTGGTTATAAATCAACGCGGATGAGGCAAGTTAGCGTTCCGCCACGATACCTCGACGTTACAGAGATGTTGCTAATAATAATATTATGTAAGGTAGATTTAGCATTCAATATTACAACCAATGGAATATTTGTCTAAATCGTTAATATGTACATATATTCACGTTTTTACATTTTCGGTTTTCAAGGCGGTAGCTATAATCGAGGTGCTTCTACGTTCTACCATGTCCCGCCTTAGGCGATGGTGCGATACTTTTTTTTAAGAAATTTATTTTCGATTTGAATCAATTGAGTGATGAATTTTATCTTAACAAGATTATATTTATTAATATTTTACATTTATTTACTATATTTGACGGTTCACGGTGAATGTGAGACGCGGCCATTTGAGTTTTCTTTAGCAATATGTTGCTCAAATGATTCAAAACTATTTTACGTTGTTGGCATTTTATTTATAATATATTCCAATTTGTAAAGCTGAGCTTAAGTATTTTGCATGAAGTTTAATAGAGAGAAACAAAAAGTTTATCTGCAGAAGATATATGTTGTGTTATATAATATAATAATGAATAAAATGTGATATTGTACAATATTTATTATTATTTTCTCTTTCCAGCCAGTAGGTTAAGAAGGGTTTCAGTAATTAAACTGCATGATTAAGGCATTTTCTGTAACAAATAGAAACAATTTGGTTGAAAAAGTATCTAACCTTATCACTATTAAGATATAATTATGTTTTTTTTACTTCTGTAAAACTATGTTTTATTTTTATTTATTTAAAATTGCAAGATCAAAATCCCATTAAAACGGATGTGTATGAAATTTGGCACAGAGATAGGTTATTGTATGGAGTATGGACATATACCTATTACTTTTTATCACCGGACAATGCTTGCCGTGGAATAGATTTGCTTTTGTTTTTCACAGAACAAGAGATCTAGTATCTATTCCATACTAAACGTTAAAAAGTACCTATGTTTATATTTTACACTAATGTGTAAAGCTGTATTTGTATTTGCAGCCTATTTATTGAGGAAGGTCTGACTAAAGAGTAACAAAGCGAAATCTGTAGATAAAATATATTTTAAATACAATAACTGTAACGTACAATACGTACAGAATACAGACGCCTAGATAATAGTTATAAAAAATTTTCTCTGTTAATCTGTGCATAACTAACACGCAAAAAGTACTGAACCGATTTTAACAAAAAATTTTGTTCAGTTATAAATTATTACTCGGTTCTACGTTTAGGATATCTTTTACTACAGGAAAAATTTTCGTTCCCACAAGAAAACACAATAACTGGTTTATATGGCTAACGCTGGCTAAAATTTTAAAGATACATCAAAACAATGTACTAGAAAATTGTAGGTCTTAAAAGGGCCTACATAAAAATCTGCGATAGCAAGTATCTACCTCTTAAGATACGCTGACAATAGGTAACTATTTTTATCTATATAAAAAGTTCCTAGGGGGGCACCCAAGCGAAGCGAGTTGTCGCTTATAGTACGTAAATGAAAATAAATATAATACATAAATAACACTGATGAATAATATTTTCCTGTACGCTATCCTCATGAGTAATGTTTTTCATAACAGCTGACATATTAACCAATATGTTACATTTCGTAAAATAACAAACAAACATCAATATCATACTATTTTAATATTAAAATTGAATGCAGAGACACCTAGTCGTTGAGGATCTCTGCCAGATCTTTTCTCAATCTAGGATTCATACACAGTTTGTGTCTTTCTATATCTTGAAAATAATAGTAGGGGAGCCCAAGAGGGGATCCCCCCTTATGTAAATCTGCCGCGCTTGAGTAAATCCAAAAATCCTGGGCTGCCCTACTACAATAAAACAAAATAATACATTTTATTATTGTATTTTACATAGTTTTCATAAATTATACATTATCAAATACTATTTTGCCTAATTTAGGAAGTTGTAATCATAAAGGTACTGTGATTTAAAAAAAATGAACACGTATATATAAAACACATTTATTCAAAGTAATTTCTTGTGTATTTTAATTTTGAGAACAAAAGATAAAGCTATATACCACTATTAACTAAGATATCACACAAAATGCTAGTTTTGCCTAAATGAACATGAGATTATGATAGGAAAATTTAATAAGCAATTGTTTAAATTTAACATTTGTAAGGAAAGTATATATAATAAGATAAATATTTAACCCATGGCCACAATCAACAACACAACAAACAAAAATTAGTTCAAAAAAATGTCAATAGATGACGTTATTTGTGTAGATTTGTTATTAGTGTTAAACTAACAAAAGATAAAAAACTAGACCCCAAAAGGTATATTATTACATAAGTGCAGGGAAAAGAAATAATGCGCACTGTTATGGGTCCCTGGATAAGACCCTTTTTAAAAAAAGATTTATTTATCACTGAAAACACTTTAATAACTTTATTAATTATTTATACAATATATATGGGATATGAAGAGCTAGTGCTCTCGGCCGATGATACTCTCGAACTAACTTAATACGTAGTAAATAAAAGTACGTAAGTAAATAAAAATTTGCAAAATTTTACTGATTATAATTGAAATATCAGGAATCAGAAGAAGGTGTATTAATGTATATTGACAGATGGCGTTTTTACTGTTTATGAATTGGTTATTACGGTTAATAATAGTTAACATCACAGATTTTTTTTATTCCAACGCAGAAAGAATTTTACAATATTTACCATTCGTTAGTTTGCAGTTTGCACATACATATTTATAAAATAAAACAGTTTAACTATTTGCGAATGAACGACATCTATTATCTACTCAAGCAAACAAAAATAGCCCGAATTAGCATTATGTAATCTGTGCCCATGGCTATTCATAGCACATCCATCCACTTCAGCACTAACCACCGGGCACCGCATGTACGCTGCTAATTAAATCTCCACCCACCAAGATTGTCCAGGCTACATATAGAATCCATAGAGAAATCGCCATAAGGAAAATATAAGAACATGGAGAAATTTGATATGGTACATCTCCTGGAAATTGTTAATTCACAATTAAATATATTGGAAAAAAACAAAATTATGTAACCAAATAAGAAAGAAAGTATAAAAAATGATAGAAAATGTAACAAGAATCCAAAAAATTGATTCATACACATGTTTAATTATAGCTGCATCTGTAATGTGTATGTCTCCGACTGCATAATACTTTAATTAATAAAAAGAATAGCATACGAATGGCAAATATATTAGTGTTTAAAAGAAATAATGAAAATAAATGGGTGTACATATAAAAAGGAAAACATTTAACAACTGTGTTCCTCTATGCATAACTTATGGATGTGAGACTTGGTCACTAACTTCAAAACACAGGGACAATCTATCAAAGCGCCAACATGCAATGGAAAGAAGAATGCTGGAAGTTAAGCTAAAAGACAGAATTCCAAATCACAAATTAAAGACAAAGGTGACCGATATACTAGAAGATCAGATTGACCAACAAAAGTAAATGTGGACAGGCCACATTCTCCATAATAAAGTGGAAAAATGGAGTAAGCAGGTTATCCCTTTGGTAACCCAGAAATTACAACAATGGCAAGGTGAAATATGAACAACTTTGGTACCACACTGGACCAGGATTGCATTGAAGAGAAAATTTTTAAAGAGTTGGAGGAAGAGGTCTATTCCAACAGTCACTGGACAATCAGAGACATTGTGTTTTATTGTATTTAAGTTAGAAAATATATTGTGTAGAATAAAAGGCTATATTATTATTATCCATAGCACAATTTTAGTAAAAAAGATATATTAAATGTTTGCATTCTTTACATTTTACGATTTAATTGAATATTTTTTTACATTATTTTATTCTTTGCCTCAACTATTGATCTAAAGAATATCTAATGAGCAGGCAGTAACTAATTGAACACGAGTTATTTTATATTGTTTAGTCCATAAAACTACCACATTTATAATAATTTAGAAGTAAAATGTTAATCATCATTGTTTACAGGAATTTCTTCTATTCCTTCTGTTTCATTCACCAATGCACGCTCTAGGATGACTCTCCCTTCTTTATATCTGAAAATTTTAAGGAATTTTCTATAGATATAAGTAAATATCTGTTTTTTATAGGGTGTAATTAAGCAGTTAACAATTCACAAGAAAATTTTAAATAATATTCCATTACCTTTGATTTTCTTCAGTCGCAAACTCATACACCCAACCTAGCTTCGTAGCACAATTCTTGCAAGAGACATCCCTCACCATATGTCTACCAGTCAGCATTACTCTATCTTGAACTTCAGAGTATACTAGGTTTACCACTTTATGAAATAGAAATGCGCGACCTTAAATATATAAATTAATAAAGTTAGAATAGTTAATTTTTATTTAAAGTCGAAAGGAACATATCTAACGTTTAAAATAGTACCTAATGAATAAAAAACAATGTAATAAGTGCGTATTTACGATTACAGCTGTTTCGTTATTAAATAAGATAAAATTTAAGAATTTTTATCATTAAAAACGAATAAACCTATTTTTATTTCAAGTTCTTGGTTTTAGATAGTTATTTACAGGGTTAACATTTTGATTAAAATCAGCTGTTCCCACTTACCTGTCGCTCCTGTAAATCTAGTGCTGATTAACTCAGAACGATTAGTTAATACCACATCACAAGCTGCACATGAAAATAAACGTGTTCCACCAATATGATCTAAAAATATTTTGCCCATTTTGTATTTCTTTGTTTTCAAAATGTAAAATATTATGAGAAAGTTTTCTCTCGAATTTGACGTATCACGTAATCAAAATAAACTTCACTTTGAGTTGCAGTTGCCAAACAATGATTGAAGTATTGTTTTGTTATCTCGTTCTTTTCTATCAGGCTAGAAGAAAACAAATACACATTTGTAATTTTAACTAAATAAGGTATTTCTACACTATCAACAATAATGACAACCTGCTTATTCATCAATTAAGTTAAGTGGTTAGTTTCAAATAATAATTAAATTTTTTTTTTTAATAAACAGATTCAAATAATTTAGTTTTATTTAATTGATAAAAAGACTTATTACTTATTCACGAAGACGAAAAATCGTGGAAGCGTTACATTTGAATTTATGAAGAAATTATGCTTAAACTATTAATGTTAGTATTAATTACATAAATATAATAATGGAATCAAAATATCTTTAGAATTTAATAATTACAATAACTTTCCAATAAGTTGATTCAAGTGTTTTCTTTGTTGATTGGTTGCCTAAGTAACTATTAACAGTTTCGACTTGAAATATGTTTTTTTACAAATAGTAAACACTGTTTAGTCACTTTTAATTTTACAAAATTTAAATAAATATTGTATTCTAAGTATGGAAAGCTTAAAGGAAGATACTATTCACCATACAGCTTTGAAACTAACGGAAGAAATTAAAAATCTTTCAATATACAAGTCATTTTATAGTGATGTACAAGTGAGTTTAATTCTTATAATAAATGTAAGAAGTAGGTGACTATAAAATGTATTATATAATATTAATTGATTTCATAATCAACAGAAACTGGTATCTTCACCAAACGTTAAAAAAGAAGATTTTAAACAAACTTTACAACAAGCTATGAAAGAAAAAGGACTAGACACAAAACTTAGAAATACAGTTTTTCATTGGGTTAGAACACAGAGCAAACACAATGTAAGCTAATTTATTATTCATACATACGTATGTACATTTTGTAATGATTATCAGTATGTAAAAGAACATCCTATTTATTGTATAATTTTCGATCTAAATAATGTTTTCTCTGTAAAGGATTATTTAATTATTTTTCAGAAACTAGATCCATTAACTTCGTTATCAAAAGCTAGTACTCAATGGGAGAAAAGAATTCATAAATCTTTAAATTCAATGTGTTCAGACTTAGAGACTTCTTTAGCGAAAATCAGGCCACAAAGTGAACAAGAGGAGCTTGCAGATAAATGGAATGAGCTTAGCACATATGGTCTAGGTAAATTAGACTTTCTGTCGCAAGTTATAATAACTAATGCTGCACTAACCATAAGGCGGGCTAGGCACTATCAGCTATCAGGCCTCACACGTTCCATGGGTCCTATTAGATGCAAGATACATTATAAATTAGATAAAAGCAAACAATATATATATCAACAAATAGACAAAATATAGAATTATAAAAAATTTACAATAATAAAATCAAAGTCAATTCTTAAGATACGAAGTACATAATTTGGATTAAAAATTTGCGCGTGGGCATCAAAATTTTAATATACATTTACTAAGCTCAATGTTTTTGCAGATTTATCAAAATACCGACCAGTTTATGCACCAAAGGATTTTTTAGATGTTTTACTTACTTTATCTGGATATGTGCCTTTTACAAGAGAGTGAGTTCCTAGTTTTATACCAGTGTATTAAATTTTATAGTTAAACTTAAAAACAAAATGATCTATAAAAATTATATTACAGAGACGAGCCAAAATGGGAATTTGCACATTTACCTCTACAAGTTAAAGCTTTGGATCAATTGGTATTAGTCATTTTATTTTGTTCTTTGTTACGTATTCGGCACAAAGGATCATTTAAAAAAATAAATAACTTAGATATAACTAATAATATTACATAACTACTAAAACGTTAATATTAAAAATTTGTAGCGAAAAGTATATATTGAATGGGCCAATGGAGAACCATTGTTAGGTGTAAACCCAAATATGCCAAGTTCAGTTCCTGGTTTTGTAACACTTGAAGCGGAACGTTTTGCTCTCGGTGAAAGAGTAGCTGCTTTAGGATATGCTCCAGTAATTCAGGAATATTTGAAAAAAGGTAGTCCACAATGTTTGAGGGCAAGACTTTGGACTCAAGTCTTAGGAGCTGAAGTCAAACACCAGGTGAATATTTTGCTAAGGAGTTAAAAAAATGTCCAAATAATATTTAAGAGTAAATAAGGTTCTAAGTTTTATGGAAGTACTAGCGATACCCGCGGCTTCACCCGCGTTCAAACTTCCGATCACTATCAAACTTCAGAAAATTTATCAAAATCGCTCCAGCCAACTGGAGTCCATAGGGAACATACATACACACGTCTATTTTGTATACATAAAATATACAGATGGATAGATAATATATTCGTTTTTTTTAAATACTTTTAGCAAATAACGTACTTCAATCAATTAAAGAAGAGCGTGCTCGAAGTGGATTTGATGATTGATAAGTTAATTTTCAAAGATGTGCAGCTAACTGCTTCTAACGATGACCAATATTTCGTATTTGAGGATTTGCTGTATCAGGTATTATAAAGTTTTCTTTATATTTAGTTATTTACGTAAAAAGTATTTTTCATAGTTAACGTGCCCCGAATCCCGATTAGGAAAAATCGACCCCGAAACTAGGATTCCTAGTTCTTCTTTTCATATTATTGCTCATCAATATAAAAAAAAATCATTGTACGACTATCTAGATCTATAAAAAAATTATTTCTTTTGTCTCAAAATATTGAGTTATACGCAGGTGATGCTTTGCTTTTCTCGAGATAGTGAAGTATTGACAGCAATTAGATCCCTCGCTGGAGCAGCCCTCACAGTCGCGGTGAAGGGACGCCACCCGCCAGACTGTTACACTGCCTTTCCTCCCAGCGGAGTCATTCCCTTTCATGGCTTCACTATGTACGGTAAGATAAATCTATACTAATATTATATAGAGGTAAAGTTTGTGAGTTTGCGACCTCGTAGTGGGTAATCTCTGGATCTACTCAACCGATTTAGATGAAATTTGGTAAGAAGATAGTTTGAGAACCTGGGATGGACATAGGGTACTTTTTATCCCGGAAATCATCCCTTGGAGGGGGGGGGGGTGAATATGGGGATGAAAGTGTTTATGGGGAATCAAGCTGGGGTCGAAAGGAGCGAAGCGACGGGGAGTCAATAGTAAACAATAATTCAATTGTTTGTGTAGAACGATGCAAGCGTTCCTTTTTTAGCGGCGAAGCCCAAAAGGGGGTTATGTGTTTCGTCTTTACGTATTTATGCATGTCCGATCCTATGTTGAATAAACGGCTTCATCGCTTTTGAGGACATTATATTTTGATCATCATATCAAATCATCGAGTGGGGTATCAAACTGAAGGTTTTTAAGGTGCGATTATAAAAATTTTATACAACTTATATTAAACGTATAAATTATATTTTAGGATAAGAAATTGATAGATAAAATTCAAAATGGGGAAAATTAAAAAGCTATAAGTAAACAAAATATCTTGTAAAAATAAAAACACCTGACTGCGTAAAAAATGAAATAAAAAAGAAGGGAATAAGTTGACAAGGGAACAATCTGAGGCATTAGGTATAGTCGGAAACATGCATATTTTATCCATGTATGTGGAATTGTCTTCGCATATTTTGTCGATGTTCCATCTGTTTAGTTTTCTACGCAGTCGGGTTTTTATTTATTTTTATAACACACATTATTTTTCAGCTACTCCATTTTGTTATTTATACGATGATCCTGTTCAACTATATTTTATATTTAGAGCTTTTTATATGCGTTATTGGCATCGACTGCATTACATCTCTACACATCCTCAGGTATTAAAATAAAAATTAAATATACATTTTTGCAATAATAAAAAAAAAATATGGGATTGGGAAATACACACAAGATATTGTTTCAGGGTATTGTATCTCTTTGTCTTCTGTACGAGAGACTTTTAGAAGCAAATGAACCTCTTTTGTGGATACACTTCAGGAATATCAACATTAACCCGTGAGTAATATTCATATTCTAGATTTAAAAAAATACATTTAGGCGGGAACTGGAAAGTCAGCAGGTGTAATATCATATTAAACTTCATCTTTAATATATTTTTTAAATGACTAAAATATATAATTGATTACCTATAATTTTGTAAATAGAAATAAAATCAACTTTTTTATTCTATTTTTTTTTTAGTATTCGTGTGGTATTCAAATGGTTAATGCGAGCGTTCAGTGGGCATCTGCCACCAGACCAGTTATTACTGCTATGGGACGCCATTCTTGGATATGACTGTTTGGAAATTCTTCCTTTACTAGCTTTAGCTATTTTGAGCTTTAGAAAGGAGAATATTTTTCAAGTGAACACTTTACAAAATGTCGACGCAGTGTTGGCAGATCTCTCAACAATATCGGTTATTCCATTATTGCAATTAGCGTTGATGAAATCATGAATATTGAAACTAGATGATCTAAATGTCATAAAAACTAAATGAAGGACACAAGCAAAGAACAGGGAATGTAACAATTTTTTTTTAATTTTTTATTACGTACTGGCAGCGATTCTATGTTCTATGGTACTTGCATTCCCAATCACTGGTTTTTAAAAAACAAAAATACTCAATGGATGTCGCTAAAAATTCGTTTTTATCTATGCCCATAGCGAAAAAAACGGGGAATGTCCATAACATCCGGTAAAGGAGAATTGTCCAAAAATGTGCATAGTAAAAAATTATTACATACCTACTACATAGGTACTATGATCTCAATAAAAATATTATACCTCTAAGCTTTAAATTGCTTTTTTCTCATTAAGACATTCTCTGTTCTTTGTCTGTAGTCTGTACACTTCCGGGACACCACTTCACTGACCACTACTTTAAATGAAGTCCATATGCATTTTAATCCATTACGTACTAATTCACGTAGAGTACATGTAAGTACAAATTGACTAAACATTGTTTATATGCTGTACAAGTGTACAGCATATAAAGAATGTTTAGTCATTTTTTTTTAAACTCAACAGTACCATCTACTTTCAAACTGTTGTTCATAAATAGAAGAATTAATAATTGATTATTTTATAGAAAAATATTCTTTTAATTCAACGAGTTAAAAGTCGAAATAATATTAGCATTATGTAAAATGCAAATGTTTTTACATTGTTAATTTTTATAGTATTGTATAACATCTGTTCTTCATAGAATGTGCTTTGATAGATAATATATTTTTTGTTCAATATCTCAGAAGCATACATTGAAATCTGAATACGAGTTAATGTTATTGTTACAATATATCGACTATTATTTGTATAGAAGTTTTATAGGATTTTTTTTTGTAGACGAATTTATTGTAATAAAGTGCGAACATGTTACCATTAATAGTGTTTTTTTAATATCGATCAAAAAATACTAGATACATAATCCCTTGCAAAAGTTCTCTTAAAACTGTCACCAATTGTGTTTAGGTAATTATTTTACTCGAATGTCATTAACTATGGATGGTATATCGCATATTTTTTGTACAAGTATTGGTCATCTACAACGAAGGCAACAAGAAAGATAAGAAATAAAATGAAAGAATTGTAAATATAAACATTTTAATAACTTTCTTAACATAATGTTAAATCTTTCTACAGACAACACACCAATTACCCTCTTCATAAAAGCTTTTCTCCACAACTAAATCTGGCAAATCACATAGTTTATCCAGTTCGCCTTCTTCAAAAACATGATAATATCTTAACAATGTCGTATTTGATTGGTTTTCTAGTTTTTTTTCCTTCATTTTACGTAATTTCCAGGGCACGAGAAGATCGTTGTGTTTAAATTGGGTTCTATTTTCGTGTATGGGAAGATTTATTCCGGCGACGGAATGTAGACTTGTGTCGTAGTTTTCCTTGTTTTGGCTGAGATAGTTTGATTTTGTTTGGTCTTTCGCCCATACTGTGATTAGGGCTTTGCCCCCCGGACGTAACAGGTGTGCTATCGTTGATACAGCTTGGAGTCTTCTCTCCTAAAATCAAAATAATACAGTAAATACTAAAGTTTATGAGTGAATGTCTTTGTAAGTACTTCACGATGTAATTTGTGAAATTCGGAATAAAAGTATTATATCTTGAAATAGCACGTGGGCGCCCTGCGGGACAAAAACTAGAATATTATATTTATTTTAGATCATGCTACTTTATAAATTAGCAGATCCACTCTATTAATGGGCCTCCACGATATTATTCTACACACTACCAACATATGGATATATTTAAATCAAATATTCTGCAGAAGCCTAATAAGTACATGATTCATAAAATCACATAACCCACACAGCCACCACACCAAAAAAAATAGTATTATATGTATATGAGAAAGTTGCCAAACAAAAAATACCTCGAGCAATTCCGCCGGAAGTCAATATAAAATATATTTTTTTGTATTATATGTAATTAGTATTTACTAAAAATACAAAGTACAACTATTCGACTTTATTTTGGTTTTTGATACAAGATACATATTTAGAAAATACGATGTATTCCTAAAAAATTTTTTATTGGGAGGCAAATAATACAATTGACTCGTAAATGCAAAAAGGCGTTAAAATTAAACCATGTCTTACTCGAGAGTGTGGGTACTCCAAGATAACCAACTATCAACTATAAATATAAATTATTGAGCAAAAAAAACAATTGACATTCGCTGACCATAAAGTCACGATGTTCCCGAATACGCCCGAATTCTTCTAATAACATACGCACTTGTCGCAACATGCAACGTAAAAACAGGAGGAATATCCGGCCTCCCCGGTATATTCACAATACATTAACAAAGAAACCACACAAATCTTACTACTATTATAAATGCGAAAGTTTGGATAGATATTTGTTACTCAATCACGCCAGAATGCCTGACGGGATATGGATGTTTGGCACAGAGATTTTTATCCTGGAAAAATGTATGGTTCTCGTGGGATAGATTTGTTTTGTTTTTGACAGAGCAATTTATCGACATGTAAGAATCTGCCATAGCAAAGTTTTTCTCCTATACACTCGCAGCTATTTACATATTCACAACGTACGTAACCAGACGTAAGTCGGTAGCGTAATAAAATAATATAAGCAAACTAACCTGATTACTAAAATGGTGTATAACAGCTATACAGATGACCCTGTCCGCGCTCGCGCGCCGCAGCCCCGGCGCCAGCAGGTCGAGGCGCACGCAATCTGCCGCGCTCACATCCCTCGTGTACTCTTTACACTCGTTCAATAACCCCATACTTCTTTCACCTGCTATCTGTATTTACTAACTGAATAATTACATAATACTTTCTTATATTACAGTTCTAATAATTAAAAACAAACATAGTAATTGTGAGTCTTGCTGCGTGTGTGTATGTACTGTGTACATGTGTATATTTCCAACTACATAATATTATTTAGTTGCGCTATTTTGACTTTTAATGATATCTATGTAATGTATAACTATGTACTCTATGACACTCACATCAAGACGAATCTAACGACTTATGAATCATCAAAATCGGTTAAGGCCCTTAGTAATTAAGAGGTAACTTAGGGTCAGACATACATCCCCCCCAACGTGCGTTCACCTTGTCGTGGTGGGGGGGCTCAGTAGTGCCCGGCAACCCAACCGGGCGCGAAGCCAAGAAACGCACAGGGAGGTGGCCCACTTCGGTGGGCGGTGGGAGGTGGCCCTCTTCGGAGGGCAGTGTACCATGCGGGTTGCTCCTGGTACTTCTCTGATAGCAGAGTGGACTGTGGAGCAACCCCGTGGTTGTTGTGGTCTGCTTCGGCAGACCTGCCGTCAGGGCGTCGTAGTTTAATGCGTAAGCGATCCTGCGACGCCCCATTAAGACGGGGGAAGGTTTTGTTAGGTTTTAGTGGGTAGTACTGGCTTTGCCGGTGAGTCCCACACCTCGTGCGTAAATGCATTTCCCAACGTAAAAAAAAAAAGGGTCAGACATACATACATACAGATCAAAATACATAACCCTCCTTTGGCCTTCGCAGTTGGGTAAAACGCTAACCTGCACGATATCATTGCGTTTAAGTATATTCTTGCCGTTGCCCGCGCCCAAGTCCAGTACGATGGAGCCTGACGGCGCGTCCTGAAGGAACTCTACGACTTTCGGCCAAGGCTTGTGCCGAGTGGAACTGAAGTGACTTGCTATTTGTTCGTACACCTATAATATAGTTTTCGGAAAAGATAAAGAAAGTATTGTATTTTTATTTAAAAGTTAAATTTTAATGTAATTGTAATGTACCTTCATTGATTATTAGACTCCTAATACGTTAGGATAGGATTTGAAAAGTAATTTGGTTATGAGGGTCTGAGGTATCAGTTCATTTTGGAAAAGGGGTCTCTTGCCCAAAATAGTTTGGCAATCCCTGCTGTAAACCATAATTTTTTTTTATTATTTCTAAATGTGCCACAAACCTGATGTACATGAAGGTCTTCCAATTCAGAAGCAACATCCCCATCGATACTTTTAACAACACTATCACATAGCACTTTGTATCCACAGTCACATTTCCCCGTCCTAGTTTTTCTAAATGTTAGAGATATCCGAGTTTGCCTTGGAACGGTGTCATTAGTTATAACTCTTAAATGCGAGCTTTCATGTTGCCGAGTTTCTATGATTGGGTCCCATTGTCTTGGCTGAATCCCATGTTGCCAGTCATACCTGTTATAATATTCATACATGAAAGAAAAGATAACGACATCTTGATCTACATTTCCTCACAAATCCCATTATTGATTTTAAGCATTGATCAAAAATGTACTAGATACACAATCTTATTCAAAATTTCTCTTAAAACTGTCACCAATTGTGCTTAGGTAATTAATCCAGTTGAAATAAATATACAGTAATTACAGAATACAGAATAAGATAAAACGGAGATGGTAAAAACCGGAAGTAAAAAATTTTTCTAACTTAATGGCTACGGCCTTATAATAAAACACAGGCGTGAGAAGAAATTAGTTAAACAGCTAAATTACGAGCTTAAAATTAAATACATTATTTACACTTAGGTATATATTTGGTATAAGTCATAATGTGGGATGTAGTCATCACAAATGCTTAAAGTTGTTTTCCCAAAAAACAATTAAATTAAAAGCGCGCTCAAGTTTCAAATGAGCGCTCATTCGATGAAGACATTTTTTTTTGCTGATTGTGAATCTAGTACTTTTTTGATCGATAGTTTTAGGAAAAAAATAATGCTTATAGAACATACCTAGCCTCACTCTGCATGACTAGTAAAGACCTAGCTGGAATAACTAGTGGGATATATCCCCCAGAGTGGTGTTTCCAATCCATAACAACTGCCGATCCTAACGAAAGGGACATTATGGTATGTCCAAAAGGACTGTGTTTGTCTACGTGTGAGGGTATACCTAAAAACATTTTTCATTAATATTATAATAAATGTGTCAGTATGTCAATATGGCAAGGATAAAATGTGTACATTTCCGACTGCATAATACTATATTCCTTTGTGAACTCGTTTTCATCTTTTTAGTTAGCTTTTATGCAGTGGGGTTTTTTATTTTTATAATATATTTTTTTATTTCTATTTCATAATTAAAAATTACAATAATCCGAAAATCATACAAATAAGTCAGCTGGTTCAATTGATATTGTTTTCTGGGTTTGTAGTGTGTATTTGTAAGTTTTATTTATAAAAAATTCAACATTTTATTTAATGAAGAGAAAGGATTTCTTACTTAATTTTAAATATGAATGTCTGATACCACAGTGAAGTTAAAGTGTATCTAAATAAAATATATATCAACCTAAAAATAAGTTACATAAAATAAAAGCTTACCATGTCCAGGACTATATTTATTAACTGTCAATTGATCAGGTATGCTAAAATCAATACCATGACTTTTAAGTCTCTCCCATAAAACATCACATTCTTGCGGTATTTTTTCTGCCAAAGGGGAATTCAAATCTATGTCATTGCTACCATACCTAAACTCATAACCAAAATGCTTGACTTGTCTGTTCTTTAAATTAGACTCATCAATCCAGTCAAAGAGTTTTAAAAATGTTGCCTCTTCAGATTCAGAGATAAAATTTTCAATTAAGTGTAATCCAGCAGGTATTTGTGTAGCACAAACAATTTCATTGTTCGGTACTGAAATATAAAATAAGAAATAAGTTGTAGCTAATGGGAGGGAGAAAGAAAAAAATGTAGATACAATATAAAAAAATTATAATTTGAAGCATTCAAAGCAGCATCCAACAATAAATTATAAATTGAAATACCTATTTACTAAAAAGTTTCAAGAAATTGAAATTAATTACCATTTTCCACATAATTCATATAAATTGGTGTACATTTTATTCTTTCTCTTCCATTATGTGTTTCATAAAATAGCTTTGCACTATCTGTGCTATTAAAAACAACATAGCAATAAGACTCCCCTTTCTCAGCTATGAACTTGGTCAAGATGACACTTGAGGGTAAATTTTCTAACAATTTAATAACATCTGATTTTTCGAAACCAGTAGCCTGACCAACGTTGCACAGAACTATAAACTAAAACATTTAAAAATACATAAACCTCTACTGAAACATAAGTTTATTATACTTTAATCTTTGGGTTGAAGTTTCCATACACTAAGGATTAATGACTTAATTGTGAATAAATGTGATTTTGTAACTAAACCTATATTGTTATAGTTGTATAGCAAATAATAAAAATTTAGGGCACTCATCAAATAAAAAAAGTTTTAGATGACTAGACTACTAGACTTTAAACATTGTTAAATATCAACTATTTAGTAGTTATTCGGTACCATTGTTTATAAAGAACCCACAGGGCGCTAATTTCGCTCGTATTTGCTCAACTGTACAATATTTTACAAAGAACTTACAGGTCCAGGTACTTCAGAGCATAATATTCCTTTAGAAGTTTTTAAGCGAGCGGAAAATCGTTTTCTTTTTTTCTCTGCTTTCTTTTCTTCATCCATTTCGAAAATAAGACCTATCCTATATTTATTGTATAGGTATCTTAGAAATATATTTCAAAACAAAAAACAAGATGTAAACATAACCTCAAATAAAGTGACGTTAACATTTTTATTTTTTACTTGTGCACTATGGAGGGAGGAGGAGGACCATCTCAGTGTATTAAAATGTGTCCGTCGAAAGGCAGCAAATTAAGGTGGCGCTATAGTACACGACGCCTTTATCTATCTCATAGAGTATATTGCTACATATATAACTTTTCTGTACATATTTATTTATTTTTATTTTTTTCTTGATCGTTACACACGGCCAAGTTCCAACCCTAGTCCGGCTCACCAAACTTGGCCTCCCAGAATTTTTCTTTTTCTAATATTTAATTTTTATTTTCACATATTGTTTGTTCGTCGTTTATTCTTAATTGTTAGCCAAAAATAATTTTATGTTCGTAAATTGATTATTTATAAATAATTAATCAAATATGTAATCTCAATATCGCCCAATCAAACGAAATTTAAAATTTTTCTTGTTCGTAGTAGTCTTTAAATATTCATTAATGTTCGCTTATTTATAAAATACGTTTATTCTATCGTCAAAGTGCGTATTTTTTGTCATTTAGCTCAATTATTATTCCAATAAGTACTTGTGTAGCGCATGCGTTTCTATTTTCACGTGTACGATTGTAGTAAATATTTAACAATTTTCGAGAAATTATAAACTAAACAAATTTTATAAAAATAAATACATATTTTTTTATTTTTCGTCTGTGATACAAATGTCAAATTCTATATCATAAGAATTATATGGTAGTCTATGGTTGTGACTTGTGAATAATTGTAATTCTGTTCATTAAATTTACGGTACAATAAATTTAAATATTATAATGAATTAAAAGTAATATTTAAGGGAATGACTATAATTAAATCACATGTATAATGCTTATTTACCATGAGTATTCAAACAGTAAGTTGTTCATTTAATCATATTATCAATTACATATTATTCTAAATAATAAAATTAATTTTGTTTTTGAAAATTTTCAGGAGTTATCGAAGAACAAAAAAAGACATGTAATATGTATGGCTTCAGACTTCTTTTATCCCAATACAGGTGGTGTAGAAGAACACATTTACAATCTATCGCAATGTTTGATAAAACGCGGCCACAAAGTCGTTGTTATCACTCATTGTTACGGTGATCGTGTCGGTGTCCGGTACTTGACCGGTGGACTTAAAGTTTATTATTTGCCTATACGAGTTTTTTATTCACAGTGTGCTCTTCCAACTATGATATGTAATATAGCAATAATTAGATATGTATTAATACGGGAATGTATAGAAATAGTTCACGGTCATTCCGCCTTTAGTGTTTTAGCTCATGAAGTATCCATAATTGCCAAGTTAATGGGCTTAAAAACAGTATTTACAGACCATAGTTTGTTTGGTTTTGCTGATATGTCAGCAGTGTTAACAAATAAATATTTACAGATTTGTTTATGTGAATGTGACCATTGCATCTGTGTATCTCATACTGGTAAAGAGAACACAGTATTAAGAGCTAAAGTTAAATATAACAAAGTGTCTGTTATACCAAATGCCGTTGATGCTTATACTTTTACTCCTGACCCTAGCCAAAGAGATCCAAATGTAATAACTATTGTAGTAGTTTCAAGACTAGTTTATAGGAAAGGTGTAGATTTAACTGCAGCGGTGATAGCAGATATGTGCCCTAGGTACCCTAATATAAGGTTTATAATTGGGGGTGATGGCCCAAAAATGTGGTTACTACAAGAAGTTAGAGAACAGAAAGGATTTCAACATTGTGTTACATTGTTAGGAAGCCTTAAACATTCTGAAGTCAGAGATGTATTAGTGCAAGGGGATATATTTTTAAATACATCCTTAACAGAAGCTTATTGTATGGCTATTGTAGAAGCAGCATCATGTGGTTTGAAAGTGGTATCAACTAAAGTAGGTGGTATACCAGAAGTATTGCCAGAGCGTATGATTTATTTAACGGAGCCAAATGTGAGTAGTATTGTAGCTGGTCTTGAACTTGCCATGAAGGATTTAAAAGATGGCAATGTCCTTTGTCCATTTGAATGCAATAAAATGGTTAGAAAAATGTACAATTGGATGGATATTGCAAGACGCACTGAAATAGTATACAATAGAATATCATTAAATAAAAACAAACCTTTGGGGCGGCAGTTAAAAAGCTATTTAGATTGTGGAGTTTGGCCATTTTTATTGGTTATTAGTTTAATGTATTTATTGTTACAACTAGCTGAAAAAATATATAAACGAAAATATATTGATATTGCAAAAGATTTAAAATTATAATATTATTTTTAGTAAAATATTATTGTTAGTATTATTGATAAATAAGTTATTTACATGACAAAATTGTGTAATTGATAAAGCAAATAAGACATTGACTTATGTTATTAGGAAGTTTTAAGACTTGATTGGCTTATTGGTAAATTATAATAATAATAAGTTTCGTCTTAAATGAAGTTGTGTTCATATGAAATAGCTTATGCGATTTTTAATAATTTATTGTTGTTTTTTTATAACTCAATGATTTATTTATTCGACGAGATACATATAAATTTATTTTAATTTTATGTTCCTTTGCTTTAACTATTATATTATTATCTTTAAGAAAAAAGAAATGAAACTGTTATGAATAAAATTGTCGATCAAACTATATTTTACTCTCAGAGAATATTTGTTATCAGCAATAGTGTTCCACCCAAAGAAGAAAACCAAACAAAATAAATAATACAATATTTTAGTTCTAAAATACAATAAAATTAAATTGTTATTATAACTTTTAACCAACTGGATTGCTAATTTTATTGTTCTTTTTGGTTTGGTTTTTTATTTATTTGGACTTATATTATATCATTAACCCATTGGGAGTTTTGTTGTGTTTTTAATAAATCATGATAAGCTATTGAAAGATTACTTTATTGGCATATTTTCCATTGATACAAAAACCCATCAACGATAGTTCTATATAAAATTAAGAAATAAAACGAATTTTTTTGGAATGATGTTTATTTAATACTATGATCAAATAAAAAAGAGAGGCATTCCTCAATATTAAAGCCAATATTGTTGAACATTGTTAAATAAATTTATTAAATAACGTTTGAAAGGTGTCCTTTACACATAAACACAACATGCTCTATGTAAATAATAATTAGACATTGGATTATTAATTACTTTATATATCACAATATTTTGAAATTAGATAAATTAGTTTTAATATTGTAATTAGTCAAAGTTTCCTGAACAGTATTTTATTTAGGTATTATTTTAGTTTTATTTAGAGTAAAACTAATAAACCAATGTCTAACAACAACTTTCATAAATATAAATAATTACTAATTTTATAATAAAATGTGATTCAATAACACTGAGACTGATGTTTAGACAAATATTCAGGCTAATAACAATATAATTTTTTATCTTGATTTATATATTCAAGCTCTGTGGACAAAAGAAATAAATTATTATTTAAAAATGCTTACATACAATTCATTAAACATATAAAGTGACCTTTTCCATAATCTCAAGACTTATAATTTAAGATATTAGTTCAACAAATCCTTCCATAACTTTAAATATGGAAGGGGATGGAAGCATAACTTACCTCTTCTAATACAATTTTTATATGTTCCATTCGTAGAAATAGAGAGTTGTCTGAGCGTTTTTTTACCAACCGTCAGCTAAAAATAATAGCGACAGACAAAATAATGTGCAACTAGAGATCTTCTGTATTATTTGAAATATGATTAATGAAGATATAACCATTTTACATTACATTATATTATTTTTTTACATTCCATTTATAACCTCAAATTGGAATAAATTGTATTTCTCAGTCCATTCTCTACATATATGGTTCCATCCATACTAAAATATTTTAGCTCCAATCATGCTCAATATTAGTTTCAGTTTGAACATAATTTATGTTATCTTTTATTCTATCTTTTTTTCTTTTCTTTTTATTCTTTTATTAAAATAGATGCTATTACTACTATCATTAGCGACCATGAAACTTAAAATATATTTTATAATAATTAGCATATTATTGTAAGTGAGAAAAAAACAAACTCACACTTTAGTGGGTCGAGGGGGATAATTGGGACGTACACCAGCTTGTTTCAACTGCAAAACAATGGACCTAAGACGGGCCACGTCTCTGCCTCTTCGTGGACCAAAGTCGCACAATTCAGAAACTCGGGCCCATTCATTTCCATCCTCTGTGCTGCCTTCAGAACCCCTCGCTAGTGCTTTTTCAGCATTCCTGTTAATATGTGCCATATGGGTAATTTGTTTAGAACTTTAGGGATATAATTAATGATTTTGATTTGACAATTAAAATGAATATTATAAAAAAAATAGTGGTTTGTTACAACATAGTATTTTATTTTTCTTGATAAATTTTTAATGTTCTTGTATTTGTATTTTTACGTTTAATACATATATACTATATTTAATAGAATAAATTTATAAAAATAAATAATAGGCCAATGAAGATAATTTAATATACTAAATGTAACTGTGAAATGAAGTGAATCTTATTTCATATATTTCCCTGTTAAAAATGAGGACCCAAGAACAATGGCGGGATACAAACTCCAACACCAAACAACTGTTAGCACCGTTTCCATTACACATTTATACTCACTTAGCAGATTCCCTGCCAGCATCGAAAAGAAAGTAGAATATTAATTATTTTGGACATGTAAAGGATAAACAATTTGAATTCAATCAAAAAATTCACCCTTATGGATGTACATCATATTATGTCATGCAGTTTTTATGTAATGTTAAAAATATAAATTATTGTCTTTTATATCTTCCATACTATTGAAATTTGTATTGAAATTTGGTTAGTAATATATAAAACTAATTCATTTATCTTTACAGATAAATAAAATTGAAGTGTATGTTTGTAATGTCAAAATAACAGTTTTTTACTAAATAAATGTTTGCATATGTAAATTGTTATATACTATACATATAAGAAAAACAATTATTTTTTATGTCTGTTTGTTCTGGCTAATCTTGGAAATGGCTGGACTGATTTTGATAGGACTCTCACTGACATATAGCTGATGTAATAAGAAGTAATTTAGGCTACTTTTATTTTAGAAAAAGAATTAGGGTTCTGCTAAAAAACATTGAACATACCTAGTAAGTCTTTAGTAAGTAATAATATGTTCTCTTACTATATAAAGACAATAAATTTTAATTAATTGCTACATAAAATACTATATACACATATTACATCATACATTTTACATATATCAGATACAAAAAGACGTCATAAGTCTGCATTTGTATAATAAATTAATAAGACAGGTATAATTAGTTCATAATATTTCAAAAATACTTATATCTATAAATATTTAGTTAACTGGCAACAACCATGCTTTAGTGATATTGAACACAAAGGGCTTAAAAATTATAATAAAAAAGTATAGTGAGAAATGAGCTTACTAGTCAGCTACATAATATATTATTATTTAGCTAACTACCATTATTACTTCGGTAGATTCCTAGAAATATTGTAAATGCAAAAGTTTGTGAGGATGTATACATGAATATAATGTTTGTTACTCTTTCACGCAAAAACTACTGAATGTAATTTAATGAAACTTTACAATAATATAGCTCATACATCAGAATAACACTTTGGCTTCTTTTTATCCTAGAAAAATTTACGGTTTTGTGGGATAGGTTTGTTTGTTTTATAAGAATAGTAATTATTTTACCTATTAGCTGCTTTAGTCTTTGCAATTTGTTCTTCATGAGTCTTGTACCAATCTTCTAGTTCTTTTTTGGCTACTTTTAACATTTCCTGTTTTTTCTCCTCTTCTTCGGCATCTATAATAAGTTTTTATTCATCATAGAAGTAAGTAAAATCATGTACCAATTAAAGTAATTGAATAATTTCCAGTAAATCCATACTAATATTATAAATGTGAAAGTGTGTTTGTGTGTCCTTCTTTCACATCAAAATAGAGTGACAGATTGGCCCGATTTTTTGTTGTAGTTGGAAAGACTGGAGAGTGACATAGGCTACTTTTTATGAGAGATTATGTGTATTCCCATGGGAAAACACATAATATATATATATATATATATATATATATATATATATATATATATAAATATATGTATCTATAATAGTCTATTCCATGCTAACCATTAAAATGCATCTAGGGACTAATCCGAGCTAAGTGAGGGTGAGCCACTAGATTGTTTAAAAATCCCATATAAATGTGAACAAGCTATTTATCAACAGATTAAAAAGTGAATTATAATTCATTCCCACTAATAGATTGTACCTTTCTCTTCCAATCTCTTCTTTTGCTCCTCTCTCCAAAGCTTAATTTTCTCAGGCTCTTCTCTTTCCTGTCTGAACACAGAAACAACTGGGGCCGCGGGGGCAGCAGCAGGTACAGATATGTCATCATCTAACAAACCACCATTTGCCTCAAAAGCTGCTGCACTTGGAACCTCTGTAATGTTTATAAAATAAAAATAAAAAAATAAATATATTGGGACATTAACACACAGCACCATCTAGTTCCCTGGTAAGTTACGAGACTTGTGTTATGGATACCAGATAGTTGATATACTACACATATATAACTTTAAATACATACATATTTTAAATATAAACACCCATGACTGGAGTACAAACATTCGTGCTCATCACACAAATGAATGCCCCCAGCGGGACTCGAACCCGCGACCGCTGGCACAGCAAGTAGGGTCACTACAAACTGAGCCAAACGTGTCGTCGCATATATCGTGTATAAGCAATTTCATGATGCTGATGATGATGTAATAAATAATATACATTCGTACGATAAATTTTTAACATTAGCAAATTTAACTCCAGACATTAAAACAATAATTATCCAATATATTGTAAATATTTTAATTTCATTACATAACTTAGAATGCTATGAAAAATAATTAAAATTAATAAGATATATCAAATAATTAATTACCAACGAAATCGTCAAGTCCATTGGAAGCCGATGAAACAGCAACGGGGGGCGGAGCACTCGTTTCTAATTCGTCTTCAAGACCTGCCAGCTGATTTTGTTCACGCGCTAAGAATTCTGCTGCAGGGTCCACTTCAGGCTGCACGAAACTATCGCCGAAGTCGTCCATTTTCTAAATAATTATTATATTTAATGTTCTAACAAAAATGAATAAAGCTGACAAACGTTGACGTCGAATAAATAAACCAAAGACAATTTTAAACAAGAGAAGAGTTAGTCATTGCAATGACATGAAAAATCAAAATAGTCAATAGTTATTTTTGCTGTGGCAATATTAGTATAATGTCATAAAAATTAGAAATACTTACACTACTTACTACTTGACAATATCCCTACAAAATTCTTAAAACGCTCAAAAGAGTTAATAGTCCCTATTCTCACTTATTTAGGAAATCTATGCTTTACGAAAGGTGTGTTCCCTTCGCTGATGAAGCAATCAATTATTACTCCTGTATATAAGAATGGGGATAGAACTCAAATCAATAATTACAGGCCAATTTCAGTCTTAACGGGTATCTCTAAAATCATTGAAAAACTAATTAATAACAGAATAATTCAATACCTAAATAAATTTAATATTTTGTCAGCATCGCAATATGGTTTTAGACAAGGAAAATGTACGCAAGATGCCATTCTAGATTTAACCTCGCGTATTGTCGATCATCTTGATAATAAAAATAAATGTCTGACTGTCTTTCTGGACCTAAAAAAGGCATTCGACACTGTATCTATCCCCATCCTCATACAAAAATTAGAAAATATTGGTATTAGAGAAAATCAGCTTAACCTAATGAAGGATTATCTAAATAATCGGAATCAGCGAGTGAAAATAGGAGACTATACAAGCAATGACCTCAAAATGACCTTCGGTGTTCCACAAGGTAGTGTCTTAGGACCTACCTTGTTTTTAATATATAAATGACCTATGTAACTTAGAAATAGAAAATGGGCATATTTATTCATATGCAGATGACACTGCTATAGTTTTTCATGGCAAAACATGGGAAGAAGTTCATAGTACTGCAGAAATAGGCTTAAGAAAAATATCTAGTTGGCTTAAATCTAACGTTCTTACACTAAACACACATAAATCAAATTATATATGTTTCTCAATAAATAAAAAAACTCAGCCTACATCATCAAAATTACAAATACACCACTGTAAGGATCAGAGTGTAAATTGCATGTGTCCTAGCATTGATAAAATAGATTCAATCAAATACTTAGGCATAGTTATTGATCAAAGATTATCTTGGCACTCCCATCTGGAACTACTATCAAGAAGAATTAGAAAACTTATTTGAATTTTTAAAACCTTAAGATATGTTGCAACGAATAAAATTCTAAACCAAGTCTATACAGCTCTTGCTGAATCAATTTTGACATACTGCATCCCAGTATGGGGAGGAGCATCAAAAATTAAATTCCTAGAATTAGAACGTAGTCAACGGGCCTTACTAAAAGTTATGTTCTGTAAACCATATCGTTTCCCTACAAAAGAGCTATACTCCATTAACAACTTACTAAGTGTGAGAAAGATATACATATTACAATTAATACTACAGAGGCATAAAACAGTAACTATAGATATAAACACAAAGACTAAAAGACGAGTTAACATTAGAGTAGAAACAGGTATTGTAAAAACTAAATTTGCTAGTCATCAGTTTGCTAAAAAATCAGCTTCTATATACAAAAAGGTGAATGGTATGATAAAAATATATTTACTAAATAATTATGAACTAAAAAAGTCCCTAACTGCCTGGCTTGCAAAATTAAATTATGAAGAAGCAGAAGCTTTATTCGATGAAATTACCTAAACATCCACTCCAACATTTTATTTACACAAGTACATGCATGCGCGCGCTCACACACACACACACACACACACACACACACACACACACACACACACACACACACACACACACACACACACACACACACACACACACACACACATACAGACACACAATTTTTTTCTATTATGATTATTTTATTTTTATTTCTCTTTCTTTCTATTATTTATAAGTTGTTGGTTAATATAAAAAACACTATTGAGTTGTATAATTTTAAGAAATTTTCTACGGAAGAGCGGGACATCCTGGCACAGGTATCTGTTTACTTAAAAGGATGTCCCAATAACACCTACCCTACCCCAGCCTGCAAATTTATGATATTCGCAATGAAAAAAATACTAATCGATAGATTTTTAATAGCTCAATTCAACTACGTAGCCCTTCCAAATTGCTCACCATTAATTATAAAATTAAAAATCAATAAAGTCCTTGAAAAAAAATTCATTTATCCGTATATTCAAATGTCTATATCTTTTGATATATACAATATTTTAAATTACTCAAAGTTCTAAAATACTGCTCAAGTTGCATTTGTAATTGCTCAAGTAGAGTTCTCACCAGCTCTACTTTCCTTAATTATTAAATAAATATAAATAGTTTGAATAAATTTAACGTAACGGAATCACGTAATGTGAACAATTCATAAATTCAATAAATTTAAAGAAATCCACCGAGAAACAGAATTAAGACGTTGAATTGGAACGATTGTCCAAGCCCGCCGAGGCCAACCGACAATGCGCGGTGCGCATGCGCACGCTCACTTAACCTACGTTACATTTATTACAACTATACTTTTAATTATTTAATAATCAGCGAAAGTGGAGCTGGTAAAAACTCTACTTGAGCAATTACAAATGCAACTTGAGCAGTGTTTTAGAACTTTGAGCAATTTGAAATATTGTATACATCAAAAGATATAGGAGTTTGAATATACAGATAAATTAATTTTTTTTCAAAGACTTTATTGATTTTTAATTAAATAATTAAAGGTGAGCAATTTGAAAGGGCTACGTAGTTAAATTGAGCTATTGAAAATCTATCGATTAGTATTTTTTTCATTGCAAATATCATAAATTTGCAGGCTGGGGTAGGGTAGGTCCCAATAACGGACTTAATGTATTTAATAAAAAACTTACGCTCTATTTTATCTGTGGAAAATATGTCAAAATAAATATAACCTAAATTTTTCTTTTGCTATTTAAAAATACTAGATAAAATGAATATTTGCTTAAGAACTAAGTTCATTCGATCCAGCATCGTAAATAGTTTGTGTCGTTTATCTACAGCCGCTCCTGAATTAGAACAAAATGATCAAGTTCTAATAGATGACACAGAAGATGTTCAGGCAAGAGAAGCTGAGATTGAGAAGAAAAGAAACAAGTCAAGACTTTCTGAAAACCATTACAACGTCATTCACGATAAGCGACCATATGTCGAGCCTAAGTGTTTGGTTCATCTCACTGTGAAATATAACAGAAAGATGTATGGCAAATATGGGATAGCCAGTGGTGTTAATCCTAGTATGTATTTTTGACTCTTTATGCAAGAGTAAACTTATGATTTTAAATTATTATTATCTTCAAATATATATGTTTTGATATCTATGCTAATATTATAAGGAGGCAGAGTTTGTTTGTTTGAACGCACTAATCTCAGGAACTACTAATCCAATTTGAAAAATTCTTTTTGAATTAGATAGCCCGTTTATTGAGGAAGGCTATAAGCTATTATCATGCTACTACCCACGGGAGTAGAGCAGTAATATAATATATAGTCTATCTATTCCATACTAACTGTTAAAACTTACTTAGGGTGAACCCAAGAGAAGCGAGAGTGAGCCACTAGTTATAATATATAAATTGATTGGACAATTAGGTCATAATTATGTATTCGGTTACAGGTATATGTTGGCCTACAAAACAGGAAATAGAAGAAAGAAAAGAATATGAAGCTATTGCCTTTCCGTACACAATCCCTGAGGTAATGGCTTCAGTAGCTCAAACAAGGAAGGAGGAAAAAATTAAAATACAACAGAGAGACGCAGAAATAGCAGCAAAGTTTGCAAAATTCGAACAATGGAAGAAGGAATTAAATGATAAAATTGCTAAAAAGGCTGCTGAAGCTGAAGCTGCCAAGGTAATTTTAAGTTGTAATTTGAATCAAAATAAATATTAAGGCTTGAATAATTTATGGCTTTTATGGTATTGGATATTCATGTGTTATATGTTATATAGATAAATTTTTATTTGTTATTTGTTTACAGCTAAAGAAAGAGCGTCTAGTTGAAGAAGTTAGAAGGCACTTTGGCTTTACCTTGGACCCAAGAGATGAACGCTTTAAAGAAGCATTAGCTAAGAGAGAAAAAGAACAAAGGAAATTAGAAAAACAAGCTAAAATGGAAGCTAAAGAAAAGATGATGATAGCTAAATTACAGCAAAAAAGTGTGGAAATCAATGAAAAGAGTTAAGAAATTAGATTTATATATAGAAAGTAGTACATATTAAATATAAATGGTATCTATAAGTTTTTTAATTTTAATTTTCTTCAATAGACAGAAATATATGTGATGTCATATATATGGCGCTTTTAAATTATTATAAATACCGTGAAATTATAATTTTCCTTGCGACACATATACTATTCATAAACTTAGTCTCTACTAAACAATAAAACTAGATAATAAACATGTTGCGTCATTAACATACAGAACCATCTAGTTCCATGGTAAGCTATGCATGGTAGCACAAGCCATGGCTTGTGCTATGGATAGTTAGTCAGATAGTTGATATACTACACAGGAACAACAGTAGTGACCCTACTTCTTATGCATGCGATCGCGGGTACGAGTTCCGCTGACGGCATTCATTTGTGTGATGAGCACGAATATTTGTACTGGTCATGGGAGTATATATATATATATAACTCGAACCCGCGATCGCTGGCACAACAAGGGTTCCTGTTCACTACTGATCTAAACTATTATTTACACAATGCAATAAAATAGCACAGATATAATAAAAAAATCTTTAATCTTCACAAATAAAAGTATATAAAAGCTTTAGGAATCTTCATCAGAAGAAGAATATAACGCATCTCGTGGGTTAATTCGTGCGTGCACACTCTCGACGAAGACGCGAGGCGATTTCGGAGAATAAACGAGAGTGTCGGACGAATCGCTCACAACACTACTGCAAGGGCTGTTGTGTTCTCGTATAGCCTAATTAAAATAAAATATTAATAATTGATTACGTACATAATAATTTATTTAACGACAATTTTACGTTTTTATGAATCTACAGAACTGTATAAAAATAGCAAAGTTGTTGACACTTTATATATAATTAAGTATATTTGTATTTTTTTATTGTAAATTAAATATATTAGATTATAAACATCGATCAAAAAAGTACTAGATACACAATCCCATGCAAAAGTTCTCTTAAAACTATCACCAATTGTGTTTAGGTAATTATTCTAGTTGAAATAAATATACAACAATGTAACTTGAACCTTAAACGCAATGATTAAAGTTGTTTTCACAAAAAATAAATAAATGAAAATCGCACTCAAATGTTCAAATGAGCGCTCATTCGGTGAGGACGTTTTTTGTCGCTAATTGTGTATCTAGTACTTTTTTGATCGACGATCATAAATCATATTAGATGCAATATTATCAATCAGTATACCTCCAAGAATTTAATCCAGCGACTTCTAAATAAGCGGTCAGTGTGATACCCAACTTTGTGCGAAGACAACTGCACGTTATTGGGACCGATAGTTCCTATAAAATAATTAAATTATATTCTCACTTTTTTGTTTTCCTTCTGGGCTGTTATAATATCTTCTAGAATGCTCTGTTCGTCACCATGAGCATTTCTCGAATCTCCCATTTGCCTTTCAAACATCTCGGGTTTCTGCCAACAGAGAAATATTATATGTTTCTAGCGTACTTACTTGTAGTTTAAGTTCCTAATGTCTTGTATGATTCTTTAAAAGTTAAAACATTAATCTCCAAATCTCATTAGCATACTATTATTGATTCCTTCTTATTAATCATAATCTATAAAACCTTATTTAGAAAATGCTCCTATTAGGAGCCTCCTAAATTGAGGCATTACTGAAAATAACTGAATGGATTACAATTTCCGACTGTTAATATTAAGTTGTTAGTAGTTATCATAAACATCTTCAAACTTATAGCATAAATTACATGAACTACTAGCGACTCACCCTCGCTCCGCTCGGGTTCGTCCTTACGTTTTAACATTTAGTATAGATTTCTCAGAGATGAGATATTTTCCCGCAATCAAAAGTATCCTATATGTTGACCCGGATAACCAGCTATCATCTTATCAAAATCTATCCAGTAGTTTTCCCGTGATGCGGTGACAGACAGACAGACAAAAATTGTAAAAACTATAGATTCGACCTCTGTATTGATACTAAGGTCTATTTCAATAAGATTTTTCAAAAAATATTTAATGTACAGATTCGGCTTAGCTTACAATTTTATTATATGTATAGATAAGTACATATTATAATCAAATTCTGAGTCGAATCTATACATAAAATATTTTTTTTGGAAAATCTTGTTAAAATATTCATTATTATCAATACAGAGACCGAATTTATAATTTTTAGAATTTTTATCTGTCTGTCTGTAGGTCTGGGAACGCTTCACGACAAAACGACTGGACAGATTTTGATGAAAGGCATTGGTAGTAGGTACTAAAAACTAATGGTAAAATCCACCAACTTACCATATTATTCTTTTCGTTGTTCTCTTTAGTCTTTTGTTGTTTATCGCCCAGCAAATGTGCTGATTTAGTCATTTTTTTGATTTTAACATTCTCTAGCAGTTTAATGTGGGTACTTTGCGCTTTCTTCGCAACGATATTCACTCGGAGTTCATTTTTATCTACCTCTTCTACATCTGGTTCTTCCATTGGTTCATCTACTTGTTTTTCTATTGGTTTTGATCGTCCCGTTAAGCATTCGCTAAGGAAATATATAAAATTACTTGCAAGAGCGCCTTACCTTCACTCTCCAGTCGGGTGTGTGTATTATTACTATTTTTGAGTTTTGACTGTATTCAGATTAGAAAAAAGTAATTATAGCGACGGATACTGCCATTTTCAATAATATCCGATAATACATAGTATTTTTTAGAACTTTGAGTGGCGAACCATTTTCTTTGCATATTTTATGAAGATTATAATCTATACTAATATTAAACTGTAAAGTTTGTGAGTTTGTGACGTTTTGAATTTGTAAGTTTGTGAGTTTGTGATGTTGTACTCTCTGGATCTACTGAATTGATTTAGATGAAATCTGGTAAGAATACAGTTTGAGACCCTGGGAAGTTTTTATCCCGGAAATCATCCCTAAAGGGGGTGAAAATGGGGATGTTTTATAAACTTTTCTAACGTGCAAAAAACCGAAAGACAACAAGTCGTAACGTCGGAGATGATTCTCATGATTAAATATAGAAACTAATACTTTTCTAACCCATGACACTGGTTGTTTTTAATGAAAGCGTATATATCTTTGAATGCTTGTTGTATATACGACAGAGTGTTCTGGTCTATCGGCACCGAGCTGGTCGAGCCGGAACTACTGGACACGTCGCCCGAACGAGAGCTCACTTGGAGCGATTGTTCTGAACCTGCACAATATATTTAAACGGATAAAATATAAAAAAAAGTTGAGAATTGTGATAGGTTTAGCATAGAGAAATATTTTTTTTGTGTCCTATAGATATTTGTATAAGTGACACGTCCATAAAAAACTTATTTTGCAGGTAACATCCCACAAAAACCAGTTAATGTACTTAATTGGAATAAAAGCACTAGTTTTCCACTTAATTATAGGTACTATCTTTAGGCCTTTCCTACAATTAACTCTCTATGAAAATCATGTTGATCTTTTGCTCGTCGAAGAAGAACCAATCAGTATTCGTTATATGTATATTGAATATTAAACTGTAAGGTCTTCGGTGCATATAACTCATGTTACCCGAGGAATTGGCATTGTTCTGCCACATCTGTATCTGTTGTTGCTTGAGAGACCTCATCTGCTGCACGAGTCGTTCATTGAGCTCCTCTAACTGCCGCCGGTGAGACGTCTCCTCTTGTAGCTGTTCTTCTAATACTTCGGCGTAATCTCTAAAAAAATATTATTTTGTTGATAATAAATGATAATTATCCAAAATTATAAGATTTTTTCGATCTACAGGATTCATAATTTTAGTTAAAAATATTTTGAATTAATATGTGTGGAGTAATTCAATGCGTCAACAAGGGATGCCACTAGGTTATATATTTAATCTTTTTTTACACTCTATTGAAAATGTTTGTCAACAGCATATTATGTAATATTTACGAGTATTAGTGAATATATCTTACTTTTCCTTTTTGATTCCATTCGTTTTGGCATTGTACTTATTAGGTGCATTCCTGACGTTCGAAGCGACTCTTTCTTTTACCACTACATTCCTGATAAATGTTAAAATAGAATATGAGATTGTGTTCACATCAAACTTATAGCAAATATAAAGTATGCTTTGCTCACTTGGAAGGAACATATTTTACTGATCTGCCATCACTGGAGTATCCACTGCCATTACCCAACCATGAATACTAAAAAAGAAGTATGTGATGAAAAATCACTAACAGACATTTTGCTTCATCTACACGTACTTACATCTATATGTTAAGTAGATCAAACTGTGACATCGTAATATGTGTGATTATGAAAATTCTGTGTTCAAGGAACGTTTAGGATGACCAAGGCGTTAGACGCAATATCAACATTTTTCTTTCTCGCATCATTTGGATATAAATGAGGTTTTAATTTCGTAGGTTCGAATTTAATACATTAGTTGGTTCTATTTCAAGTAGATGAGTAGCTAACCTTTACAGCTTGAGCTCTTCTACACTCTCATATAAATTCAAGATTATATTTAATAAGTGTGGCCAAAATTAAAGTAGTACCTGTCCACCAATACCCCTCTCATTTTCCCTTACAGCAGATCGTATTTTCGATAGAGCATCGTTTGATACTAGAGGGTTATGTCTCATGTCCAAAATAACTAGGGTTGTGTTCGATTGCATCATACGAAGCACTTCCGAGGCGCAGTCCTCAGTCAACCCACAGTTTTGAATATCAAGCGCTATTAAATTATAAATAATAATTATATTGAAATACATAGTTAACTATTTAAACATACCTATAACATATTATGATACTGTTATTAAAAATTTATTTATTGTATTAAATGAAAATCAAGACGGTTTTTAAAAAGAAGGAAGTTTAAGTAAGATCTATATAGGTTTTTTTAAATTAAATTATTATAAAAGGTACTATACGGTCACAGTCAACAACAAAAAAATATTTACATCGTTACTATATATTGTAAATGTGAAAGTAATTCTGTCTGTCTGTATACCTTTTCAAGATTAAACCCCTAAACAGATTTCTATGAAATTTAACAAGGGCATAGATTGCATTAGGAGGATAGATATAGGCTACCTTTCATCCCCAACCCGCTTACTTTACAAGCAAAGCTAAGGGTAAAAATAAACTAGTTCAATAGGGCTGTGTGTATTTGTTACCATTGTGTTGTTTAAATAAAGACTGTTTTTTTTTAAATATATAGTTTGACAACACGTTTGGCTCAGTTTATAGTGTATGTTGTATGTGTTTATACTTGCTGTGCCAGCGGTCGCGGGTTCGAGTCCCGTTGGGGGCATTCATGTGATGAGCACGAATGTTGGTACTCTAGTCATGGGTGTTTATATTTATAATATGCATGTATTTAAAGATATACATGTGTAGTGTATCAACTACATAGCTGGTATCCATAACACAGGCCTCGCAGCTTACCATGGAACTAGATGGTGCTGTGTGTTAATGTCCCAACGTATTTATTTATTTATTATTATTATTATGGCTCAGTACGCAACCGCAACCATGTCTGGTCATTCGAACTTACCTTTAATCCATAAATCGTCAGCCAACTCATGAAGCAGCTTCCTTACACCTAAATCACCTAATTGTGGATTGCCACATAAAGTGATCCTCCTCAATCCCGCCATAGTGTCCAAATCGGGCAAACGGTATCGGAGTGTGTGCACCCAATTTTCACTATACCGGTGTATCTTTTGATACTGGTATAAAATTATAGTTATTTGAATCAAATATAAGTACTTTGTTTTATGTTAAATATGATGTTATCTGTACATAAATATAATAAAATTTTAATTGAGTCTAATCTGTACATTAAATATTTTTTGGAAAATCTTATTGAAATAGTCATTATTAATTATTATTGATACAGAGGCCGACTGTGTAGTTTTTAAATTTTTTGTCTGTCTGTCTGTCTGTGACCGCATCACGAGTAAACCACAGGACAGATTTTGGTGAGGTATGATGATAGCTGGTTATCCGAGTCAGGATAATTTTTACTACGGGAAAAGATCTCATTCTTGAGAAATCTATACTAAACATTAAAACGTATCTAGGGGCGATCCGAGCGGAGCGAGGGTAAGCCGCTAGTACAATAATTAAAAATCAATTACAATTATAATACTTAAGCACAGATTTCTATATTAATTCATTATTTCTTGTACAACCAGATGCAGTTACACAGTAGGTACCTTTATTAAATCTGCTATATAGCCAGCTCCTAGTGGTGTTAGTTCACAGCCACTTAGGTCCATAGTCAGAATATTTGGTAGGCATCGAACAGCTTTACAAATTGCCAGACAACCTGCATCTCCGATCAAAGATCGAGGTAAATATAGATGTTGGAGTGAACTGTTTGTTAATAATGCCTGAAAACGTAAGGATTATTATTTGATTATTTGAAGAACGTGTACGAAAATAATAGGGAATACGCGTGTGATTTAAGCAAAGGTAAAATATTTTTTTTATAATCTTAATTGCTTTTGAATTAAGCCTGTATTGATATTTTTAATGTATCTTCTTTTTGATTAAGAAAATAATTATTTAAAAGTGCAAAATTAAGTGGCAAATTCGAAGTAGTTGAAACGCAACGCCATTGGTCAGACAGAATATGACGTCAGAGTATATCATATAACAGTGCGATTGGCGATTTTGTCGCTTACAAATCGAGTTGTCATTTCTCTGTGTATATATCATACTGTGACGTCACACAGAGCGCGCGAAATGGCGAGGGTTTAAAATATCGGTAACAGTATGATATTTAAAAAATATATATACTAAATTTTAGTAATATTAGCCTATATCCAACTTATAGCTTCTTCACTTTTTTTTTAGAACTTACCTCACATATAGGATTCAAATAGGGTATCTTTAGTGGTAATCCTTCAAGAAGCAACGACGTTAGCAACGTGGTATTGGAGAGTAGTTGTGATATCGCTTCCACTAAGTTACTCAGCATAAAATTTGTCAAAATAACTGCCCGCTTGTTCACGGTTTTAGCGAGACGCTCACAGTCAATATGTTCAAGAACTGGAGAGGGTTGAAAATATTTTACAAATACTATCTTGGCATAGTACTATTTTATTAAAAGTTCATAATATGTAATTCTAAAATTTATTCATATAGGGCATCATAGAATTGACTAGTAGGTATACTTATACAAAACTCATACCCGGATCAAGGACACCCAAACATTCTTAAAGGAGAAATGTCTAACTTTTTCTAGATTTCATATATTATTTCATTATATTTTTCGGGTTTAGTAAATGCATGGATGCTTGCTTATTGCATGTGCTGCATGGTTTTCTTAACAAACAAATATTTTTTTATTATGACTTTGCTTACCCGTTTTTACTTGTTGGCGACATTTTATAGAAACAGAATGCAAACTTAAATCGCAGCTTAAGGCATTCAGTATGGGAGGCCAGTCCGTATACTTAATCCTGTCCACGCAAAAATCTACGACTTTACCATTACCAGAAGGTATCACATTGTTTAACGGCGTTAAGTTTTGTAATTTGCAACATTTCAAATAACATTGGTGGAAGATGCGACTGCTCTTGACGTCACCTTTGCCGACCATTTTTAAAAAAGTAAATATTTCAAAAAAATCATCCGGTCACTTAGTAATGAAAAGTATTGGAATAATTATTGCGTTAAATACGTATGAAAGCTCAAAAATGCCAGCAGATATTGAAATTGGAACTATTATGACAATGACAAATGGCAGGCATTTTTGGACAAAGGATTGTAAGTATAAGTGTAGAACCTTTTTTGTTTATCATGACAAATATTTATCGGCTCGGTAGTTTTTGCGCCTAGTTCAATATTTATGAGTGTTTGTGTAACGGACTTGAGCAAAATTCTTTATGGAGATACCTTTGACCTGCATGTAAGCTCTAATTTTTCAAAGTATCTAAGCAAGCTAGCGAAGTCACTAGCAAAAGCTAGCGTAATATATATGTAGTTTTTGTTTCGAAAGCATTTTAAAGATGTAATAAAACAAACATTTCATTTTAAAAGTTTATTAAAATACACTTGTGACTTTCTTTACAATATAAAATGTCATTGTGGCAGTACTTTTGTAGGTGCATTCTACGGTTTTTAAATATGGACAAATTAAGTAACATTTGTTTTAATTTTTTTTATTAAAATGACAGAATACCTTTACAACATCAAATACAATATCCCAGAAAAATAAACGCCACAAAAATAAACGTAATATATTTACAAAACCCTTGTTAAATAATAACAAAATACTAGCAAAAATAACTCTTATAATATGTAAATAACTTGGTTATAGCGAGAGGGTAACAAAGTACAAAATATCTTGGATATTTCGTAATACATACAACTAGAACACTCGTCAGATATAATATGAATGCGACGAGATATTGTTAGGTAGGTATGTTTTTATCATAATATTTAAGCTTATTGAATAAAAATTATTAACTAATTTATATGCATTTAATTTTGATTTATAGTGTATATTATAGTACACTATAATATATAATATTTTTTTCTGGCAATAAAACAGTATCACACCAATGTCATAAATTAAATAAATTATTTTGCCATAGAACGTCTATTTTTGTCATATTTGTAAAATTATAAAAAATAAATGCATATAATTTAGGTGATAATAAATATATAAAATCGATATTGCAGTTATTTAACATCGAATAACAAAATCGAGTGACTGTATAACTATCAGTTATATCTTTTTTTGTAAAAAATATTTTTTAATCGCAAAAACGCGATATAATTGTAGTCACGCTTAAAAATGTATAAACGGTTACAAAATAGTTTTTATATAGAAATATTACAAAGTAATATCCATTCTTAGGCCTCAGGTACACCAGACACTTATACCATAATACATAAATAGAAGAAAACGAGTCATTTTCTTTCTTTTTATAATAATAGCTTCTCTCTTTCACAGCCTTTCAGAGCAATTTGCATCTTTCAAACCTAATGTAAGTTACAAAATTTCATTCATTTTGACATCAATTTTATTCAATACTCTCACCTTCGCAATTGAAAGTAATAAATATACAAGAATCATTCACATAATCATTTAATAGTGTTTCCATATTATTAATATTAATTTAATTTATCTTTCATACATTTAAAAGGAATAAAACGTCACATTTAAAAAAAGAAAACTTTCACTAAGAGCTTAAATAACAAAAAAACTAGTATTTTTTCCCTAACGCAATGAAATTATTTATATTTTAAGAAAATATTTTTTTGGCAATTTATTATTTTTATGTATATAAACTAAAATACCTCTTTAATAATATTTATCATAAATAACGTATTCACTGTATATCTTTATTCCCTTGCTACCGTTAAACCACACAAATTAAAATAAAAACATTCATTCTCATCATCTCATCAAGACTGGCAACGTCTTCAAATTCACTCAATCGTTCATTCATACCGAACGCCTTCTAATCATCATTCAAAACCAATCAAATGAAAACACCCATCTTCCATTCGTCTCATTCATTCAAATAATTATACATTTGTTAATGTCGATCACTAATGGTAATTGGTGAATGTTTTGACAAATATATTTTTGTACATTTATCAAAGCAATACAATTAAAGTAATATTTTGTTTAGCGGAACAAATATAAAAACTAGTTTAATTATTTTTAGTAGGTACATGTTACGTTTTTAATTAAAACTCGTTACAATAATAGTGAAATATTTCATCGAATGACTATACTCCACTAATCCGCATATGTAACGATGTAGTTCACGGGTTGTCGGTCCGACTCGGGCTGATCTCCTTCGCACGAATCGTTTGAAAACGACTGTCGTCTCGTCCACTCGCTCTCGGGGTCGGAAAAAAGATTGCGATCATCAAATTCGTCTTCTGTATTGTCTATATCCAAATCTGTAAATAATTTTGTTTTATTTTAGTTTAATTATTTGTTTAGTTTTTATTAGTTTTATTTGTGAGACAGGAGGCGGATAAAGGGACTCATGGCTACTAAAACCTTAGATCTTTGAGTTTGTACTCGTTTGAATTGTTTTATTGAGTGTACTATGATGAATGGCACATTATATTTGTAAAAAGCCAATTTTATAAAAGAAATATATACAAATTATTGTTATTACTTAAAGAAAGAGAAGGAGAGTATAATAATTAATACTATATTCTATTAAAAATTCAAATTGGTTTAAAGCAATAATTTAAATATCCTAGCGTTGGGTGCAATATAATACTTTCAGTTTATTTATGTACATATTATTTTTGTTATGTATTGTTTATTCGTTACAATGAGAAATCGAAAGTCGAAGGTGCCGAGTATTAATTATATCAAAAAGCATCAAACCTCTATCTCCCTTTCGCGAAAATTTTGTTGTATAATATACAATATATTAATATAATATTTTCAGTAAATTTTCGCACATTAAATTATCCTACAGATACATCGAGAAGTATATATTAACCATCATCAGGCATGAGCTCCCCGGACCAATCATTGTCGAACTCGAGCTGCTTGTTGATGTCGCGCTCCCGCGGCGACTGCACCGCGTCCGTGTCCGCATCCGTCACGTCAAATATCTCTGTCATTTTCATCTGTCAAGAAAAAAAACAAAATAATTATTAATCAAATATTGTAGTTGTATTCAGCCCTTTTTTTAATGTCTCACTGCTGGTTTCGGGCCTCTCTTCAATACGAAGGGGATCTGGCTATAGTCCACCACGCTGGACAAGTGCGGGTTGGCGAACTTCACATGTCTTTAGAAAACTTGCTAGGTTCTCTCAGATGCAGGTTTCCTCAAGATGTTTTCCTTCACCGTAAGGCAAGTGTTAATCATGTTGGAAATGATTCGCACTTGAAAATATCAGAGGTGCGAGATCCGGAATTTGAACCCGCTTCATTCGGTTTCCCAAGCGAGCGTGTTACCACTAGGCTACCACTGCCTATTAATCAAATAATGTTTTTTATCAATAAAAAACATTATTTAAAACGACAAAGGTTAATTTTACCCAATAATTTGTACTTATATTTGAAATCAACTAATTAATCGGCGGGATCGACTTTAATCGAAAAAATGGAATATTTCAGTGTTATTGTAAACAGCTTTTGCCAAAAAAATTTACACATCTGTTAATAACGTTAGTAGGTACAAAAAAAATTTAATTAGTCTTTATCTTTGTTCCGCTAAACAAAATAACTTTGATAAATGGACAAAAATATATTTGTTAAAACATTCACCAATTACCATTAATGATCGATATTAACAAATATATATTTTTCCTTTTATTACAAGAGAATCCCACGACTAAATTATGACCTAACTACATATACAATGGAGAAGATTCATGATGTTGTTAATATAATATTTAACGCAATGGAATTAAAATATAGATCAGAACTAATAAATCAGTGATTTTTTTTAAATCTATCGATAAATTACTGAGGAATTTATTTAAAGGTCGTGTCACGTCACGAAATAATTCTCACAAGCGCAACATTAAAGTTTTATCACTTTTTCATTATTATTTTTTTGAGATATTTTAATAATTCTTTCATATTTTAGTTATATTTTACTTATTTTTTTATAATTAATACATAAAAAATAAATGTAAACTCCAATATGTTTGTGTGCATAATATTTTGCTTCACAGCTCGAAAAAAAAACACTGTGACATTGGAATTTGCACGCCAAAAAACAAGTTTAAATGACATTTAGGCAAAACATTTTTTTTATCATTATTGCTCCGTGTTATTGTTTACTCCAGGCTACGTACAAAATCATACGTAAAAACGAAGTATGACACATCTCGTGTATTAATAAAATTGCTGCGCAGTTGTAAACACCTATAGCAATATCTATAAGATAGGTTGAAATTACATCATAGGAGTTACAAAATATACATTAATTTTAAAAGTTATACATATGTATATTTCAAGTTTCGTAGGTGAAAAAATAATATTTTCAATGTAAAGTTAATTACAAATATAATTGTTTTATCAATTGTTAATTATAATAGGTGTTCGCGACATTATTATGTTTATTTATCGTTTTAACATACATTAAAACGTTAATGTTACATATAAAATTACATGTACATACTGGACCTGAAAAGCTTAATGTTTAACATTTTATTTATCTATACTTAAAATAAAATTCTCATCTTATTAAAATGGTCATTATTTTCGATACAGAGGCCGAATCTATTATTCCTAAAGACTACTGCCGACCTCTAAAGGAAAGTAGAAGTAACAATTAAATATACTTCCATTGGGGCAATAACTAAACCATTTTTTAATGGGATAGGTAATTATGTGGGACTCACCGGCTGGGAAAGCCAGTACTACCCACTAAAACCAACAGAACCTCCCCAGTTTTAATGGGACATTACAGGATCGCTTACGCACTCAACCACAACGCCTGCCTGCTGAAGCAGACCACAACAACCAAAGAGTTACTCCCACGCAGCCCGCATGGTACACCGGTCACCGCCCACCGAAGTGGGCAACCTCTGGGGATATTAACTAAAACTACCATAACCTACTCCAAATAAACAAAGTAAAAAATAAGTTAACAAACTCCGGAGATAATTCGTTCCACGTCATAACAGAGACTACGAATGTGAATTAACTTAAAAATAACAGATATAAAAAAAACGTTGCAATGTATTGTAAAATAAGATAACCAATGAACTAAGGTCATTACGTCAAAAAAAATATCTTACGATTAAAAAACATTTACAAATTATAATACGATTGCATTGTTGCAATACATAAGGTGACTGGGATCTATAAATATATATTTTTTTTATTTAAATATTTTGTGTTTTTAAAATTAAAAAAATTGCTGAATATCAAAATAAATATTATATATTTATAATTTAGGTTTAATATTAATAGCATAAATATCTATTTAGCGATTAATAAAAACTAAAATAATTTTTAATTAATTATTATTAATACAAGTCAGGTACCAAAACAAATTTAAATTTTATTTGTAAATACAATTAATTATCTTCACAGAAATAAAATTCGCCTGTCTGTACAGCGCTTCATACTTTTAGAAAGTTTTCATTTCTTCCAATCAATACGAGGAGAGTGATCAGAAGTAACTAGTTTTAGCATTAAATATTTGTTACAAATGGTCGGCATATTTATGATAACCTCTAGGTTGGCGTGTGAAAAACACTTGATAAACGTCACTATAGGCACGGATTCAGTTTCGCTTATTGGTCAGAGATAAAAGGTTAAAACGTGGTGTACGCAAGTTTGTTATTTATTAATAGAGTATTTCATTTTTTATTTCTGTACTCGAATAGAAATAAAAATCTACTAGTAACTGATCCTTGCTTTGCTTGATGTCCTTTCCTAGACAAAAACAAATCGATCCCACGGAAATCGTACAGTTTTCCGGGATACAAACTTAATTAAACATATTTACTGTTCCAAACTATAATCTATCTCTGTGCCAAATTTCATTTAGATCCGTTCAGCCGTTCTGGCGTGATTGAGTAACAAACATCCATCTATCATCACAAACTTTCATATTTATAATATTAGTATGGATTTACATAATATTTGCATAATAATGGATTTACAATTTACATTGTACATCATGTTTTATTATATCATAATAACTTGAAAATTATTCATAATAATAGACATAAATAATATTATTATATATTTCTATATTAATTTATATAATTTGACTTTTTAATTACATAACGTAATTAACGTAGGTAACGGTATTTGAACCCGTTATTTCTTAAATTATCCCGTTACTATGGTAATTTTTGTTAAATTGTCAATTGCTTATTAACATTATGTTTTAAGTTCAAAGAACTTTTAAGTGATAAACAAAATATAGGTATACGAAAATCGTACATAAATAAAGATTTGCATATATAATTAATGACGTAGATTTATACCTTGCCGTATACGTAGATTTATACGTAAAAAGTGAGAGTAATAATGTTTAAATTTAAAGGTGTAAACAGCGTAATATTTTTTTGTGTTTATTTTATAGGTTCAATGATCGACCTATGAATATAAAGATGAATGAAATTATTTTAGATTCATTTTATCAGGCGACGTCTCCATAATTTATATTAAGCCTTTCGTTTTACTGCGGTGATGGGTGAAAACGTGATTTATTAAGATTTAAAATTTCAATGCACTTGCGTACAAAATCGTTGGTATATAAAACAAAAATTCCCAAACTTGCATGTGTGTATCAAAATGTCATAATATTTTCAAATTATTTATGTAAAATTATCTTTTCATAATCTTTTCTCTACGGTATAGGTAGCAATATTAATTGGCATTGTACATATGTTTTCATATAAAACCGAAACGTTTTTAACATAAAAATATTGTACTTTTAAAATAGATATCATCGTCTCCCTGCCCATTTCCCAATTACTCCAGGTCGGTGCAGTACATCTTCTGTACTGCTGATAGGATTTAGCAAAATTTTCACGACCGGCTGCCTGCCTGACATCAACCCTTCTTGGGAATGCTATTGTACCTATATCACGTACGTCTTATGACTTATAATATGTACGTACGATATTCATTTGTTTTAAAACATTTTTTTATAATATTATTCAAAGTTTTAATGTAATTTTTTGATATATTTTGAAATAAATTTTGGACACAAAATAAATTTTATTTTGACGTTGTAAATTTTTTTCTAAAAACCAAGAAATCTAAAAAATACTTGTAAAATAGACAAAACTTAATTATTACCTTGTTATCGCTATCTAAATAGTAGTAAGCCAAGAGAGCCTCATTATGCGTAGTCACGTTTAGAATATGTTCGAACGTGTCCGCATCAGCCGGAACATCGCCGCCGTTGCCGTATGTGATACGCATGTGGCTGGGACGTCTGCAAAAAAAAATGTGTGAATCTTTACTTCTCGAATATCAATCTCATTTATACTATTTAATGAAGTATACACAGAGAAAAATAACGTTTATCGTATCAATATTAATTATATTTAATTATCGGATAAAATACAATATAAACAAATTAAAAATTACATTACATTCTACGAGTATGTAGTCAGTTCATAAATTATTTGACGGATAACATTTGACGATTACAAATGTAAAGTAAGAATGATTAGTTTTGTATAGTGTTTACGAAATTGTTAGCGAAAATTAAAACGCAAAACACATTCTAACGATGCAGTCATGTGCACTGACATAAATGTTCATTTTATTAGAATAGTTTGTACTTTGTATTATGTCATATTTCAAGTCTTCTTTGTTCGACTTAAATTACTATTTAGGTAAACGCATGAAAACACGCAGTAATGAATAATGTACCTTAATAGATCGCACCTAATAATTGTTTATGATGCATGCGATACACGTTCGTTCGTTATTTTTTCTATGTACATACATATATATATAATCTAATTCGACTAACTTGTAAAATCTATTGCAATTATTAAACCGTATAAATATTTAAAGGAAATAAATATTTAAGAGCAAGAAAATAATTCTATTTCAATACTACTTCCTATACTTATACTCTCCCTATTGTGAAGTATGTAGTACCTAAATAGAGAGAGCATAATGGTTCCAGTTTGCAATTTATTTTTTTGTAATTTGGTGATTTAAATAAAAAGAGCAAAACATTCCAATTCTTTCGTTTAAATTATACTTAAATATTACAGAGAATGTTAACATTTGTGTTGTTCTTAAAATCTCAAACTTGCTCGTATAACCTCTTGATAATAGATAGCTGACGTCTTCGCTGGTGGCTATTTAACATGACACAATTATCGAGTGGAAGTGCGCAGCAGATAGCGCTATCATAACTTTCGTTGTTCAAATTGACATAAATATTGCATTTATTATATTTACTTAATTTTTGCAAATTATACTAACAATGAAATATTTTAAAACAAATAAAACTACAATACCAATTGTATTGCTAAGCGAGATTTTTAATTCAAGCGAACTTTTAGGTAAATGAATGATGATTAATTTTCTAATATAACGTTGTAATCTCAATTTAAGTAAAAAAAATAAACATTAATAAATTATGACTCTTCCAAGTTCACAGTCATTGTCGTATGTATTTTAGAATCAACGCTACTTTGACACGTTACAAGGTCAAAGGTATCAAAATGCTACATAATCTCACCTACTAACACAATTTATCACAAAAATTGCAAAAAAACATATGATATTTATAATTTTCGTGACCAGTTCACGTCGTGTATGGGGAACATAATTATTGCATAGTATTAGAAATGAAAAACAAATAGCTATGTAAAAAATACTAAGATTTTCACGAAGTGATCAGATAGTTTTAAAACATTTGAGTAAAACAAAAGAGTCATTCATTTTTTTAAGTAATAATAATAATAAAAAAATATTATTATTTTATAGAACTAAATTAGTTACAAAATGTTGTGTTCATATTTTATTGTAAGTTTAATATAAAACACTGATTACTGAAAATTTTTTTTGATATTCTATTTTTGTAATTGACAAAATAACGGAAAAAAACATAGAGCTTCACATAAAACAGTAATACCAAGCCTTTACAATAATAAGTATGACTAATTTTTGATTGATCATCAAGCCATCTGTATTAGAGACCTATGCCCCTTTGTTTGTGTTAATTGGCTCTTTTATGAAATGTGATATTATTGTATATTTTAGATATTAGAAATATATATAGATATTAGAAATGTTGATTTAAACTTTAAAGTAATCACAATGTATCTTATTTAGATTAGTAATAAATAATCTAAGGTATCTTATTCATAATAGATGTTATATGATGATGTATACATGGAAATAATAATGAGGTAAAACAGGACAATTCTCAAATTGTTTGTTCAATTTTGTGCCGAATTAATTTAACCATTTCGAAAGTAAATAGACTTGTTGAATGAGATAGTGTAAATTGTGTTTTATTTATGTCCTGAAAAATTATAGGAAGTAATAAATTATAATTACAAGATGTATAAAAATAGCTAAAGTATCATCTTAGTTTCACTATTATAATTAATAAATAAATAAATATGTTGGGACATTAAATCACAGCACCATCTAGTCCATGGTAAGCTACGAGGCTTGTGCTATGGATACCAGATATCAGACATATTATACAAAAATTACATTTAGCTGAAGTAAACATAAATATAAAATTTTGTAAATTTTAACAATGTTTTGTGTCTCGGAAACGAGAGATCTGTTTTTTGCTACTTCTAGAAACCGTATACAACACGGGAAAAAACAAAAAATTGATATAAGAATAAATAATGTTAGTAATTGAAATAATTGGAATAATAATAATAATTAAATTAAATTGTTCAATACAATCAAATCAAAATGAAATCTGGGAAATAGGGCAATTGGATAAGAGCGTAACTTATCGGCCACTCATTGTTTTTGTTACAAATTATCGTTAATTAGTTAAGAAACTTTTTAATCAATATCCTTTTTTTTTCGTGTAACGAACGAACGTGAAACGTGAAAGTGAATGAATATATTAACATTTTTTAATTTTAGTTTCTTTTTTTAAACAGGGTCATCATAAACCCATATTAATGTTATGCATTATCAACAATCGCGGTGTCAGATCAAAAATTTATTTATTTATAATTTTAAAATATCATATTAATTCTCTTTTAATGATCACTGCACTATCCTATTAAGGTATATAAATAAGAATTATTATAGTTTAGGAATAAGGTTGCGTAATATTATGACTACATTTGAAAAATCAGCTGTAAGAAATTAAATAAATACAATTATTAATTAAAAAGATAATTTAAGTGTTACACATTATAAAACTCAACAACAATAAAAAAATATATTATTATTTTTCAATTTAACCTTCGCTTATCAACAAGCTAAAAATGTTATCAGTCAGGGAAGAGAATACTTTTGTTTTAATTAATACATAAAAACATATTGATCAGTACTGGCTTACAATTAACTGTCTGTCAACAACTAATGAATCCCATAATCCCATAAATATTATAAATGCAGAAGTTTGGATGGATGTATGTTTGTTACTCAATCACGCCAGAGCAGCAAACGAATCTGGAGGAAATTTGGCATAGAGATAGATTATAGTCTGGAATAGCACATTGGTTATTTTTATCCCGGAAAACTATATATAATAAATATGCGGTTCCCGTGGAATATCCATATTACCTGTTAAAACGTACCTAGCCAGTATATAATATTCCTAGGCCGGTACATATGGTTACTTTGTGGCATTAGTCACCTAATGATTGTATAGGACGAAAATATAGTAAATATTTGAAAGCACAATTATAAATTCTGTATTTATCACCATGACACGTGAAATAAATACATATTTGACGACTTTCATTGCAGCAATAAATTAAATAACTATAGAGACAGGAATAAATTAAATCACATTATGAGATTGGCATAAAGAGTAAATTAATAATGTCCAAATTAATACCGAATTTATAAACGTTTTTAATAATGGTCACTTAAAGTTATTGACTTGGAATAAAATTATAATAAGTAGAAAATTACAATAATGCCTGCGATAAAGATTTATAATTGAATGTCAAATGTGTTACCATTTAAGATTTATCACGGATTACCACGATAGACTAATTCTGATTAGAAAACCAAAACTTATTTCCTTTGTTCTAATGACATAATTATACATTTTTAATAAAATACAATAAATAAAAAATAAAAATAATACTGTAATACCTTATAACCATTGTTTGTTTTCAAAGCCTAGAATACGTCTATAAAAGTATTTGTAGCATTGAGCATTTATTTTATAGAAATTAAGTTGAATTTTATTATAATTGTAAGTATGTTATGTACTAAATGTATATTGTGAACTACATAATTTTCAAAAATTCTTTAAGGTTCTTGTATATATATATAAATTACGTATTGAAAAAAAAAACGCAATTGATTGTAAAATCATTTGATTTTTATATAGAGTTATAAATATAGGTACATTTTTTATATCTGTGCTAAACTTTGATGCTTCATAAATTGTAGTTTTAAGCACTGCGTGACTGTTAACTACAGATAATCACATGTATGTGTATTTTTATAACCGCACACTGCGGTGTCAAAAGCAACGTACAGACGGTAAGAAAAGTATAGAGAAAGAAAGTTTTTCAAATCATGTATAAGAAATAAAAGATTGAAACTGACACGTTTTAAAACTATTAAATTTGAAACCAAGAAAATTGAATTAAAAGATATAAAATACGTAAAGATGTCACAAAAATATTGTTCAATATTACAATATTATATATTATTAATTTTTTTTATTTATCGGAAAGTTAAAACCGATAAACTAAATATAATTTATATTGATAAGATTACTCAGACGAAACTTGAACGTCATTTGAATTTTGATTTATTGTATACACACTTCATCATTCCGTCTCTTTCGAAAAAATCAGCTTATCAGAACAATGTTGCAATTAGTACTGATAAAGACTTTAACAAATGAAGGTCATAATTTGATTAGATTATGTAGATAATTAGATTTATGGATTATATATAAGAACAAAGATTAGAAACTATAAAATGATATTAAATTAAAATCAAAATTCTTATTAAATCCTTTGTTTTAATTTAATTTTAACTGTCAAATACTCTTTTTTTTGATCCAAATATTATAATATTTTATCACATTTGGATAATACGAAAAACCTCTAAAAGTAACGAAAATAATATTGTTAAAAAATAACGATAGAACGAATGACTAAGTAAAATATCGTTATACCGGGAATATTAATTTATTAGAAAATTTTAAATCAGAAAAAACAGTTTAAAGACTTACGCCTGTAATAATATATTGGGTAATTCTTATAATGATTGATAAATTTATTGCTCAATTTAAATAGCTCATATCGACACGTTGATTTCAACATATTTCATTGCCCCAATTCAGTATTTAAAAGTAGCTTAATGAATTCGAGTTTTGTTAAAAATGTCATTCGAATTTCACTTTAAACAACTCCGTATATGTAGATCTATAAAAATCATAAATATCTTACCTTCTATGAAGACGGTGGTGTTCGTCTTTGGAGTCCATTGTTAATTTATAGAAAGATTTTGCGACTTCTGGACTGTAGTGGCCAGAGTATAAGAAAGCGTGAAGGTGACGTACAAACTCCCAGCTTAATTTCCATAGAGACTTGCTCATCTTTGGTGTGCAGTTTACGAATCTAAGTAAGAAAGAAATTAACATTTTATTATCAAATAAAATATTTACAAAATTATTAAAGACAGTAGTATTGTTAAAAAGCTATTTTTGTCATTTAATGCTATATGAATTATTTGATTCTCAAATAACGCAAAAATAACAGTCCCGAAATGCTTACTAGTAACATGTACGTGAAGTTAAATTAATATATAATAATTTTAAATAAATTCTAATCGCAAGTGTGGCAAATAAATAAACATTACTTGATTTTTCCAACACCATATACAAGCAATATAATAAATAATGATATCAACATCTACATTTTCAACTTTAGAACACCAAAAATAGGTACCAAATCCAACGTTTTTCAGGTCTTACAAAGTCGTCGTACATTTCATACAAATTCTATAGATTCCTTACAATAGTTATTTTCAATTGTACAAAATTTACAACTGTCGAAAAATATTTCCTTTTAGAAATTATAGCATTAGAATAATGTACGAGCACGTGACATATAATATAATTAAAATTATAGAATTATGCGTTACTCTTCATGTCTATGAGTTTCTTTTACTTTATATTAAAGGTTTTTACATAGTTTACATATATTTATTAATGTTTATTTCTAAAAATCTTTTGAGAATCTTTAGAAATAATTTGTTAAATAAAACCGCACAAAACTTAAATGTGTTTACTATACATTTGAAACACGATACATACAAACAAAGCAGAAATATGCTGTTCATAGTTATGCTTATAAGCGTAGAACCGGTCGAGTTACGTCTATTTCCGATTTGCTAAGTATCCGTTTTCTTTATAAGCCACAACGTACTTCGAGAGAAAGTTTCGTGAAACTTTGACTAGATAGCAATCAACTTTTAACGACCTCTTTTATATAAATTATGTTAATCTATAGGTTTAGTATATTCTCAGATTTGCATGACGTTGTTAACAACTTGATTTAGATTTAACTTAGTATTAGAAAAATAATGTTTATTCCTTATTATTTTTCAATGGGCAAAATATGTATTTTTTAAATCAAGGCTCACATTCACATTGTTTAAGCCCGAACAAAACTTGGATTTATTTGGGTAGATACATTTATAACTAATTATATAGCCTTAGTTTCTAATAATAATTATCACATCTGATAACATTGTGGAATTGATGAGATTTAATCGTATTTTTTTCAAATAATAGGTATTTATTTTTCATGAGGGATAGGAATCTACTTTGTACACACTGATACATGAAAAGGATACGATGCCAATAAACAATGACAATAATTATCTTATTGAATATTTAAAAGTAATATTTATAATATAACATCATTATTTTATCAAAAGCGTCTGTAAATACTCTTTCTTAAAATTTAGAGGTCATATTATTTATGTATATAGTATACATATATCTACAAACTACCAGAATCAATAATTTTGATAATTGTATTGTTGTGAGAAATATATTTATTTTACGTGTAATTGAAATCAGGAAATCCTTTTGTGTATACGTAGGATATGTTATCGTTCGTGGTTAGGAATTTATATTAGTTTATTACGATAATACGCCTATGCTCGAGGTCACTCGGTCAGTTATCGCGTCGGAATTAAATGAAAAATATAATGTTTTCTATTGATCAACAAAGACACTTATAAGTAGTTTTTATTAAAATTAGCAATAGGTATAGTTTTTTCGCTTACACAAAAACGCAGTTCATCATGACATTCAAAATTACCATCTTCAGAATCATTAATCTCACAGTCAGGTTTTAATATAAAAAATGCTCATTTTACGGATACATAATAGTAAAGAGTTTACGTCTTTCCTATATCATGTCTGACTGAATATGTATTATTTTTCAAAAAATAACCTTAGTCTAATTCGAGTTTATAAAAATACCATCACCAAACGTAAACAAAAGGGAATAAGTTTCATTAGAACCAACCACCACAGGGTATAAAGTTACTAAGAACAGGCAACCAGCACCAGGTAACATATAAGCACTAACCTAGTCATTAAGTTGTTGTGACGGACACACCTCCTCCTACGAACGTGCACATTTCCCACCACGTTGTATTGCAACGAGTGCCTCTCTACCTTATCACCGAGATAACTAAAAAAGCGGTGAAATGGTTTATAAATTGCGTGTGGCCTAGGTATAGAGCAAAGCAAATATGTAGATCGGTACTTTGAGTAGTTACATAATTATTTTAAGTGGTTACATGGTTAAGGAATTAGAGGGCATGGTTTGCAATTTCTAATATTTTAGGTGGTTTAATCGACCTGCTGTAATGAGATTTACATATATTAAATGAGATTATTACTACACACTTTTTGATATAACAGTATAAAATAAATACTTTTTGAATTTGCAAGTTATCCATAGTTTCCATATCGCTAAATTAAACATATGTCGAAAGTATTAAATATTGTGTATAATTTATGTAACTATGATTTCTCTCGCAAAAAATATGTCGATAAACACATTATAATCAGTGCAAAGTACAACGGAAATTAGGAATTATTCTATATTGTTGTACAATGTACATGTCTGGCTTGCGTATCCTTTCATTCTGATAGATCATTTAAGTAGTGGACTTTAGGATCGTCTACACAAGTCAGGTTCACAAACTAATTTGACCCAAAAATATTGGGCCAAGCTATCATATCTCATATAACGCCTTTCGTAAATGTTAGACCATGACACAATTTTAAACTAAAACATTGGCATGATATAAAACTGTAATGAATATATAAAACGTTGATAATTCACGTAATTTGTTATTTGGGAAATATTGCGAAGTGGTTAGTTAATGATGGTACTCGCAGAGCATTAGTCTAAATATATAGCAACAATACTTTAGTAAAAATGCTAACTCTTAAGTAATCAATTTATAAATGTGTATTTTAACATACATATCATAATTTTAAGGTACATATATTCTTAATTTTAAACCAATGGAAACGGTATTTTTACACTTTGGTAATTGTATTCATACCCTTTACCCAAGGCAAATAATAAATAAGATTACTCAATATAAAGGTTTAGAAAGGTAAAGATGAATATTTTGTAACTATGTCCATTACTATGTAGTAGTTGTTAGAACATAATATGGTATCTGTGTTTCTAGTTGTAAGACAAAGCCAATAAATATTTACGTGAAATGTCAAAGATAAGTATTCATTATTATAAGAAGAAAGTTAATAATTTTATGTATATTACAAGTTAATATCTCATACTATAATAATAATAATTTACATTTGTAATGAAATGTTGTTTTTATAACTCGCCTATATTAATTTTCGCATTTATTGTACAAACAATGTACAATTACATTGTACATTACACACATTTATGATAAGAAATTCTAAAATGTAAACCAGCTGTGCATATATACAATCATAATGTATTCAAGGTCCCAATTATTACAATAATAATATTTGTGTATAATGTGCTGTGCAAATTAGGTAATACATATTGTATATATTATATTTATTATAATGTCTTAAAATATTACAATATGGCTGCAACTTTAAATAAAAAACGTAAACGACTATATAAACTGTACAGTATAAAAACTACAATTTAACCTTACATTTGTTGTCAAACGACATAAGAACTGTATCCATATCGCGTTTAAAAATGTTATATATATATATATATATATATATATATATATATATATATATTAGTGTGTTCGTCTAAAGATTAAAACAATAGAATAATTTCATCCTACTATCATTATTTTGTACCGAATTTTAAAGAAATATCTAAATTTCATAGTTCCTAAAATAACGGGATGATAATGAATGATTACCTAGATATCGTTACTTGCCTTATAAATCCTTTAATATACCAATAATCAATGGATCACGTGTCTTTTTTTATTTAATATACTATCTTTACGTAATATAAGTGAAAAAATCCACCTTCCATTATAAAAGCTACCAATAAAACCCGTTAAAATGAGATTCATGCAATAAATATCAACTTACTTTGAAATTGTAGCTTCTGAGTGGTAACTTACCTATAGTAAAGTAGTGTCAGCAAAAAAACACAAATATATTTTTTTATTTATATTATTGATGATTAACATTAACTATACTAAAATGGTTTATTATATTCCGAAACCGAAAAAAATATTGAAATAATTTATGATCTACTACACGACATTTAAAAAAAACATATATTTTAAAACCTATTTCAAAAGTACATATTTCTTACGACTCTCGGGGAATTTTTTTCAATCTCCTGGACAAGTGTATGGGTTTTGTCATAGACAGTGACACATCCTAACAATTAGTAAGTAAATACATATAACTTAATGATAAGTTTTCTGTCTAACATATTTCGTTCATAAATAAAAATTTGATTATAGTTAACTTTTAAATAAGTACTATATTTACATATATTCAGGATCTTGTACACGATATAATAAAAAATATCAGAGCAACGTGTCACCAAAGTCCGTTCAACCAATATGGTGTTTTGAAAATCAATAACAAAAAATTCCTTAAACAATAATAAATAGCTGAAAGCATAAATAGTAGCGTCAGCAAAAAAAATCATACATAAAAGTTTATTTTTTTAAATATCAACTTACTTGGTTATTGTAGCGTACATAATATCCACAGGCAGCGTGTACGGGAGCGCCATTAGCGACACACATTGCATCCCGCGCTGACTCATTACCCAGTTAACAATACCACTGTTTGCTGAATCGATTGCGTTTTGGAATACTGACATTACTGTATCCGGAAGGTCATCTACGAGCGCGTCCTGAAATTCATTTTATATTAAAATCGATAATACATTTTTAAAATGTAAGAAAAAAAAATCGGTATGAGAATTCAATAGAAATTAAACAAGAGATAAAAACTAATTTCAAAAAACTATTTATTACTGTTAAGTTTACCTCTTTATGCACTTTGCACGCCTCACAATCCGGATCAAATGGATTTATTGTGTCGTCAAGAACATCTTGCAAGTGGTATGTGGTCTGAACAGCTAGACATCTGATAAAAAATATTAAATTGAAATAGGTTTAAAAGAAACATTTTCTATGCTAACGGTACAAATTATGTGTGAGAAATTGGATATGTTACGAAAATTTTGTATGCATTTATGGATTGAGCTCATATTTTAATAAGAATACATACTATTTTTCATAATAATTTGAACAAAAGTACTCAATTATGTTAATTGTATGTATGTTACCCGATATGTATGTCAATTATAAAACAATTTTCATGTATTTTTTTTTAAACTCATATAAACAAAAAAAATCTAGTGGATACTTCCTTGTATCTATGCAGCAGTTAATTGAATGCTAGTGGCACTATGCTACCACTTTTCTACTTATTTTTTATTTATTTATTTACTTATTACCTAGCATAAAAAAAAATTAAAAGAAAAATATTGTCACACCCACCTAGTGCAAGAGATCATGTTATTTCTATTAAGGAATCGTAAAGCGTCGTCGAAGCCTTGTTTGCACATATTGCTCAGAACATCCGGTTTCGGAGGGAAGAGAATTCTTGCAAAACGGGTCATATTTTCTCTGGACAACTCGATACTGGTATTTGCTAAATTTATCTGATTGTGGGAATCATAAAAAATAATAATTAAAAGAGTAATTAAAAAAAATATATGGTGGATTACATAAAAACGCTTCGAAGTAGATTAAGAGATAAAAATGTATGTAAGATCATTCTGAATATTATCGTTATCGTGACAAAATAATCTACGCATTTCGCATGATCGAACGATGCAGTTTTATCAAATTACGCATTCATTTTATATCTTCAAGTGCTGAAGTGACATTAAAACGTAACTTCATAAAATCTAAACTTTCAGTATTATAAAGCTCAATCTAATTTGGGGGTTTCTTGCTTTTCTCGATATGTACTACTAAAATAGTAAGAAGTTTCAGTATAAATTGCTATTTCTTTAGCTTTTACCCAGAAACGATTGTCTTTATTTAATCAAAATTTGAACATATTGATGAGCCACTATGTTCTCTACGAACACACTGTTCCGTAAGTGTAGTATTAGGTACTATTAAAAATAAATTAAAAAACTACTGACGTCATAACCATCATACGACATTACGGAAATTGCAATATATTCGCTAAGTACTTATTTATCACAAGGTCATGTTTGCGGTTGGTTCAAGATTATCATCAGATCATTTCAATAAAGTACTTGCGTAATACTATTCCTATTTCCAAGCGTTAATGTTAGATAACGGCAAACAATTCTAACGATTACTGCACCCATTATAATGTAGGTACTAAGGCTGTTTTAAACTGAAACTAAGGAATATCTAATATTAAAGTAACAGTACAAATACAATAAACAGCCGTAGAGATTATCTTCTCAATTTGCTCTTTCTTAATGAAATTAGCATTTTAAAATTATTCTATTGCAATTATTTCCGATACAACGCCTCGACGCCGGCAAAATTTGAATCTAAAAAAAACTTACATGAAACAGCTGTGAACTCAAATCTCTCGGGCAGATATCACTTTCGCCACAAAAAGGACTGACAGTTATCGTATTTTCATCCAAAACAGGCAAATTATCACTAAATCCTCCATCCATATATCTTACACCGCGAAACCGAGGCGGTAAAACCCCGGAGAACACTGGGACGAAACATGATGCGAGTATAGCCTGGCAAAATTAATAATAAAAATTAAAAAACATATATTAAGTTATTTGTACTAAGATAATATTAACGGAATTTACAAAAATAACGAAAGTTATGCAGCATGTACATAATTCCGTTACAGAAATTGAAATTATTGTTAATTTATACAAGGATCATTTTGCAATATTATTTTTATTTTCAAATTAACATAATGATATAATCCAAAAGACATAACTTACTTGTAATAAATCTTCCCTAGTCGGAAATTCAGAAACAATCACATTTTTGCCATCATACACTCTCGTCAATGAGATGTGGAGTTTACCACTGACAATTTTATGTGCATTGTGGGGTATATACTTTTGCATTCCTTCAAGGAGCACATTTTGTATATTAAATGATGGACTGAAAGGCCCTAGGGCTCCTGCCCTAGCGTCACCCACTATTCGCAGTACATCAGTTGTGATTTCACCTAAAATTATGCAAAACATTGTACACTATTTATTAGTTATTGAATTAATTAAGAGAGCAATGGTATGCTCAGTTTTTTAATTCACTATAATGGTACTGATGGGATCAATAAGTTGTTGTTATATAATAATAGTTTAATTGTAAGTGTAGGTAATTTATAGACATAACAATAAGAAAATTGCAAGATTTAAAAAAATGAGTCAATATTTTATGTTTACAATGAAATCATATATGATTAATGTCCCATATGGATACTTAAATGTAATCCCAGCCCATTAATCCCATTTCTATTATAAATGTGAAAGTTTGGATGAATGGATGTTTGTCAAATATGCCAGAATGGCTGAACTAAACGGATCTGGATGAAATTTAGCAAAGATATAGATTATAGTCTGGATTAGCATATAGGTTACTTTTTATCCTGGAATAATGTATGGTTCCCAAGGGATATGTTTGTTATTGTTTTTCACTGAGTGAAGCGATAGTGAGTCGCTAGTGCTTATTTCTAAATATTTAACTGGTTTCTCTCTTGCAAGGTCTAAAACCCAATAAATATAACCTAATAAATATATGGCTATATATTATAAATTTTAATTATCATATCACTTCGAAATGTTTGCTAATATAAATGTATTGTTCAAAGCAAATGTAGTCAAATGATAAAATTTGTCAATGTTGACTTAGACCTATCATTTATCTCAATTGAGTTCACTTAATAATTTGAATGTAAAAATACATTTAATATAAATAGAAATATATTTATAATAAAGGCATAAAAATTCCTGCCATTTTTTTCTTATCTTGTAGTGCACAATCTACTTGTATATAATCTAGGATATATGAATAAAAGATATAAATCTTAGATATAGATTAACCATACATATTGAGTTAAATTTTGTGATGCTTAAGTAGAAATGTGTACATAGAAAAATGGCCACATTGCTTTATTTTACAGAATTTCTGCTATTATTAAAAGAAAAACACAAAAAAAAAATAGATATTTTCACTGAATCAACATTGAATCAACAAAAAATTTGTATTTTTGGAAATTTTCAATTATTTGTGGTTGTTAAACGAAAAACTGTATAAATAACATTTAAATATGTCTCCACCTATTTTTAGTATTTTAAATAGGTCTATGTTTTATTTATATATTTAGTTATTTAATATAAGATAGATCTACCTTACATAAAACTAACATATATTGTGATTAAAATAACCAGATAAATGGTAAGGGTTATAATTTTAAATTAATGAACAAAAAATCACATTTGGCTACTAGTGGATTATAATTAACACTGTATTATTCATACATTGACAGCATTACCAGATTCAGTATTTATTTATAGGTTTGCAATTTAAATCGTGAAATAGTTTTTAAAATTATATTATTTTCGATCTTTTTTATATAAGAAAATATTTTTTTATATTTTGAGAGACAAAAAACTAATAATAATTAAAACTAACAACTTTATATAATGATGAATGAGAATGTACTAAACTTACCTATAGGAAGATCGCATAATAAACAACAGGCGGAGAGAGCCCCAAAAGAGGCTCCCGAAATCTTCCCTATAAGTAAATGAGGAGCATACTTTTTAAGACACACGGCGACGCCAACATGGTAAATACCAAGAAATCCACAACCGGCAAAAGATAAGTTCATTATTATTTACACATCCAACGTAAAGTCAAAATTACACAAATATTTTCAGCACAATAAACTAGAAAATGAACTATTGTACACTGGTCACTGAACAAAAATAAATTCGATATTTTATATCGTATTAACAAATCACAGATATTTTTAATACGAAATTATCACGATCTACACTCAAATTTCACGGGCACGTCTAACGCGTAATGAGTTTAATTATAAATAAACAACAATTTGTGGCAAACCCGATGACAGCTGCTTTTGACATTGACGTCATCAGCATCACTCATCGATACGTTGTAGGATTGTCGCGTTCCAATACGGAAGATTTTTCCTATTTCTGCCGCCAGATATCGCTATCACTATTATCCTTTGTATATGGTATAGTATGGCATAATCGGGCTTGTTTCCGCAACTTGACGTTTGTGCGTTTATTTTGCGTGTGTGGGAAATCCTCTATAAATTGTAAAAGTCTATAGAGTGGGAGGATTTTTTTCATTTTATTTAAAATTTAATTAAAATGACAAATTGTGCAGTGCCAGGATACAAAGAAAATGGATATCATTTATTTCAAAAAGACAAAGGAAGAAATTAAAACAAAGTCACAGTCTTGATATTAAATATGTGGACTATGTGGACATCATTTTATAGAAAGTAATTTTAAAACTGTTAAATTGTCTTATGGTGCTTTTTTTTATTTACTTTTTTAATACTATTGGAACTTTTACTGATACCATAATATATAATCTTCCATAATTGTTTAAATTGCAGGTTTTAATTTATAACGTCGAAAGTTAAAGAAGATGCGATGTGTGCGTTTTCCCTTGGTCCAAGATTTTACCACATTATGCAGCTGCTAAGGGAGAAATACTACGAAATAAAAATCTGATAAATAAGTTTTTCCCACGAGAATATAAAAATTAATGGTAATGTTTTATTTTTCATTTTAAAGGTATTTACAGGGATATTCAAATTCAGGATATAAACAATAAATAGTTCACTCTCTGGAACTTCAGTATCATTATTACTGCAATCTAAAAATTATTGTGGATACAGATTCAAGGGAAAAAATGCGGCAATGCATTCTCCTTTATCTTTGCCGCCTTATGGTATTTCATATATTATTATGTATCTGTAAAAGTTCCAATAGTAGTAAAAAAGTAAAAAAAAACGTGTGTGTGTACTTATGTACGCACGTAAGCTATACTTTTTTTTTTTTTTTATTGTAAGATAGGCTTGCGCTTGACTACAATCAGCGCTGGGAAGCACTGATGAGGTCTAGGTTGAAGCGCGCTTGCCTAGAAAAATGCCTGTTCACTCTAGCCTTGAAGGTACTTGGATTGTAGGTGGCAGGAAACACGGATGCTGGAAGGGTGTTCCACTCCTTAGCAGTTCGATTCAGAAACGTAGAACTGAAGCGTTTCGTGCGAGTTGGTTGGATTTCTACCACATAAGGATGCCAGTGCTCACGATTTCTCGCAGTTCTGTGGTAAAACGGTGAAGGGGGCACAAGGTTGTGAAGTTCCTGCGCGCACTCCCCAAAGTATATCCGATAGAAGATCGATAGACAGGCGACAATGCGTCGATGCTGGAGACTAAGCATTTTCGTCTGCGTTAGTGTTTGATCACCTATGATACGGCGAGCTCGGCGATCTATCGAGTCCAATGCATCGAGTTGATACTTGGCAGAGCCATCCCAGAGGTGGCAGCAGTACTCCATAGCTGAGCGCACTTGAGCCTGATAGAGAGTCAGGCGCTGCTCAGGCGTGAAGTACCCCTTCACCTTGTTAATTTGTTAATATATTTAATTGTTAATACTTCTTTGGCGTAACAAAACAAAAAAGCTATTAGCTAAAGATTTCATTCAGTATGTCACAACTCTCTCACTCCGTGTGTAAAAGGAATGCAGCTAACTACATCATGTTGCTTTCAGCTAATTTCACTATGTCCCTTTTTGACTGTGTACGCACGCATCGTAAAAATTTACTCTCATATTTTTTTCCAAACGTACCAAATGTATAGTATAACTTCAAAAAATCCATCCAGGCTATATAGCTTAATAATATACAGAGGATTATAGTGATCGCGATATCTGACGGAAGAAAAAGATTTTGCCTTTTTCTTCTTCTTCATTGTAATCGAAATGTTTCTTTTTAGTCTGTTAACTATTATCTATCTCTCATTTTATTCTTATTGTCAATCTGTCAATACAGATGGGCCTGAATTGTATCTTTTTATTAGTCATCTATGGTTTTATTTGTCAATCAATTGTCACTTGTCAGCCATCATAGAGTACAAGCTACATACAATATATAAATCAGCCATGATCTATGGTGTCTCTCCTGTAAATGTTATTGTTTTTCTACACTCAATAAATTTCTTGTAAATTGTTAAAAATGACAAGACATGCAAGAAATTGTACAGCTGGTGCAGTTTATACTTACCATGAGAAGAAAAAGGACGCTGCGGCTTCTGGTTATGGTACCCAAAGTGAAAGAGTTGGTAAGGATTCTGTAAAAAACTTCGATTGTTGCAGTTTAACTCTACAACCGTGCAGAAACCCTGTTGTTACTAAAGAAGGCTACTTATTCGATAAAGAGGCTATTTTAGAATACATAATTACAAAAAAGAATGAATATACCCGAAAATTGAAACAATACGAGAAGCAATTAAAAAAAGAAGAGAACGAAAAGAAAGAGCTTGCTGCTGCTGAAAAAGAAGCAAACTTGATTAAATTTATGAGTCGAGAGAAAAACATTTCAAATACTAAATTATTAGACTCGCAGGCATCAAGTTCAGTCTCAAATCTTGCAAATGGAAAAGATAAACAATTACCAAGTTTTTGGGTACCATCACAACTACCAGATGCAAAAATCGCCAAAGTAGAGAAGCCAGATCCTACAGTGTATTGTCCAATAAGTGGCAGACCATTAAAAATGAAAGATTTAATTGAAGTGAAGTGGACCTTAGTAAATGATCCAGATGATAAAAAATCTTTAATTGCTAAAGAGAACAGATACATGTGTCCAGTAACACATGATATTTTAAGTAATGCAGTTCCATGTGCAATTATAAGGTTGATTAATCATTTATTTCTTTATTTTTGTTACTTTCCTAATAAAATACTTTATGTAAATATTTTTTTCTTTTGCAGGAAAAGTGGACATGTCATAACAATGGAATGTGTAGAAAAAATTATAAAAAAAGATTGGCTCCATCCTCTAACAGGAGATAAACTAGAAGAGAAAGATATCATACCCCTACAAAGAGGAGGCACAGGCTATGCACTTACTAACCAAAACCTAGAGGGCAAGAATGAGAGGCCTGTATTGCAAGCTTAAAATAAAAAACTTTAATTTTAATGTAAATATAAAAAATAAAAATATTAAAAAATGTTTTATTACAAGTTACAACAAATAAAATTGTTCATACTCTTCTATAGTTCTAAATAGGAAAATATTTGTTTCTGCTAGTGACTAGACTTCATCCCTAGTTACGTTTTAACATTTACTATAGATTTCTTAGAGATGAGATATTTTTCTGCAGCAAAGCGTATCCTTATGTTAACCCAGATAACCAGCTGTCATCACACTAAATGTCATCAAAATCTGTCCAGTAGTTTTCTTGTGGTGCATTCCCAGAGACAAAAATTCTAAAAACTATAGATTCAGACTCTGTATCAATAATAGTGGCTATTTCAATAAGATTTTCCAAAAAAGTTTTAATGTATGGATTCAACATAGAATTTTATTATATGTATAGATTTGGATAATCCTAAAAATTTAATGTGTCCTAAAACATTTTAAAATAAAACAAATTAATGGATTCAGTGTATATATCTATAATAACAAAATATTAAAATATAATTATGTTAATCAAATTGTCTAAATAATTTCATTCGCTTAAGTATTAAATGAAAATAAATCTAACTGAAAGTCCACAGGGTTGTTCCTCGCCGAGTCTGTATAAAGATCATTGCCTAAAGACTCTAAAAAGCTTATAATTGATTGCCCTTGATTTGTATCGTTTTCTTCTAAATTGTCTTCTGGTAATATACCTTTGTCGCCATCTTTAACATGTAATAATGAGGGCTCAATTATATTTTCAGTCTTTAAGAAGTCATCTGTTTGATTAATTATAGAGGATTGTTCAAATTGTGATTGTTCTGGCCACACTTCTGAAGTTTTGTAACTGGTGTCTTCTAGCACCTTACTATTGCTTTCTTTTAAAACATCTGTACTTCGTAAGTTAAAATTAGAGTTTTGAATACTATTTGTGCTTTTATCTTGTTCATTTTGAGTTTTGTCTGTCATTTCAATATCTTGGGCTACTTTGTTTATAGGTCGGATAATCTCTACTTCATATTTGGACATTTTGGCTGGATTTATCTGGAACTTTCTAAATACTGTAGATGATGACTTGATTGGTGATGAACGGATATCAAAATGTGTACTTCTAAACTGTATATGAGATGGTTTGGCACTTTTTGGTGCTGTATCCATTTCATTTTGATTTTTATCACTTGTGTCTACATTGTCTATGGGTTTCTCTAAACTATTTTCAGTCTTGTCTGCATCACTTAATAAAGCAAATAAATCGTCAATTACATTATCACTCTCTGCTTCTGGAGTAATCTTCATTTTTTTTACATTATCATTTTGATTTTGTTCTAGTTTTTGCTTTTTACATTCGTTTTTTTTAATACTTTGTGTTTTTTCTTTGTTACATTTATTGTTATTTATCAATAAATATTCAGTGAGATCAGGTATACTAGTTTTAGTCTTATTTTTCTCTATAGTTTTTGGTTTGGTCACCTCAACTGGGATTGAGAGAGGTGGATTGTGGCTGCAGTGGCCATACTTGTCTTTTTCACAGTTCAGTGCGTCTAGATTTATATTGTACTTTCCTGGACTTATCCCTAATAATCTGTGAAACAAAATATATTTTAGTAACCAAAACTTTGAAGTTTTACATTTTAGTTAAAACTAAAAACCTACAATATTGTCAGTATTTTTGCTATAATATAGAACACACATTTTCTGAAAAATAAGTAAAACTATTTTATACTAGCGGGTCACTCTCGCTTCCCTCGGGTTCACCTCTAGGAAAATAAAAAAACAATCCTATCCTATGGGAACCATACATTTTTCCGGGATAAGCCTATATATATAGATTATCTATCTCTGTCCTAAATTTCATCCAGATCCGTTCAGCTGCTCTGGCGTGAAAGAGTAACAAACATTCATACATACAAACTTTCACTTTTATAATATTAATATGGATTTTCAACAAAAAAATATATAGACATGTTGCCTTACCTCCCTACATCTTCATTTATAATACTTGGAGTACCAGTGCCACTGTTTGAAAGCAAACATGAAACACTGGATTTTAATTTCACAATAAATTGTTCCAATTGCTCCAAAAACACATTATCTGAACCAGTTTTGATTATGTCGAGGAGACAGTGGAATAAATCAGTGTGCTTGTTTGATGCCACATTGTGATTTTCATAGCGACAGTGTAAGCGGTGTGGACTGCTGGATTTCTAAAAATTGGGATATATAAGTACGTAATTATAAAATGTGTTTTGACATATCGAGTATTCCTACTAATATAATAGACACAATTGTGCTGTCTCTTTTCGCACAGAAACTTCACTAATGATAGCCAATCAAAATTTTTTGTATATCAATTTGTTAATGTGTAAGTGAGAAGTGACATAGGTATAGTATAAAGTATGTAATAAGTTCCTGAAAGGCAAACATAATTAACGGTCAATATTCAAAAGAAATTCCTTCCAATCAGATAATGTCTTTTCTCTTCCATTTCTCTAACAAGGTATTCAATATTTATTTTTAGATTAATTTAAAGAATTTATGAAATTTACTGTTAATAATATCTATATTAATATTAATGTGACTCACAGAAGGACAATGAGCGCCTTCAACAGTTGTTCCTTGTTTTCTTCTTGGCTTATTTGGTGATTCATCTATGATACTTTTGGGTAACTTCACTATCCTACCGCTTCGTGTTACTTTTGTCTAAAACAATATTTCCCATTATAAAAATTTACCATTATTTCATAATATTAGTCAATAATTATTGTCCCAACATATTTATTTATATTTTATTTATCCTGAAAAAATGTACAGTTCCTGTGGGATAATTTGTCCACGACAAACCCGAAGCGAAGCAAGGGTGACTCGCTATTAATATACATTTGGTAATGGTACTTAAGCTTTATAGCAATATCATATAGAAACATAAAAATAATTATAATTCTAATACCTCTAGAATTTTTTGGTCTTCATGTTTCTCAGTATCTGGAATTTCAGGCTTTACAACAACTGTTTGGATATCCATTTTTTGTTGTTTACTTTTGTTTTTACCCACAACTGCTAAGTCTTTAGGAGATACCACTCTGTAAATGTTCAAGCGAATATATTAAAACTTTGATGTATGCAGGACAAATAAAGTAATATAAATATGTTGCGACATTAACACATAGCACCATCTTGTTCCATGGTAAGCTACAAGACTTGTGTTATGGATCCTAGATAATTGATACACTACACTTAATATAGAATTCTTGGAGTAAAATGTATCCTATATGTTGATCTGGTCAACCAGCTATCATCATACCGAATTTCATCAAAAGTTGTTCAGTGAATGTCTCATGATGTGTTCCCAGACAGACAGACAAACAAAAATTCTAGAAACTATCGATTCAGCCTCGATAATATGAATTTTATTATATGTATAAGTATATTTTATGATATATATAGTTTATTTTTAGTATTTACATTACTTACTTATAAATATATTTAGTGTTAGTGACAGGATCATATGCAGGCTCTGGTGACGACCCTTGAGGGTCACTAAATATCTTCAATGCATGATTGACTATTTTTATTTGGTCATTGCTCAGTTGATTAAGACTGAAAAATAATAGTTTTTTATTGCTGCTAAATATATTTAAATAGATTGTGTAAGACAAGACATGAATAGAAAGGGGTGAATGATGAGATGATGAATAATAGGGGAGAGTGGAAAAGGAAGACTTAATGTACAGATCCCAAGTAATTTAGGATATGGGCAGGGAGATAGTGATGATGCTGCTAAATATATTTAAAGTATTTTCAAACTACCCACATAATATATTTGAAAATGTATTCACTATAATATAATTATCTATTTTGTTACCTATGATATGTCTCTCCTAACTTGAGTAATTGTACTGATGTATGTTTAGATTTGCTTACAGTGCTGAAATTAATAAAATAAAATTGATAATTTTATATTCAATCTATTACATTCTGAAATATAAATAAAAGGAAATAATTTACTTTTCTTTTGGTTTAATCTTTGGCAATATTTTTCCATTTTGAGATCGTATAACATTAGGTAAATCTTTCAATTTAACAATTTTACTATTCACATCTAATTTAGGTACCGGATTTGGACTGCCTGCTATATTATTTGCAATGTACACAGGTTTCAATACAACATTGTTTACAGGTGTAATTATCGGTTTGTGGGCAGGTATAATACATTGTTCGTTTTTTATTTCTGATTTGGGTAAAAGGAAACTCGCAAGTTTCAAGTTATTTCCAACTACGTTACTTTCAGGTTTCTTCAAAATTCTCTTTATATTATTTTCTGTAACGTTTAGGTTAGTTTCCAGCTTGCCGCTATTTTCGTAAAATCTTTTCAAGCTTTCACTTATGGGTTTGTCCACGTTCAGATTGTTTGGTGTTATAACATATGACCTTGCCTAAAAATTATGATAATATTAATATTTTCCTCAAATCGTAAGAGATAATCATGACTAAGACAGTTAAATCTTACCTGGTTTACACTCGAGTTTTCAATGAAATAAACTGGTGTATATTGACACGAATTCATCCTAATATTATCACTAGATGCATCCATTATAATAAAAATTGGACTTTCTAAAAATATTAAATAAATGTACTACATAACAAAGAATATTTCATTATTAAACCAAATGGAAAATAGGTAATTATTTTTTGTTGTGCTTTCAGCAAGTTGTGACATAAAGAATATGACGTTCGATATATCGTTTAGTAATAAACTGTTTGCAATTTTCATTGCACGTAGGCAATGAATATTATTTAAGAAAAGTTATTTTCATATACAGTAATATACAAAAAATCTTTTTTTATAATTTTTAAATATTATAAATGTTTAAAGTCTCAATTTTACTTGAACTATTATTATAATTACATAATATTCTAATTTAACAATTTTTGAACTGTACATTTGTCTACGGTTTAATGATAACACATTCAGATATAAAATATAAAAATACTTTTAAATAGGGTATTTTTTTATTTAAATATGCTATTAATTCTATTATAATTGTTTCACAATATAATTTAATTATTATGAAACACATTAATAAATAATAATGACATTTACTATAATAAATTGTACTGGCAATAAAATTATTTGGTCTATGCATAGCCAACATAACCTTTTCTTTCTGAAAAGCCAAGCTCTGTCAAGCTAAGGTGATGATCAATAAAATTGTTAAAAAATCGTTATTTAAGATAATATAGCAATCTAAATTATGTTTAAAAATCATTAAATAAATTAGACTATTATGTTAACAGTGAATTTTGTTCATATTACTTCATTATTTTTGTTTTGTGATCATTTTGCTAAGGCCACGTGCGATGAGTCCGTTGATTATGGAGTATTCTGTTTGCAGGCACAAAGATGACGAACTCTAAAGGTTACCGTCGTGGTACAAGGGACTTGTTCGCCCGCAAGTTCCGCACACATGGAACCATTCCTCTTTCCACGTATATGAAAGTGTACAAAGTCGGCGACATCGTTGACATTAGGGTAAGTTTCTAAATGAGCATTGAGCATGCAATTATTTTAATTGTTCACTTTTTGAATATTCTATCAATATTTATGTTTTCAATTATAAAACTCCATTGAACATTTTTTCTTTCAGGGAAATGGTGCAGTCCAAAAGGGTATGCCACACAAAGTTTACCACGGCAAAACCGGCCGTGTATACAACGTAACTGCTCACGCTCTCGGAGTCATTGTCAACAAGAGAGTCCGAGGCAGAATCATCCCCAAGAGAATTAACATCCGCATTGAACACGTCAAGCACTCCAAATGCAGAGAGGATTTCCTTAAACGTGTAAAGGAAAACGAAAGGCTCCTGAAAGAAGCTAAGGAAGCTGGCAAAGTTGTAAACCTAAAGAGACAGCCACAGCCACCAAGGGCAGCCCATATTGTCAAGGGTGTTGAGAAGCCCGTCTTACTTGCACCCATCCCATATGAGTTTGTAGCCTAAGGTGAAATAAACTATTTTTAAGCATTTCTTGACTTTGCTTTGTAACCTGTGATGTATATAAAAATATTTTTTTAAGGGAAGTATTTTAGTACATTGCTAGCTTATTTTGACAATTTATAAATATTAATACTGTCTTAGTAGTAATTATTTATAAAATAGAATTCAGACTTATTAAACATCTGCATATTAGTTCCATGTTAAAAATATAGAATTAGCAAAGTAGATGAAGACTAATTATTTTTAAGGTCTATTTCAAACAAGATTTAAAAGTATTTGTGGAATTATAATATATGTAGTTCAAAACTAATAAATCAGTAAAAAGATTTTTGAAATAATATCAATCAAAATGACAGAAAAAATTAATTTCGGTTGTTCAGGTCATGTGACATCACAAAATTATTCTTACAAGCGCAACAAAGTTTCATAACTTTTTCATTTGTTGAGACATTGTAATAATTCTTTTATATTTTTCTTATAATTTTTATAATACAAAAATTTCAGAAATCATTTCAGAAAGTTTAAATATTTAGCATTTTTGCTTATTAATTAGTGTATAAATATATGAATGAAAATAACTCCTTACAACATGGAAGTATTAAATAAGAAGAACAAGATTTGATTTTAATAATTATAATAAAAGTACTTTGACTTGCTTAATTAAAAAAATACTTCAGTAAATCACTTATAGCTAGCAACAATAAAACAAAAAATCAGAGAAAGATCACAACTTTTAATTCCAAAATGAATATTTACAAATGAATGAGAATCTAAAAAATTTAAATAATTATCAGTGATGGAAATTAAATCTCAATAACATGCCGTTCAAACTTTAACAATGGCATATAACATCTGTCTCTTAAATATACTATAAATTATTATACTCAGTGAAACTTAACAACTAGCGTCTCTAGACTGATAAAATAGTATATATCCTGTTTCTGATGATTTTTGTATATCGGAGGTTAGGCCATAGAAGTCTTCGATTGCTGAGGCATCAATTTTCTGAAACAAAACATACAAATATTTGAATTTGAAATTATCATCAAGATTTTTTGGAATTAATATTAAAAAAGTCACAATTTCAAATTTAATAAATGAACTTTCATATAATTTTTCATCCCCTATTTAATTAATTCTTCTAGGGTATTATGATTAATAAAACTCAACTAACAAACAAACTCTGCCTCTTTATAATATTAGTATAGATAAATAGGCTTAACACAGAAAGAGCAACGCTAGATAGGTTCTTATGGCATTCTTTTCAGGAGACCTATGTCCATTAGTCTGATGGCTGAAATGACGATGATGATAAAGGTAAAAATATAGGCGGGCGAGGGCGGCATTTTTCAGTTTTCGCCCCGCCTAGAAAAAATTGAAGATCCGGGGCTGACCCTTGCAGCTTCACTCGAATGACTTTTTTAGCAGAACCTTAATTCTTTTTCTAAAATAAAAGTTGCCTAATTTACTCCTTATACCACCAGCTATCTGCCAGTGCAAGTTTCAACAGACAGACAAATCAAAAGACTATCACCTCTCTGTCAAAGTTGGTTCTGATAGGAAACTAGCTACATATAGACGATTATTTTAACTATAATTACATACATCGACCATATCATCGTCAAAGAGCAGCCAGAAGCCGTGGCTCTTCACAATGCTGATGTAGTGCCCTCGGTTGGGCCCGGAGCCGCAGTGTACCACCACCGCCACGAGGTCGTATAGACGATCTGGATTCACCGCGTCGTCGGACTGAAAATAATATATACTATATAATCTTCTATATGTATAAAATAACATACGTTTTAATATCTTGTATAGATTTCTCAGAGATGAGATAACAAGCTAACATCATACCAAATTTCATCAAAATCCCACCAGTAGTTTTTCCGTGATTTGGTCACAGACGGAAATTCTAAAAACTATAGATTCAGCCTCTGTATCCATAATAATGACTATTTCAATAAGATTTTCCAAAAAATATTTAATGTACAGATTGGACTCGGTTAGAATTTTGTTAATATAGATATACTAGCGACTCACACTCGCTACGCTCGGGTTCGTCCCTAGATTGCTTCCCAATACTAACTTTCATCCCTTTAAGGGATGATTTCCGAGATAAAAAGTATCGCACGTCTTTCCCAGGGTCTCAAACTATCTTCTTACTAAATTTTATCTAAATCGGTACAGTAGATACAGAGATTACTCCCCTACAACGTTACAAACTCACAAACTTTACCTCTTAAACTATATTTTATATAAACTATATGTTCATTTGTGTTAAATTGTGAGTCATCGTTGTTCACCCGCCTAGCCACGCCTCCCGACCAATTAGATTGCATAAAATTATAAAGTCATATTTCACAATTACCAGCTGAAGGCAGACTTTCTTAAGACAAAATTTGTGTTATTTGTGCGATATATACTTACAATAAATTTAAAAAATGGATAAAATTGGACTATTCGCAAGAATAAAAGTGGATCGATTATTCACAGTGGAGAAACACGAGTAATTTACAATGTTTTTAAGTACTATAAAGTCATTAATAAATATATATTAATGACTTTATTTTGATTTGAGATAAGTAAGTTGATTCATGATCTCAAATCAAAATAAAGTTATTATCATTATGTATTGGAATATAATGAAATATTGTTATATTAGATTTTTATTCCACTTTGAATACCTTTACCTGCCGTTGCACTTGATGACTCTTGTCTTTTATGTATTTCTTCAAACCTATCAAGCTTAGAGAGCGACGGTAAGTCGATAGTTATAGATATAAATAACAATATTGAGTAGTTTAATGAGGAGATTCGTCAGTAAGGCTGAGTAACGTTTTGCATGAGACATCAAAACATACTGGGTTAGAGTCCCGATGCTAATTTACAAAATTTTAAGTCACACAAAGTCCAGAGTTGGAAAGTATAAGTTTTACAACTATATAGAAATCTTTTATCATCTGGGAATTTTGATTTAAGCATTACATTCTCCAAAAAGGGGGCTACTGGATATCTCTGCTTGAACAGATCTAATTTAGATGTTTTTTTTTTATTTAAAAGGTAGTAACTTTAAGTTGATCTCATAAAAATTTTGTGATGAGGATCTTCGCTGGATAAGCAAAATAGCTCCTCAAAATGGAGTTTGCAAGGTCTACTGTAAGCAGAACCACTACTTTTACATAATCACAAGTAGAGCTAGCTAATAAAAAAATCTTACCGTATTAAACAACCTCAGCTCCAAAGGAAACACCACTCTATGCGATACTTTGATATGTCGGTTGTATTGCTCCATGTATTTAAATCTTTTCAGATGCAAAGCCAATATAAGCGGTAATTTTTTGACTCGCATACGTTTCTGAGCCTCTTGGTAGCTACTGCAGTTGTCACATTTGAATTTGTTGTCATTGCATAGAGTTTCTGTGTCACTGAAGCATTTTAGACAGTGTGTTATACTTGTGTTTTGGTCTACGTCCACCTGGAAGTTAATTTTTAGATTATTTTTTTTTAATAAATTTTAGCAAAGGTTTTTTAAGGAGTTTGCTTTAGTTTTAGTTAGATATACTATTTATATTAGTGGTGTTAATATTATTTTTTTTTATATTTGTGACTACTTTGGTCCATACTTATGTAAAGATCATGGCATGTAGTTAAAACTGAATTGAACATCAACTGCAGATTTAATTATTGACTTTAGCTAACATAAATTAGTTCTATGACTTATTGCAATAAAAACAGTCACATACCTGTAAATCAAAGAAATGTTCATCTTTACTACTAACAGTTTCACAGTTCAAACACCTAGTTTCACTAGTGAGTGTGCCCTGGAAAATCTCATGCACCCATGTAGGCTCGGTGTTCTGTGGTATGCTACCGTTGCATGTCACACCTTCTTTGTTATCTGTTTTCTGTAGTTTGAGCGTGCTTTGATTCCTTTCAGCTAAAATAATTATATTAAATAAATTATCATTTCCTGACGTAAATATTCATATATACCTCTTCATGGCTCTGTGTCTGTACATTAGCTAAATATACAAATTATTTTATTACTAGCGGTTAAGTCTACCTTCGCTCGGGTTCATTCCTAGGTACATTTTTACATTTAGTATGGAATAGACAGAGTATATATTATATGTATACATAAGAATGATAAGTTCTTGTGGATTATATAATATACATATACAACATATTTTCCTTTGGGAATGAGGTAATCTCCCGCGGGAAAAAGTAGCATATGACACTTCTCTAGCCCTCCAACTATCTCCACACAAAAAATCACCCCAATCCATCACTCTGTTTCGACGTGAAAGAAGGATAAACAAATAAACACACATTTATAATATTAAATATGGACCTCTGGATATTTGAACAAACTAAACTTGTGCCAAACAGTGTCCTGTGTAGCCAAAAAAATATATAGAATTAAACTGAAAACTATTCTACTACTGTAATTTCAAAATTACTGCTCAATATCATTCGTGTCTTCCTCACAATAGGTGACACTGGCAGAATGGATTGCGTCTGTTAACGCAACTATAAGCCAATAAAGAAAAAAAATTCGACTACTGTATCATTATCTATACAAGTCGGGAATCTGGTCTATTCTTTTATAAATTTTGCACAGAACACAAGATTAAAGAAAGTTAGCAAATGTAATTTTATAATATAATTATGCATTACTTACCTAATATAATTTCATTAATATGGTTAATAAGAAAATTAAGGAATTCATGGGCATCTTGTTGCATATAATTATCAAACTCCTCTGTAAGAACAAAAAATATTTCTTATTGATAATCATAGTTAATAGCAATATTTATTCTACAATTTTTATTTATAGTGCAATTTTGTATGCTAGTTTTGTTTACATTCTATGAGTAATAGTAAAATAAAGACTTTCTACTTGTCTCATGTTTTATCCCAACAGTTATGCTACAATATTGAGAATGTTTCTTTTTTAATTACGCATAAACAAACTTTAGTATACATTAAATTATTACAATCAAACCTTTTTCCTTTCTCAGTCTTGCAATAAACTTCTTAGGTGCAATAGATCCAACTTTTTTCTTTTGTGTAGCTATACTGTAAAATAAATCTGCAAGGCATGTAAGTAGTGTCTCCTTGGTTCTCTTATTCTTAGCCTTATATTCTAGAACTTTCTCTCTAAATGGTCTACAGAAGTATAAAGCTTGTAGGACAGAATTGCTGTAGCAGGTATTGCCAAACTGAAATATAAGTATACACATAGGTACAATTTATATTAATTATGTATGACTATTTCATTATAAAAATCAAGTATTATAATAAAATTTCAAAGTAGTCGTTTATAAATCGTATTAATTAAATTTAAAAAATTAATTGAATGCCGCATTGACAGTTAATTCATTAAAAAGGAACGTTTATCTTTTATAATGTAAAACTTACATTAACTAAACCAAAATAATGCTCATTCGGTGGAAACTGCTCTGACCCAATATCTCTCTCTAGTTGTGATATATTTGCGCCCTGCAAATAAATAAAATAACGTTAATTTATCTGACGATCTCATCACACGTCGGATTCAGATTACATGTTTATCTACAACTTCTCCTTTAGATACAACATGATATAAATTTAGGAACTTATAGATAGTATTTTAATTTACATATTCTTATCAATAAATTCGTTTAATATTAAGATATATTTTATTTTTTCTCACCATTCTCTGTTGGAAATTAAGGCCGAGATCCTGACATATTGACATTTGCAATCCTGTTTCGACAACTTTTAAACGGAACACGTTATTAAATTGTTATTAGCAAAGTAAATTTAATTTACACAATTTCTGCTAAGATTTCTAGTTGCATACTTATGATTTCGCGTTGCATATGCAAAAAAGCACAACAGTCAATCAACTCACGTCCATGACAATCAATCAATTCAATGACATTTCGATTAAGTTTACATTTTACAATACGCAGATAAATTAGTAATTTCAAAATCGATTTCTGTCTTTCACATAAAATCGTACTATAAATGTTAAATTAAATTACTGCTAAAAAAATAAAACAAAATTACTACTATGTACGTTTGTTATTTAAAACTATAATTAATTAATTTTTCTTCGATCAACAATAGTACTAGATATCGGGTCGGCGTAAAAAATCTGTCTCGATAAATTTATTCTTGAAACAAGTTTTTATCCATAATTTTTATTAAGAATTACTTCTTAAAATGTTAAAGGGCTAGCAGACGACTATACTGTCTCATACTTAGTTTTGTCTATAAAATCTAATACTTTTAAACGAGCAATTCTTGCATATTTATTTATGTATATACTTAGACCAAATAAAAAAGTTATTTGTTCTGAGTGTATATATATATATACCGGCAATCTCGGAAACTGCTCTAACGATTTCCTTGAAATTTGGCATGTGTGGGTTTTCGGGGGGTTTTTCAAATCGACCTAAAATAGTCTTATGTCTGGGAAAACGCGTGTTTTCGAGTTTTCATGCGGTTTTCTTTCGCATTATTCCATTCTCTGGTCGCTATATTTTTTAGTTTTGTTTATTTTTTTTACTTTTTTTTTGTATTTATTCATGTTTTAAGTTTTTTTTATCATAAAATACGATATAACATAAAAGAACTCCGAGCGAAGCTCGATCGCCAAGGTACTAGTTAAATAACATACGATGAGTAACATTTAGTGTTTTATTGTGTTTATTTTTATCAAATTATATTAAAAAGTGGCGACTCACGGCTCGCCAGTCACCCTCGGCCCGCTCGGGTTCATCTCTAGTGACGCTTTAACGTTTAGTATAGATTTCTAGAGTTAGAGATTACTCTGGAATTTGAGAAATAATCAGTTACTAAAAATGTATATCAATTCATATGTTAAGATGATAATTTTGATTATTATTATACGTAATCTCGTTAAAATCTATTTAACGTTCGAATAGTGATTGAATAACCAAGCAAAATAATAAATTATAGGCAGACAAATATTGAAAACAGAAAGACTAAATATGATTTCTGTTTTTGTTATGCAAGCTTGAGCTTCAGTTTGATTCAATGATCTCGTCACAATAAATTTAATTTAAATACGATTATTCTATCGATTTTGTGACAGTTCTTAGATAACGAAGCCGGATAAGTTATTCGTTTTATAATCTGTCCACTAGTGCAGTAATTTTTCATCTCCCGCTCGGCCGGTCTATTATCATCTAGATCCTTAATGAAACTGGGAATAGGGAACAAAACATTATTAAAAATCTGTGCATAGGATACGCATACGTGTACGTTGTGACGTGGCGTTATACAAATTGTGTATGGAACTGAAAGTTTCAGAATTCAGTTTTCCAAAAAGTTTGTAATAAAGCAAACAAGTAAGCAATTTAATTATATATTTTTTTCAACAGTAATTCTAACTTGAGCTATTAGTAGTATTGTTGTGCTCTAGTTTATATTTATTCACTTTATATTTGGGGAAGTTACTTTCCGGTATTCCATATAATATGAATAAAGCAGATTTATTTTTAAGGAGTTTTTTAAACTAAAGCTCTGGTTTGTAAATTTATTCATATACATATATTTCATAGTAACTTAATATATATTTTTATTTGCAGCAAAATGATTAAAACATTACTAATAGCATTGGCACTAACAGCAGTATTTGCTGGGATTCCAAATCCAGAGGAAACTAAAAGGCTAGTGGACCATTTCTCTGACGCTGAACATTATAAGAATGAGCATCACAATAAGCAGTTTGATCATGATGCATTCTTGGGTGAAGACCAGGCGAAGACATTTGATCAGCTACCCCCTGAAGAAAGCAAACGGAGATTAGGGTAAATAAATAATAGTGGAGATAAATTTAAAACATTCTTTTTAATAGAAAGAATTTAAGTGATGCATTTTAAATTATTAGTATTGCATATCTAAATGTTACCATTTGTTTAAACATTATTGAATTAATATTTACATTACTTTGTGAATATAGTAACAACCTAAATATTAATAAAATATACTTCAAATATTGTAACAGCATCTTAAATTGTTTAACTTCCTGTAAATTAATCTTTTGAGGTGAAGATTTCGCCTACACAAAATGTGGGTTAGCTATGCCACTTTGCTAACATTGAGGATATGTGCTCGGCTATTTATAGACTGAAGAATGAGTTTGTACCAAATATAAAGTAGTAAAGTTTTAGTAATACTTTCTCGCATTTATGCAAATATATTATATAATTAAAAATATAAATAATTTAAAAAAAATCTTTTTGATTTTTTTGTAGATTGTATTAATTAGTGTTGCTAATAAAGTTTTAGAAAAATTGTAATAATTGTAATAATAACAGCTAAAATTAAATATAAAACTATGTACTTAAAATTATAGAAAGTGTTTAAAATTAAAATTAACAAATATTGTAGGTAATTTGGGACCATTTTTGTATTTTTGAATTCAAGTTGTTATTTTGTAGGTAGGCTGTCTCTAACAACTATAATGCCTTTGAGATATCTAAAACCTTACACTCTCCCGTGATCATGATTTCTGTAAAGCAATCGGAAAGTCGGGAATCAAAAATCGAAATAAATCTGCGAAAAAATCTGAAAAGAGAGATTATTTAAAAAGTCTTAGGTTTTGATTAGTTTGATATTTTTCTAGATTTTCATTATGCTATAATATTGTTAATTTAATTTCTGGTAACTAACATTGGAGTGGTATTAAAAAAATTTGGGTCAATTTTAATTAATAGAGGAATCAAGAAGCATAGTCTGTGTGAGATAAAAATGTTTTTATAATGATTTAAGTGTAAAAAAGATTTTGTACAGCCATTAAAAATTAAAAGATGAAATATTCTTATCTAAGTTCACTGACCTCTTATCACAAATGATAAATTGTTTCTAGAATAATTGTTGACAAGATAGATGCAGACAAAGACGGGTTTATATCATTAGTGGAACTGAAGGATTGGATCCGCTACACTCAAAAGCGGTACATTGAGGAGGATGTGGAAAGACATTGGAAACAGCATAATCCCAACAATGAAGATCTTATCACTTGGGAGGTTAGTATTAAAGCTAGTTATTTTTATGTAGCATACATTTTGACGACACGTTTGGCTCAGTTTGTAGTGACCCTACTTGCTGTGCCAGCGGTCGCAGGTTCGAGTTCCACTGGGAGCATTCATTTTTGTGATGAGCACAAATGTTATTACTCCAGTCATGGGTGTTGTTTATATGTAAATATATTATAATATGTATGTATTTAAAGTTATGTATCAAATATTTGGTATCCATAATTGTGGCATCCACAACACACAGGTGTTGATGTCCCAACATATTTATTTTATTCCAATATAAAACGAATATTTGTGTGGAATATAATTATATTTATATTAAGAATATAAAATACTACCTTTATTAAACCCTTGAGAAACCAACTGACAAGATATATTACCTCTTATATTACATTATAATATTTATTTTGCTAACTTAGATTATCTCGGCTGATTTAGTTAAAATTGAACAAATTTTTTTTAAATATCACATGTACAACAAAAAAGTAGAAAAGATAGACAAAAATTGTTAACCTCCTCTTTAACACCCCAAACAACAATATCCCACAGCAATTTTATAAAATAATGAATTGTTTTTTATGGCATCGGCATAATTATCGAAGTATTCGTGTCAGTGTGTCACACCTTAGTTAAAAATAGCTAATATTATGGTAGTTTATAACATATTATACACAATGTATGTTAAAGTATTGAATATTTTAAGCGAGCTTTTTAGTCCGCTTCGTACGCGTATGTATGTATTAATAATTCGTAACCAGTAATTAAGGACGCCCGCGCACTCTCATCAGCTTGATATCGGTAATTACCATCGACCAAACAGTACTAGATACACAATCCCATGCAAAAGTTCTCTTAAAACTGTCACCAACAATTGTGTTTAGATAATTAATCTAGTTGAAATAAATATACAACAATGTAAATTGATTTAAATAAAAATATTTTAATTGAGAGCGCGCTTAAATGTTTAAATGAGTGCTCATGCGGTGAGGATATTTTTAGTCGCTGATTGTCTATCTTGTCCTTTTTTGATCGATGGCAGTTACTAAATCCGTATACTAAACGGATATATATATATATATATATATATATATATATATATATATATATATAATATATCTATACTTATTATAAAAATAAGTCCCCCGGCCGCGTCTTTCTGTCCTCCTGTCTGTCCTCCTGTCTGTCTGTACGCGATAAACTCGAAAACTACTGAACGGATTTTTATACGGTTTTCAACAATAGAAAGAGTAATTCTTGAGGAAGGTTTAGGTATATAATTTATTATGCTTTTATGTAAATTAGCTGAAATACGGCGACAAATGTTGAAGAGGTCGCAAAAAATCTCGCCAAATGGGAACTTTCCACGCGAACGCCGCGTAAACTAGCAAAGATACAGTTAAGTAATGTACTAGAGAATTCAAAATCTATAAAAATGCTACAAAAAAGTCCGCGATAGCATATCTCTATCTCTTACGGTTGACTTACAATAACCACTTTTATGTTAACATTTTTAATTAAAAACATTACGTTATTTTCAAAGTTATTTTCTTTAGTTCGGTATTAATCCTTATACAAATGAATATTTTAGTTAGCTTAGTCATTTAATGCAGATTAAAATTGCTCTTTACACTAAATCAATCAGATGAATAGTTTTTGAGATATCGTTGTTAGAAGTAATTAGTAGCGAAACATTTTTAATGCTTGGCGAGCATTGAGATGCCTACGGCGAGTCCATCCCCTCTGCCCCGCATCGCTCGACCGCCTGCTCAAGCTATATAAACCGGGCGATGTAGCGCGCGATCCTAGGATACTTTTTACCGCGGGAAAATATCTTATTTCTGAGGAAAAATACAAAAACTGCAATGTAAGAGTATACTAATATGTAACACCTAAGAATTTAGTTTTTGGTCATCTGAACGCGGGCGGAGCCGCGGGCAATGCTAGTATATATATATATATATTAATGCTTATAAGGTAATTGACTAAATGATCGTCCGATAAAAAGTCTTCAGTGTGTAGGGGCCCTAAACATGACTCCATTATTATAGCCATATAATTTAATTAACCGAACTCATTGATAGGTAATTTGACAATAGATAAAGCTTAAAAACGCGACCCAAATTTATAAAAGACTTATGCCCGATTTCACCAACGTCACCTAAGTTTAAGGGATCCCCTAAGCATGGTTAGGGGGCTGTTAGGGTAGGTAGTAACTTTCTGTTTCACCGACAGTTAGGGGTCCCCTAAATATTAAAAGGCCCCCTAAATTTGGGTGCTCGAAATATGGGCTTAAAGACGATTGTAAAACGAAATTTAATTTAGGGGGCTAGTTTAGGGGACTTTTAAGCTAGGGATCCCATACGTAGGTGGTAGCTTATGGTTTGTTGGTGAAATCGGGCATTAACATTTGAAAATCACCTCCTAAGGGGGTGAAAGTTTGTACAGGGGAATCAGTCATTTCTCAAGTAGCTACTTATGGCATATAAAAATCTATATCTCGAGTCATCGGTAGTTATTTTATATTTTATTTATGCAGCGAAAATCTAGATCGCTTCCTCGGCGCGCAGTCATGGCGCCATATAAAAGAGTTTCTTACACATTAAATGTATACAAATTCGTATGAAAATGTAATTGAATTCTAACATACCTATTGTGGGAATCAACTCTCATTGAAGATCTTCATTTATTGTACTAGATTCAAGTTTATTGAACTGCGAGTTTCTCAATGCTCATCTATTGGCCTACATTTGCGTATTGTAGACATACCTTATTATTTGTTATATTCTAATGCATTATTCATTCATAAGAAATAAAGTGGGCTTTTATGTCGTGTTTTACGACCCATGAAAAGTTTTAAAGGTCTAACATTATTATAGGCAAACATTGTTGTATGACATCATACAATGTGATAACATACGTTATCTGGTTGGAATTTGCAGAGGAGTCTGTGTTTTATCTAATACTTGAATTTTTAGCACAATTTGTACATTTTATAATTTTAATAGGGTATATGCGTGATTTTTTTTTACAATAGCTAATGTCGTTATATTTATTCAATAAATAAAGAACTAAAAATCGAGTTTACTAAGATATAGCGTAAAATATTCACAAAAAATATTTACGAATTACGTACATTGTCTTTTTACGAATTCTCCTTTTTACGAATTATGGACTTTCTCTGTTTTTATCCTCTTTCGCTTAAAAAGCTACCTTAGCTATGGCGTCCCAGTAGTGGAGTGTACTAAAATTTCAAGTGGATGGGAGAAAACGATAATAATTTCGGTTTTCGCCAATAATCTTATACGACACCTTAAACTAATTGTAAGATTTTCTTAGACTCATTGGTGTATATAGCTATTGACTAACTAGCGACTCACACTCGCTTCGCTCGGGTTCGTCCCTAGGTTGATTACCCATACAAACTTTCATCCCCATTGTCACCCCCTTAAGGGATGATTTCCAGGATAAAAAGTATCCTATGTCCTTTCCAAGGTCTCAAACTATCTTCTTACCAAATTTTATCTAAATCGGTTCAGTAGATCCAGAGATTACCCCCTACAACGTCACAAACTCACAGTTACATTTCTTTTCATCAACTTAAAATACACTATAATGAAGAGATCCTAAATAGATTCTTTTATTAAATCAGTCTTTAATATCAGCAGTCAGGATATCAACAGAAATCGTTATCACTTTCCAATTATTTAGATTTTTGGTTTCCCACGTTTCGAATGCTTTACAGCAATGAGCACGATAGAGACATAAAACAGCTTTTATTATTTTATGTTATTTTTTTAGTCCAATATTCGCGTGAATCTAAGAAAGAAGTATTAATTTGTAATATATTTTTTTGCAGACATACAAGAAGAATGTATACGGTTTCATGGAAAGTATGTCTGAGAGTGAACTGAAGAACACCGAAGGGTTCACATATTCGAACCTCCTCAAGAGAGATCGCAGGAGATGGCACTATGCTGGTGAGTGTTCTTAATTACACTTTATTTAGTTCATTTGGGAATTAGTAGTATTCTAACTTCATTTATTAATCCCATTAATATTATAAATTAGCGACTCATCCTCGTTTTGCTCGGGTTCGTCTCTTTATAAACTTCTTACTTCTCCATACAAACTTTCATCCCCATTCTCACCACCTTCAGGGATGATTTCCGGGATAAAAAGTATTTTCATATCATGAGATTAAAAAAAATCTTATTTTAGCAAAAAAAATCATTTAATTTTCTTCTATTCAAAGCTTGTCCTGCCAAAAACAAACAAAAAAAAGAATTATCTAATTTGGTGGAGTCGATCGGAAGTTTGCGCGTACATACATGCCCGTGATTCATTTTTATTTATATATGTAGATGCTAAAGTTTGGATGGATGTTTGTTATTAATTCACAATCCAAAACGGCTGAACAGATCTGGTTGAAATTTAGCACAGAGATAGATTATAGTCTGGAATAGCACATCACCAGTTACTACTTTTATCCTGGAAAAGTTTCCGGTTCCCGCGGGACAGATTTGTTTTTTAACTGCACAGGAGATATTATACTTAGTGCACAAGTGTGCGTGCAGACACAAATGCACTCTACTCCTGTCACCCGAGACCCGGGACTCGAACCCATGACCTCTGGATCTGCGGTCGTACATGATAGCCACCACCGAGACAATAATAGCATCTCTTATAAGATGTAATCAAATAAAGAAAGTCCATTTAAGGTGTTATGTTTTTGAATGTTTTTAAGTATTTTAAAACTTCATAATATAATGATATTTGTTTTACAGACAGTGATAAAGACGACGCTCTAAATAGAACAGAGTTTGGTGGTTTCCTCCATCCCGAGGACTACGGCACCATGAGGGATGTAGTCGTTTTAGAGACTTTGGAAGATATTGATAAGGATAAGGTGAATAAATTGATCACAGTTAATAAACATTAAATTTTGTATCTGGAAATAACTCATAACAATTTGGATCATATTTTGTATTTACTTATGTTTTTGCTTTTCAAGTTCAACTATGTATTTTTTTAATTTTCCAAAAAAAAAATATACGAGACTAACGAACGACAATTGATTTTTATACATATATAGTTTTTTTAATACTTGAAGATATTGATAAGGATAAGGTGAATAAATTGATCACAGTTAATAAACATTAAATTTTGTATCTGGAAATAACTCATAACGATTTGGATCATATTTTGTATTTACTTATGTTTTTGCTTTTCAAGTTCAACTATGTATTTTTTTAATTTTCCAAAAAAAAAAATATACGAGACTAACGAACGACAATTGATTTTTATACATATATAGTTTTTTTAATACATATATACACTGACATTATCATTAAAACAATGTTTAAACAAAATTAAAAAGAAAAATATTGTAACTATAAATACAGGTATTAATAATTTTAAATTTGAACATTAATTATCTAGATATATTTTCCATTTTTAATTTATTTCAAGAATGAGTCGCAATGTTGTTCTGTAACGTCGTTATACATATTAATAAGATAATAAATATTACTATAATATCTATTCACAGGATGGCAAAGTGTCCCTGGACGAATATATTGGTGATATGTACAAACCTGATGAGGGAGAGACGGTGGATGATGAACCGGACTGGGTGAAACAAGAAAGAGAACAGTTCTCTGGATACAGGTACGGTTATATGTTCAAAGTTAAGCTTGGAAGTGAGGGAAACTCATCAATCAAAAAAGTACTAGATACATAATACCATGCAAAAGTTCTCTAAAAACTGTCACTGTACTGTAAATTGAACCTTAAATGCAATGCTTAAAGTTGTTTTAACAAAAAAAAAAAATTAAAAGCGAGCTCAAATTTTTAAACGAGCTCATTCGGTGAGGACATCTTTTGTCACTGATTGTGTGTCTTGTACTTTTTTGATCGATGAAGAAACTATAATAATATACTTTTTGCTAACTGCTCTATATAGAAACGATATCTATACATACATATAAAAAAATTGTAGAATCAATTTGTAATGTCAAAATAAGAGGTTATTTACTAAATGTATGTGAAAGTATTTACAGTACTCATAAGAAAAAAAAACTGTCTGTCTGCTTTTAAACATTAGAACTAAAGATGATCAAATTAGTGTGTTTTCCCATGCATTAAAACGTGCACTCTATGTCTGCATTTCTATCTGTTTGTTCCGACTAATCTTCGAAACGGCCGGACCAACTTTAACGAGACTCAATAGCAGTGCGCTGATGTTATAAGGAATAAGTTAGGCTACTTTTATTTTAAAGAAAGGGTCCCGCCCAAAAAATTGAAAATCCATAAACGAAAGGACCCACCTTAGCGTAGCGAGGGTTAGTCGCTAGTTAGTAATAGAATTTGTCAAAAAGTGTTGCTACGTTCGTACGTTAAGTTTTAATGTTTACATACATATATTGTGTGTGTATTTATGTTTGTCATACCTTCTGAAATGGCTGGGTGGATTGAGGTGAAGTTTAGTATACAGGTAAATTATGACTTGGAGTAACATAAAAGCCATTGTTTGGCTATTAATATGGTTTTAATATGTTGCATATGTTATTACGACGATTATGAAGATTCAAAAGTACTTATAATAAGTCTAATTGAATAAAGTTTATTTCATTTCATTTCATTAAAAAATAGCGACTCAACCTCGTTGGTAAAAATATCAACCTAACTTTCCCGAGGGGCATCTGACCCATGCCTACCCTGCTATACTCTTTCATCTAAATCGGTCCGTCCTACTGGACCACTGGTTTCAGAGCTTATTCGGTACAAACAAACAAAGAAACAAAAAAATTTTTCCTCTTTCCTAATATTATTATAGATGAATATCCATATGTTATCAGGGACACGAACAAGGACGGTTACATGGACGAGCACGAGGTGCGCGAGTGGATCGCGCCGCCGGAGTTCGACCACGCGGAAGCGGAAGCGCGCCATCTTGTGTTCGAGGCGGACGCGGACGCAGACGAGCGCCTCTCCCGAGCTGAGGTGCTCGATAAATACGACCTGTTTGTTGGTTCCCAGGCCACTGACTTCGGTGAGGCTCTGGCCAGACACGACGAGTTCTAGATATATCTCAACCCTATTTAAAAAGTCCAATAGGATCTCATCAAAAGAAACAAAAGCCACATAGAAACCAACTAGCGACTCACCGTCGCTTCGCTCGGATCCGTCCCTAGGTATTTTTTTTGAGCGGAACCTACTAATTCTTTTTCTAAAATAAAAGTAGCTTATGTTACTCGCTATAACATCTGCTATCTTCCAGTGAAAGTCCCGACGAAATCAGTCCAGCTGTTTCACAGATTATATGGAACAAACAAACAGACAGACAGACAAAATTTAAAAAAAATGTGTTTTTCTTATACGTACCATATATAGTTTCATATTCATTTAGTAGAACGCTGTTATTTTGACATTAAAAACAGACACTTCAATTTTATTTATCTGTATAGATAAATATTTATTGGTTTCTGTGTGGCTTTGTCGCTTTTGGTGAGATCCTAATTGGAGTTTTTCAATAGAGAAGGGTCTTCCCACACTATAGTGCCGATCACACTCCCTTCTCGGTCCGTGAATATATATATCAACCTTCAAGTACTTCTATACAAGAAACGCGAGTCTTACTGATAGTGTGAATGCACTCATTGTTTCTTGTATAACAATACTTTATCAAACCGAGAACGGACTGTGATAGGCACTATAGTAGAACGTGCGCCCAATACCTGTCTTTTCTTTGTGTTGTAAATAAATATAATATTATAATTTATTAAAAATTGTAATATTATACTGGAATGTAAAATGGTTATAAATATCTCTCTTCATTAATCGTATTTCAATTAATACAGAAGACTTCTGGTCTGATGTTCGTATTGTCTCTGTCGCGCCGCCATTTTTAAAAACACGCAGTCCACTCTATGTCTATAGTATTTGGCACACGTTGGACTATTTTTTTTATGAATCCCTCCACGACCGCGGACACGCCAGCGTGTCAGTTAACAATAGATATCTTAGAATTTTAATTAATTTCTTAGAAATTTACCTGGAGGTGTTAATAGCGCGCAGTGAAATAGGTGGGTATGGGTAGAGAGGTGTTTAAATGAGTATATGGAATTGGACGTTCTAAAGTGTCACGATTTTAAAACATTTGTAGGTGAATATCGTCAAATGGAAAAGATGACAATATGTAATAGTTGAACTCATAATAGTTTCTATAGTTCGCAATTTTACGATGCTTACTCCAAAATATTTCGGTAACGTGACATCTTAGAGCATAATATTGCTTGTATTTTCTGTTTATTTAAGTGTCCTCTGTCCATACATACTACTTACATCGTGCGCCGCTACTTTGAAAACCAATTCAAAATGGCGACGGTTTGCTAATGTCAGCTTACTTAGTAAAAAAAAAATTATGTTTTTTTTAATTAATTCAACTCGTATAGTTTTGGCCAGTGTTAATTTAATATCTATATAAATAATTATTATTTTGATTTGATGAGATATCGTGACAGTGTCTTTAATAGTTGATCATAGCTTTTCTTGGTAATCTCATATATTACTTGTTAATTTTTTTATCTATGGCTTCAATATAAATATTCATTTATATGTGTTGTAATATATTCCAATTTTAAGTTTATACTAACAATTTTTTAATGCGAGTTAAATTCATTAAAAAATATCATTTATTATAAAAAAATGTCATAAAAAATTGTTGATACAGATTAGTGTTTTGTGTGTACATATTTACGTATATGTTTCAATTTTTCATTTCATTAATTATTATTACAGACAATTTTGCAATAATATGTATAAGAATCTGATTTTTAATCTATTTTAATCCAGTAAGTGGCAGCCTATTGTTTATGCAAATATTAGAAACAATATCTTATTTAATATTTAAGTACAATAATTTACTTACAAAGTTGCCAAAAACAAATCCATATTTTTTCCCTGGTTGCTTTTAATACCTTAATATAAAAACCAAATACTTAGGCTGACTCGGGAAATCCAGAACCTAAGGATTTGAAGTTGAATCAAACCAGCCACTACTACCAACAATTGCAGCATTCTATTAATTCATGTTCAAGCGATCTGCCATATTAGAGTATTTACATCTAAATATTTTTTAGCTTTTTTGTGATTATTAATGATATATTTTTTACTTACAATTTACATATTTGTACAAAAAGGCTCTGTTTACATTTTTTCTTTTTTAAAAGTTATAAACCAGTTTTGGACCCAAACCGAAAAGGTTTAAGGTTTCGGTTACGTTCTTTAATTGGTTAAATTCGGGAGAACGGTTTTTGACGAATTTAGGTTCTATGACCAAAATTAACCGGTTAAAATGAGTTTTTGTGTGTTTACATATGGTGCGACTTAACTAATGGTGAATGGCTTAGTAGAAGGATACTTGTTACTTATGAATCAAATAACCGCTTTATTTCGGTATCAAAACCGAAATCCAACCTTTCTCTAAGAATAACCGTTAACTATTATTATTTCGGTTTACTAAACCGTAAGTTTTCATTAACCGGTTAAAGAACAAACGATGAATTAACCATTACGTTACTGAAATAACTGTTTTTTTAAACCGGTTCCGAGTCATGGGTAAAGTATTTAAGTTAAACCGTTTATATTATGTTGACACTATGAGAAATTCTATTTCTTACAATTTGAGTTTGCTTTAATAATTAAAATATACCAAACTCAAGCAATGTAATGTGTATTGTTTTTATATAGATACTCATTTGATTTATCTTTTAAAATATTTTATTTATAAAGAAAAATGTAAACAAAAGCCTTAGAATCTCTGGACATTCTCAGCAATTATATACTTAATTAATTAGGTAGCTAATGTTCTATTTAATACCAAAGTTTAATTCGATGTGAGCTATGTATTTTTACAATATTATTCTTGTATATGTATTTATAATATTAATATTTGAATCGTACAAGCTATTGCTATTGACTTTATATGCACAGATGATAATAAAATTACTAAAATGGGAGTAAATACCTGTCAAAAATATTTTATGTATTTTTTAATCTATAATGTTAATGTCATAAGTGTTCTGCACTTTTTTTATATTAGATAATAATAATAAGATTGTAATAAAAAAAAAGAATTATTTTTTTAATGAGGCTGTAGGGTTTAAAGCCATTGTCTTTTCTGTGTTAAAAATAATAAACATTCTCATGAGCTTTAGCTTGTTTTCTATTCCAGAACATTATGCATTTATATAAAATTAGATATTACTAAGAAGACTAATTTTTGAATGTACTTTTAGAAACTTGTAATGTTTTCTTTTGAATTAAAATAAAGTTCTGTTTTTGACTAAGCAGTGAAATTATACTTGTAGTTTTATTTATACGTCGACTCACCCTTGCTTCAGTCGGGTTCGCGCCTAGGTACATTTTAATTTTTTTGAGCAGAACTCTAATTCTTTTATTGAGATAAAAGTAGCCTAAGTTACTGCTTATAACATCAACTACCTGCCAGTAAAAGTCTTGTCAAAATCGACCTAGCCGTTTCGGAGATTAGCCTGAACAAACAGACAGACAAAATTTTAAAAAACTGTGTTTTTCTTATAAATACCGTATAAAATTCCGTATGCATTTAGTAAAAAGTAACAGATACTTCAAGTTTATTTATCTGTATACATGATAACTCGTTGAATAATGAGGGGCTATCGCGCTTGAATTTGCCGTGAGATGGCGCGAGTGTGGAGTGAGGTCTCTGGAAATGTCAAATAACTGTTTGCGAGCTTTTCATGGCGGATTTTTACTAATTATTCATGATTATTTTAAAGATTCCTAGATGATTATTTGGCAGATATGGTACGGCTCAATAAATCTTATGCCTTTAAAAGAAGTAAAAGTCAATATTTTATTTATTTGGGTATGATTAATTACTTAAAATAGAACTATTTTCAACTAGCAATTATTAATCCGTATTTACTATTAAAAACTAGCATTGCCAGTTCAGATGACCAAAAACCAAATTCTTAGGTTTTACATATTATTATACTCTTACATTGCAGTTTTTGTATTTTTTCTCAGAAATGAGATATTTTTCCCGCGGTAAAGAGTATCCTATATGTTGAGCCGGATAACCAGCTATTACCATACAAAGTTTCACCAAAATCCCTTCAGTGGATTTCTGTAATGCGGTAACAGACAGACAGACAAAAATTCTAAAAACTATAGATTCGGCCTCTGTATCGATAATAATGTTTATTTCAATAAAAATTTCCAAAAAATATTTAAAGTACAGATTCGGCTTGGTTATAATTTTATTGTATCACAGTGGTTATAATACACATACACATTTTCAGATCTATATAAAATTAGTCTGATATATCATTCACTTTAATTTTAACGCCATTTATAAATCGAACGTGTTCAATCGAGTGCGCCTCAAGGTGTTTATATTAGAACGAACTAGTTTATTTTATACGGTATACTTGAAAATTATTTGATGCTTGCTCGAAGCTTAGTTTTGTAAGTATAATATAACCTACTTTTGTTACTAATTAAGATTTCTGGGCTGATTGAATGGTCTAGATATAGTTATTTGATTTCATATAAACTACTTGGACGTCCGAAATATGCGTGATTTTAATAATCTAAGCCGAATCTGTACATTAAATATTTTTTGGAAAATCTTATTGAAATAGACATTATTATCGATACAGAGGCCGAATGTATAGTTTTAGAATTTTTCTTTTTTCTATCTGTTTGTGTGTGTGCTTGTGTGTGTATCTGTGACTACATCATGGAAAAACCACTGGAGGGATTTTGATGAAATTTGGTATGATGATAGCTGATTGTTCGGGTCAACCTACAGGATTTTAAGCACACAATAATTACGAGTATGAATGTACTTGGAATCTATACTATCGAATAATATATATATTATATTGTGTACTTAATTTTGTTTTGAACACTTTTCTTTCTAATTTTACTGTGAATTATACAAAGTCTAATAATACATCATTTCCTTTATGTATCATTCAACTTTTTTGTTATTTTTATAGAGTAGGTTTCATTTCAATCGGTTGAGTAATTAC